CGGGATTAAAGGCGAGATTAAAAAATTGAAAAAAAAGTTATATTTTTTCATAATCACTGTACCCGTCTAGGACTTCCTTCTTGCATATCACTTTGAAAAGTTTGCTTTCAAAAAAATATTCTACTAGAAAAAATAAAAATAAACAATTACTGTAGACTTAACAAAAAATTATATGATTTTTTTTAAACTTTCAACCGTCCTCCAATGAACTTTGAATTATGGTACTTTGAAGGCTTAAATTTTTTTTCCAAGGCCAACTTGTTTTTCTTCCGCTTTTTTTCCAACAAAAAAAAATCGGCAACAATACGAGGGTCGCAACTTACCGCAGCAACAGGCACGTGAACAGGAGCCACACTTTTTCCACCTGTCTAAGCCGGTTACGGATTAAGAATTGAATTTCCAAACAGTATTCTGTGTGACGTAACTGTGCTCTGCGCGGACCTTTGGACAGTATGGGTAACTTGGAAAAATTCGAGAAAAGTTATGAAATAATGGCCTGAAAAATTAAATGAATAAGGAGGGCTTGTGCGCTCTATCGCCAAAATCGCTTTTTAACAATTTTCTTCCTTTTTTCGCTCATTTTTTTTGTTTTTGTTAAGTTCTGGAACCTTTTTAAAACATGTTCTGCAAGTGATTTGAAATAATAAAGTAGGCATCTTAATTTTAGATTTCTCATGTTCCGAAATTCAAAGTTCACTCCATGTTTTATACATAATTTTTAACTGGAAACCACCTGCTCAGTAATTTCTTCTGAATCCCTATCTTAAATCTGACATCATACTATAGTCTCCTCCACGGATCTGTACGTTAAAGTCCAGACAAGAGATCTCTTGACGAACACCAGGCCATTAAAAAATCGGTTAGATTGTGTGAATCCTTCTCCGGGAAACGTCATTTGAACTGAACTGAATCGGAAAGACCGGGCCGGATAGCATCGCTCTTGTTCTTTCGATGGTCAGATCGAGGATTTTCTCGAGATCCAAATCTTTAAAGAGAAGTGATGTCATGGGAAGAGCGGAATAGGGGAAATGGGTTAATGTGGAAGTCTGGCGTTTGGAACGCTTAATGAGGCTAGAGTACAAAAAGCCAAAGTTCGATCGGATTTCTGGGCTATGGAAAGCCGTGCAGAAACGGAGATTTTCCAAATATTTCCCTCGAAGATCCAATCTTCTGACCCTTATTGCCATAACCAGAGCATTTAGCCTCCCGACCTGATCGATAATTTGTTCCAAGGTAATTTATTTCCCTTGATCCAAGCGAATCACGTTCAAAACAGCAACATCTTCAGTTCAAATTATACTACTTCCTTGTGAGTCTCTCACGACCTGATTATATATTTGACCAAGACCAAATGGCGCCCCCAGAAATTAACGTCACAATAACGTCAGAATTTGTATTTATCTTGCTTCGAAATACGCTCATCGAACCCGAAGCCCCTAATTTTGAAGCATGTGACCTACAGTCGTTGCAAACCAAAAAAATATAAAGAAATTACAACTTTGAGTTTCTCACGACTTGATTGTAGGTTGCCAAAACTGATTGGCTCTTCCAAAAAGTTTGCAATCATTCCAAAAGGTTGCACCACAGACACATGGCATCTAATATCGCAAAATGTATCTATTTTGCTCCAAAACATGGCAATCGAACCCGAAACATTCAATTTCGAAGCAAGTGACCTACAGTCGTTGCAAGCCGAAAAATACAGCTTCAAAAGCCCTTACGTCTTGATTACACGCTTCCAAGGCTAAACGGCACTTTGAAAAGTGAAATCATTCCGAAAGGTTGCGCCACAATAACAGGACATATGAAACTATAATTCGTGTTTATTTCGCTTTGAGAAACGCGGAAAGAACTCGACCAGTCATTTTGCAAGCCAAAGAGTTTTGAGCCGAAACTGAAGCTTGATACTGGAATGAAAAGGCAGCAAAAATGTCATTCTATGTGTGTTTTGCTTCCAAGTACACTAAATGAACTAAAACCAATTATTTCAAAGCTCGTGACCTACAATAGTAGCAAGCTTGAAATGCAAAGAAGTTGCAAATTCAAAAAGTTCTCTTGATTACATGGTTCCAAGGTTAACAGGTCCCTCTAAAGAATTGATAGCATTCCATTCCTTACACTTAAAACCGCAACTTATTGGTATTCTGCTCTCGAACACGCTTAACGTCAGTTGGAAAGCGCTTGACTTTAAAACTCTGACCAAGCTCATCTGAAACAAAGAGATGGAAGAATAAGTCTCAATGTTGGGTAAAAACACACTTAAAACTCTTGTAATGGAATGAGACAGTTGATCAAGTTGGTTATTTTGCTCTACCTTTGATCACAGATCACGATTTGACCTTGTCTTATCCAATATACCTCTCCTACACCTTTATTTTTTCTCATTTCGGTGGAAGTCCCCGTCTTCTTCTGAATCATTCAATCTCAGGAGGCAGTCGATGCGGCAATATCTCGGCTAGGTATAGTTGCCGAACATTTTTGGCATAGCCTGTGTACCACGACTTGGAATTTCACCAAACGACATTCCGCTGTGCCGCTGCGTGCTTTTGCGAACCTTCGCGCTTTTTCAATTTTTTTTTTTTTAGTACTCTACTTTTCATGTGCTCCCACAGCAATAAGAATCAATTGAAAGCGTGACCTAGATTCGAAAGGCGCTTTGCGACCGCACGCAGCGGAACGGCGGAATGTCGTTCGGTGAAATTTCAAGTCGTGGCACACAGGCTGTATCACTGCCCTCAAAATCTTTATTTTGATCGTGGAAAATTGCGAAACAACATTTTTGGGTCGAGCTTTTGCGTGACGGTGTGTCACACAACCACCCCCTTACCCTTTGCGAAATAATTCCGACACCAATTTCGTAATTCTTAACTATCGGTTTTTTTAAATTGAATTTTTGTTTTCCTCCGTACCAAGGTTTAACGACGCTTAAAAAGTTGCGATAAGTGTGATATCACGATAACATCGCATCTAACACCTTGATACATATGTATTTTGCTTTGAAAAACGCTCATCAAACCAAAAACTCCTTTTTGAACCGTGCGGCATACCGTAATTGGTTTGCAAGGCGAAAAACGTTTTTGCCCCAAAAATTGCAACTTTCAAAGGCGCACACATACACCCTCAAACACGTTTTGGCATTCACGTGTTTCGTTGGAAAGAAGCAAAATGTTTCCCTTCGGCGCCGCAGGGCAAAAAAAGAAAAAGAAAGAAAAGAGAGTCTCGTTTTTGCCCGCAAAACGCGTTATTAATTATTTATCGGCCGAGACCCTGAGAGTGTGTGTTTGTTCCGGCTCCAACCGAGTCACGGAGCAAACGAAATCAAAACCTTTTTTTCTTGCTGGCATAAAGTTATTTCCTTGTTTATTTCTGGGCTTTCTAGGAAATAAATTAGTTTTAGATGAAAAAAGCCGAGTAAAGGCCTTGTTTTCAAGCTTATACGCTTCACTCAACAATTTTTTTGAGTAGTACAGGACAGAAAAAAAATTTTTTTGAAGAAGATGGCTGCTTTGATATTATTTTTAAAACGAGCTCTGTAAAAAAAATAATTATTTTAAAGTTCAAGTAGAAAATTTGAACAAAAGGAAAAAATAGCTTATAAATTGTGCGCTCTGCTGATAATTTTCTCTTTTTCAACAAAGTAAAAAAACTGAATAAATCAGTTTTGCAAAAAGGCTACTGTAAATTGCCTTGCAATCCAATTTCTGCAGCTATTTCCGATTTTTCGACCTGAACACTTCCTCATTCCAAAACCAACGCCGTTATTAAGTTTGGCCGGCGTGAACGTATTCAATTACGTGAGAGTTTGTAAAGTAAACAATTTCGAGGCTTTTGGATACTGTAGCTTCACATTGAAAGGGCGATCCGTCACTCTGGATCGTTTAGAATCGGAAAAATCGGAAAACTGAGGCTTTAAGATATCAAGACAGCCCACTATCTGAATTGATGACATCTCTAAACCTCTAAATAAAATCGCTCATTTTTGAGCTCTTTCTCAGAAAAACGAAAACTCTGAAAAAGTTCCATCAGACTGCTCCAGCCCAGGACAAAGTCCACCAACTTAACCGCAACAAGACAAACTAATAAATCAAACGAGATCAAGCATCGCAGCTATTTTCTGTGGTGTCAGCTGCTCGATGCTGACATTGGAGATTCCTCAGGCTCTAGTGTGATCTTTGAGAAACAAACAGAAGTTCCTGCTTTGTCACTGTTAATAATACAAAGTTTTTGGATCTTTGAGACTGATTTTTGGAGTTTTAGTTGCTTCAGGAAACTCTGACATTTTTTTGACTTGAGAGCGGTTTCTCTGTAGTTTGATCAGCTAAAAAAGGAACATCAGCTAATCAAATCTCACTTCCATGAATCAGGCAAGATAAGGTTTCAGAAATCGGCTCTGCAGTTCGAGCTGTTGAGCAACACTACTTTTGAGCAAGTCTTGACTCTAGTCGAAACGAGGCCGAACTCGAAAAAATATGATCAAGAGTTTCCAGTAATGATACCGTCATGAGATTACAGTAGCTTCTCAAATCGTAGCTGCTTTCGAAATTTCGACTGGTTCAATATGGACCTTTTTCAATGTTTAGTGGCACCAGCAAATTTTCAAAAGCTTCGTTTTTTTTGCAAGGTCTAGAGCTTTGGTTGCAGCTTGTAAGGAGCTCCTACAGCTCACTTTCGGTCTGGATCCTTGCCTTGATTAAGGTTTCAATCTTTCAATTAATATGCAACTCCCCAGCTCAAGCTCCGTTTTGGAGTTGCGGCATGACGACCTTGACAGGAGTGTCTTCAAATATTCACTAGAAAATCTGGACCGTTCAGTCTCTAGAAGCAGTTGAGAACTTCTCCGGCGAGTTCTGGAGAAAATCTTTGTACATGATCCCTTTTCTGTGGCTCAAAGTCCATGACTGATTCTGACTTTGACAGGAGTTCCTGCAGCTTCTTCGGACCAAGTATCTGCCTCAGAGTTTATATTTAGTAAGGCTGGAGTCTACAGGTGGAACCACTTCCTAGTATCTGGAGGCTGGCAGGAGCTCCTCCAGCTTCTCCGTCGACAAATCTTGATCCTGGCTGTCCAGCCCTTTTTGAAGTGAAGTATCAAGTCTTCTATGACCCGATCATTGGAGTCATCATTGGAGGGACATGAGTTCCTCCAGCTCTTTCGGAGCAAGTATCTGTCTCGGAGTTAACACCAGTCAGGGTCAAAGTCCGTAGCCAAAGCTCCACTCTCAAGCTTGAGTGCCAGACAAGAGCAAAGAAAAACTTTCGAGAAACGTCGCCTTGAGGTCGAAGTCCACAGTCAGATCGAGTCGTTCCAATAAAGAGCGATCAATCGTATCAGAATCGATAATGATGCGTGCTGGGTGGGCGTGGCCGAGTGATCGTGCGACGAGTCGATACCGACAAGATCGCTCTGTCTGTTTGATGGTGGCGTAGAGAGGCGACCAAAGGGAAAAAAAAGGAAAAGTTGGTGTAGGGCCAGTCAGTCAGACAATATAAAGTTGTTGTCGCCCCTGCGACTCGTCACCTTTTCCGCTCTCTCACCTCGGGTCCCAACCGCCTCAAAACCGGCGGCGGGTGCGTCTTCGGTGCACCCGCACCCAGACTAACTGCCAGGCCACGCCTCCAATATATTTCGTTCGTCATCTTTTCTTCTTTCTTCTTCTTCTACGTCTTTTCTTGATCGATTAGACCAATCGATCAATATTTTTTTTTTGCATTCATTGCATTTTTTTTTTGATAACAATTTGCAGGTTATAGTCTATTCACACCAGCTTTTGGTTATTTCTAAAGATTGTTCCGACCAAGTTTTCTTTTGATCAATAATACCGATCGATCGATTTTTTTTGTGTTTCCGAATTTTCCGAAGTTTTTTTTTTGATTTGGGTCTTTCAAAAGTCGTCCTTGCTCTGATTATGTTAATTAGAGGTCGAGTAGATTTTTAAAGACTACAGTCTATTTAAAGTAACTCAAAGCTTCTTTTTCCGACTGTCCTTTTTATCAGTCAGATCGATTTTTTTGATTAATTACCCTTTTTTTGTGATTGTCTTGTTTTTCACGTTTTTTGTTGATAGTTGGTCGTTGGTTGCGTTCGAAAATTCGAAAACTCAGTGATTTTTCACGTGGCGACCTGGTTTTTGATTTTTCACAGTGGCTTTACTCCATGGATAAAAATGAATGACCTTTTCCTTCATCAAAAAAAAATTACTGGTTTTTATAGAAACTGTTCCATGGAGCGCATCCAAGCTGATCAAACAAGGCTCTTTTTTCTTTTTCAAGTCGAGCGAAAATTTATTATAATTTTGGAAACTATACTCTAGTTACAACTCCGTTTCATGGTTTTCAAGAATACGGTCAATCTTTTTCACGTGGCTGATGTTCTGTGCGTTTTCTGATCATTAGAATTTATAACTTTTCCATTTTATACAATATTTTATCTTTTTTTCAACCATCTTCATTGATTTTTCGCTGAGGGTTTCGCTAAAATATTATTTTGCAAGTATTATTATCGATTTTTTTCATTTTTTTCTTTCTGAGGCTTACGATTCGTGTAATATCTATTGTCTTATGAAAGAGCATTAAGAAGAATCTCAGATTTGAATTTTAACTGGAAAAGAATTTTCGAACCGGGATTTTCATTGATTTTTCCACGGCTTCTTCGAAAACTCTAGCTGAATCATGCAATCGGAAGTCACAAAAAAAGTTCAAATCTATGTTTCGATTTCAGAAAACTATCAGTTTTCGATCTTAAAAAACAGAGATCATGTAAAATCCACGAAAAATGCTTCGAGGGAGCGTTTTGCAGGCCATTTCTCAGCAATCTTCGGCCGAAATTTGACTGATTGATCTGAGCCACGTGTTTTTCTGGGCGCAAGTGCATCTGAGTGACAGTTGTTTTCCCCGTTTTCCCTCGTTGGAATTTTATTTCTTATTTTCATGTTTTTTCGGCGTTTTTTGACCCCATCAAGTGAAAAACACTCGTTTTGTTTGCCGAACAGATTTTGAAATGTTGCCAAGTTCTTTTTATAGCTTTCGAACTTTGTTTTTTACGGATTTCGAGTTCCTTCTAATGAGGAAAAAGCGGAGTTGTTTAGGCTTGGATTAGTCCAATTTTCCCTGAAAAAGCCAGCTTCTTTCGATTTTAGTTCCGCTTCGGATTTCCACCGTAGCCCCACAAAATCTTCTGATTAAGTGAGGCTCCGCCCAAAAGGCCTCAATAGGCGTGGCTAGGCTCTATTTTTCAAATAAATTGGAGAAAAAAATTTCTGAGAGGATTTTTTTCTAGACTTTTTTTCTATTCAGGAAGCTCTTGGAGCATTCGAAATTCGGGGAAAAATTTTTTTTTTGGTTTTTTTAATTTCAAAAAAAATTTTTTGAAGTTTTTCAATTTTCTTCTAATGCTGTGAGCTACGTTTGAAAAATTTTTCCCACAAAAATCAATGATTTTTTACGAGTTTAAAGCCTATAAAGACCTGATTATAACAGTCTCCACTACATGAATCGCTCCAAAAAACCGCCTTTCTAAAAATATTTTTCAAAAATCCTGAGAAAAACCTTATTTGAGAACATTCTCTGGGCTCCTCCACCGTAATCCAAACATTTTTTTAAATAAAAACCTCGACGCTCCGCCCATTCTCTGCAGCTTGCGAGGAAAAACTTTTGCCGTGAGCTCGCCTTCAAAGAGCGAACACATATATTTTTTCTGGTCATATTTCTGCGGCTCCTACTTCCTCAAAGCTATCGTAATCCTCGGAAATCAAGAGGTCCTTTCTATCTTTTTGTTGGAATAAAAAAAACTCAAAACAGGGCTCATTAGATGAGCTTTCACGTAGAAGAGCCCTTCAAATGGCTAATTTTTTTCGGATTTTTCTTTATATTCTCAAGAATAATCCTAAGGGTTTCTTTTGATTTTCTGAAAAGTTTGAAGAATATTCAAAACTTACGAAATGAATGAATTTATTCTCAAGTAAAGTAGGAAAAATCGAGATTTTCATTTTTTTTTTTAGTGGATTTTCTGCTGCAAAGAATGGCTCAACGCGTCGCGGTCGCGTTGCGGTTGACTCAAAAAGCCGTAATCCTTCTGTACTGCGATCTCCATAGAATTTAAAGTCAATCACTCTTACAAAAAATCAAGAAAAAAGGTCAGGATCAGGAATTTTTGGATTAAAAAAAAGTTCTGTTCAAATTATGATCGAAATTTTCCAGTCCTCATCATTTTCTTGAATTCTTTCCCAGAAAGAAGATTAACAAATATTTTCACAAGCTTCAGAATAAAGATGACCTTTAAAAACCTTAAATTTATCTTCTTCAAGTTCCTCCAAACTATCGTAGTCCTCAAAATTATGCCGTAAAAGGGCTCCTTTTTCACTCCATCATTCGAAAAAAAGGGACCTTTGGTCTTTTACTCTCGAGGGTTTCTTTCAAAAACACGCGGGGCGGCTCTCCGTAATTGCTTCGAGACCATTGAAGCGCCTGCAGAGAGGCAGCCCGGAAGCTCCGCCCACTTTTTTTCGACTCCGCCCACCCCCCTTTCCAACCAGGAAATGGATGTCGGACGCCTAGTTTCTAGTCGTTTTTGCATTCCTTGTTTATCGAGCTATTAATAAACGGCTCTTTCTGAGAATAGGGAGTTTATTTTGAGTTGTTCCTTGTTGGGTGATCTTCTAGAAATATTGGTTTGGATTTTTCTTTGTTGATAATGAAAATAATCCATTCACAGGTGGCTCGAAAATAATTTTATGAATCTCTTCTTTTTGCACAATGTTTCGCTATTTTTTATTGATTTTTTTTCTTGTTCCGAAGTCCTTCTTGTCATAAAAATGAACAGAACTTTTTCCCACATCCTCTGTGACCGCGAATCAAGAATCTTGCACTTTCTACACCAAACTAGGAACACTTTTCTGATTCTCACAGCTCTGTCAGTTTCTCGTTTTGCCCTTTACATGTTCCCATGGCCTTTTCTGTTCCTTTGCACTGTGTTCTGTAGTTTCTCGGCCTCTCGTTTGGCCTGATCAACTACTGATAACGGCCTTTTTTTCTTCACCTTCTCAATGATAAGATTCGTTGTTTTGGGCGCCTGATTGGTTCTCTTTGAATGACTTTTTGAGCCTTTTGAGTTTTCAAAGGTTCTTTTTTTATCTTTTTTTTCAATTTTTGATTTTTTGCGACTTTTTCCGCTTTATCTTCAAGTCACCAATTTTTTATAAAACAGTAGAATTGAAAGAAAAATAATCATTTTGAAACACGTTTGAATTAAAAAGGCCTAAATAATCATCATTTTCCCCTTATTTCATAACAATTTCAAATCAATATAATCATGCGACTCTACTTCCCTTCTCAACTGTTTCATTTATAGGGTCCTAATTAATGTTTACTGTTTCTCTCCTTCGAAAAACTTTCGAAAATCATTCATTTTGTTCGATCAGTGATTAGGATCATCAAAAATCACTATTCGTTTTTTTTTCTATGAATTTCTGGCCCTAAGGTTTGAAACTTTTTGAAATTAGGTACCTGGAGACAACTTTGGATAGTTTGAAATTAAACTCAAGACATTTTTTTATTTTTTAAACTCAAGTTTTTGGATAATAATTTCACTCCAATTCTCAAAAAAGCCCTTTTTTACTTCCACTTTTGAAATTTTCCAAATTTTCTTCTCTCTGAAAGTTTTGAGGCCAAATCCTATTTCTCCAACTTTTTTCAACGTTTGTCCCCGATGTTTTCTGAAATCTTTCAAAAATCTCGTTTTCCTTTTTGTAGAAAGGGCTCCGCCCATCGGACGATCTTCGTCCACAGTCCCCGCCCCACTTCCACGCCCTTTCGCGTCGAGACCCGCGTCCATCGTGTGGAGCTTCGTTCTCCAAGTTCTACTGTAATCCGCTAACGTGAAAATGAGGTTTGTTTAGATAATCTTTAAAGGAAAATAAGTTTTCTGTACTTGACGACTTTCAATGGTGATATTTAAGAGTCTATTTTGAAAGTCGAGCAATTTCTTTCCCTACAGTATCTCTTGAATTTTTCATCTTTGAAGTTTCAAACTTCAAAAAACATCATCAAAACGAGATTTTTTCATCACAACACCAAGAAAATTTATTACCGTCGCGTTTTCCATCCAAATGAGTCATTAAAAACAGGTATTCTTGACCGTAAAGATTTTAGAGATAAAACTTTAGGATTACTGTAATTGAATGTTAAAAATTTTGGTGACATGTGGTTTTTTGTCTGAGATAAACAGGTGGTATCAAAGAGCACGAAATACCTGAAATTATACAGGTTTTGGTGAAGAACGAGGAAGTGACGGATTTGATCATCATTTGGATTTTGGTCCGGTTCAGTGTTCATTTTTCTGGAAATAATGAGCGAAACTCATCGTTTTCTAAATAAAAAGTTTGTAGTATTTTTATTTTAAATCCTGTTGAAAATGAAAAAAAATTTCTGAATCTAGTGACAATAATTTTTTATGGAAACTTATCCGAATTTTACACAGAATTATCCCTCTGAAAAGTCCCGTTTTTCCATGAAAACTGACTAAATATAGAGTCTCAAACCAATTTTTACTGAAGAGACTGAAGAAACTTTTCTAATGGTCTTAACACGTCGAGCGGAGCCCTTTGAGGGTTCTGAAGTGATTTTTTCGAGAAGTTTTCAACTAATTTTTTTTTGAAAAAAATTTCTCGTTATAACGCTCAAAATCCTCTCTTACCGTACCCGGCTTTTCCTTGGATCAAACCAAAAATATCCCAACACCAAAAAGTGCAGCAAAAGTGCAAGTTCCATTAGTTCGTTTCCCATGCTCACGAGCTACAAAAGGAAACTGAAATTATGCAATTATACATAATTTTCCCGTTTGAAAGTACAATCTTTTCCGAAACTCTCAAGTTTCACACGGGCGGCGGCACGTGTGTGCTAATGTTTGTGTGGCGCCACTCTTCAAAAGTTTTTTTCGACCCGTTTTTTTGCTGCCGAGAAAACTTTCCATCGAGTTCTGAACGACAGGACGAACTTTGTGCACACTGACGCAGTGAGATCATTGAGCGGTCGACCGCTTTGCTCAGAATCAATATTAGTTCAAAGTTTTCCAGGTAAATAGGCACGTTTCGGGGTCCATTTCAAACTTTAAAATTCGGAAAAACTCTTAAAATGAATTCATGACTCAATTTATGCGCAAAATCCTTACTGAGGCGGTTTGAAGAAGAGTAAAAAGTCTTATCAAAGTCTTCAGGCAAAAAAAAAAATAGCTTGAAGCTTTTTTTGAAAACGGAAACTTTTCAAACTTTTCGAGAAGAAAAGGTGATTTTGCTCCGATTTTAGGAGTGCTCTAGGTTATCATGCCTCAAATTGCAAAAAAACCGTGCCCACCATGCATTTCATTCAGTTTCGCTCCGTTTTGAGCTGGGTTTGTCGTCGAATTTCCAAAGATTAGTAAAAAAACATTGTTGAAAGGAGTTTTTTTCGAAAATCAATTTCTCTCAGTTTTTAGATCACATCAAATTATCAAACTTTCTACTAGAAAAGATGGCTCTTTCAAAAAGAATGTTTTTATTTAAAAAAATTTTTTTGTGAAGTGGAAAAAAATCGCTCCAAACTTCCTACATATCTTTCTTTCTCCCAGAAACTTTCAAATGTCAAAAGTTCCAAAGATCCGCAACCCGACCCATTATTTATGCATGGCTGCATGCAAAACATACATTAGGCCGCGGAGAAAAACTTCCTGGCTCCAACGAGAAGTTTGAACTTTCGGAAAGGGCTCAGAAAAGCTTTCGGGATGAGATAAACACCTGTCGGGCCGACTTTTCAAGTGCAATCACTGCAACTTTGTTTCATTGCATTCTTTTGCGTGCGAAACGGAACAATCCACTTGTTTTGTTTGTTTTTTTTTTTTTGTTTTTGGAGCATTTCCGATCCAACTAGAGTCTAGTAATGAACTTGGGCGTCAATTTGAGCAAATTATATGATATAATAGAAATGTGTCAGACAAAATGTGACGAATTTCAATAAAGTGATCCGAAAGTTCAAAAAACGCTCTGAAAGTTCATATCTCTGCAAAAAAATATACTTACTAAACTTTTTTTCATAAATTCAAAAAATGACTTTTGATGATATTAAACTCACGTTTGCTGATGATTGCTCATGTTACAGACATTTTTGTAACTTGTTTGCAATTTATCCATCAAGTTGAATAAGTAAATCAGTTGATTATTTTCAGTGAAGTGGTCGCAACGCTGCCCCAGGGCACACAGGTCGTCGTCCAGGCCAACCTCCTGACTTCCGACGTCGACCACGCCATCGAGGAAGTCCGACAGGAGGCCAACCCGACTACCAGCTCGGTGAGCAGATGAGTTGTGACAGTGCAAAGGGCAAAGGGCAATGAATGGAGTGTCGAGTTGAGTTGTAACTTCGTTGTGAATCTGGAAAAATATACGTCTTGAAAAGGTCTTGGAAGGTCTGGGCTTTTGAAAAACCTTAATTTGCATGGAGATACGAAAAGGTTCTTGAACCTCGTCTATTAGAAAAAAAGACTTTGAAGACCTCAAAAACGAATTTAAGCTTTCAAAAGTTCAGATAAGCTCTAAATTTTACGTAACACATAGGTCTGTCAAAGCGCAGCCAGAAAAAAAATTATGAAATCTGATTTGTCAAATTTTTGGCCTTCCAATCGATAACGATATTGGACGACGAATAATCCAAACGGCCAAGGCCAAGACAACCTAAAAACCCGTCGACTGAATCAGGCGCCGGCCCCACATCATCCCTTCCACAATCACGCGAATTATCTTTATCTATCAGACGATTACGGTAGCCGCTGGGGCAACCTTCAAAAGTCACGTTTTGATATGTTCTATAGTTTCCAGAGCAAAATACTCTCCCACTGAAATGCCAAATTTTTCAATTACTGCAAAAAGATCAAATATTTGACTTGTTCACGTGAAGCCGACGTGCCATGTCGTGTTGGACAAACTGTTTGTTGAAAGTTTTGGAAAAAAAAGGGTTTTTTTTTGGTCATGACGTTTATAGTTACTACGAAAAGCGAGCATGTTTACCGAACGGAAAATTTGTAGAATAGATTGGGGAGATGTTGAGGTTGCCTATGAAATCAATGTGAACCTTCCAAATCGCCTTTTTTCATCCCTGTTCCGACAAAAAACCAAAAGAAAACCTCATTTTCAAAGCAACTTTGAAGGCCGAGTTCTCAGAAAAATGATCCACAAGAAAACCTATATTGAGATCAAAAATCGATTATTGAACTGCAAGTTACAGGGAGGAGTCGCTCGTTCGAACCGGACGCTATTCTGCCGCAAATGTGAAGGCCACGGGGTTCAGGTCGTGCTCAAAGGCCATGCCAGTCGATGCCCCTTCAATAATTGCTCTTGCAAAACGGTTGGTTCAAGGATCAAGTAAAAAGTAACGAGAAACGAGGAGAGAAATAAAACGGGAAAATTTGACTTAGAAAGGCTCAAATTGCCATCTGTGCAGTGGAGCGCACAAGTTGAAACATTAGGCGGCTATTTTTGCAATAAACATGATTTAGCGATTTTTACTCTGATATTGAACCTCTGAAAAATTTTATTAATAGATGAATTTCCGATTTACAGTGCAATAACGTGATGGCGATGCGCGCCAACGCGATTATCCGACGATATCGCAGCCGAACTCTCGACGGGGGCCTCGTTCTGAAGCCGGTGCATTTTCGGAATGGAAACACCCGGCTCAGGGTTTTCCCCAAGTTTGTTGATGGTGAGTGGAAAGGATAATGTGGGAGAGTTGAGTCAAAAATTAAAATAATGAAAAAAGCTTGGAAGGAGCTTAAAAGAAAATAAGAAACTTGAAGATTTTGGAGCGTCATAACCTGACTATCGCGCAAAAGTTAAAAATTAAATTCATCGGAAAAGCCTGACAACTTTATTGCCTGAGTTTCTGAAGCCTATTTTAGTCATATTTCTCAAAAAAAAAGTTGCCTTCCGTAAAGAAAAAAACGCCTAAGAAATGCATCAATACATTGCGCATTCAGAAACAGATGCGCTACCGATCCCGATGCAAAATCTGCCATCAGTCCGCGAAATCCACCCATCCGGCGAGACGATCGAAATGACGACACGAAACCAGGTCGTTCCCCAGACGCCGCCGGCCAACGGCAACGGAAACGCACCGTATCCGGTCCGACGCAGCGTTTCTGAGGTAGCAGCCTGACGATGAAACGCTGCACGTTGACGCAAAACCGCAGACAAATTAATTGACGGTGCAAATTTAGGAGATCGAGTCGCAGAATCAGAGGAACGACAATCGGCAGAACGATGCGGCCAATGGGAACATGCCACTGGACGAGCTGAAGACCCAGTTCAACCTCTTGGATTTGTTGCTGAGTGAGTTTGAGGGGGTGGGAAAAATTCCGAAATTGAGGAAGTTTCTGAAGAAAAATTGAAGAATCCTAAGTTTCATTTCTTCCGACTTTTTGAATTTAACATCATTGCAGACCCTCAACTGGCACAGAACGGCGCTGCAGATCTTCTCGCTCAAGGACTCTTGCCGTTCACCTCGTCGAACATGCCGGTGATGCCGCCGATGACCAACTACGACGCTCAGTCGCTTCTGGCCTCTTTGTCGCTGCCTTCGTCGTCGTTGACCTACTCCTCGCCAACGACCTACGCGTCCTCGTTCATCTCCTCGCCCATCTTCACCGACAACAACAATCGCAAAGTTCGTCGGTTTTCATGATGATGAGGAAAACGGAGAAGTTCTTGACTAGTTTAAAGGTCGATAATTTTGAATGGATATGGAAGACAATAGTTTTTAAATTTAGCGGTTCAGTTCTCGTCTTTTTGGAACTTCCTTTTTAAAAAGCGAAGCTGCATCTTTGAAATAATTGAAAGATAGTTCGATAACATATTTCTTGAGTTTTCAAGAGCGCTATGGTCCTGCAGCGATTAGAATAAAAAAAGCTGCACCCCTGAGAATTTATGAACTTGCAGCTGACATATGAATCTTTATCAGTTCCGAAGACCCATTCTGAAAAAGTTCAGAAAGAATAATAAGATGTTTTTTTCCAGATCTCGGAGCCCAACTTGGCGTGTCCGACGGCGGCTCTCAGCGAACTCAACCTTGGCGTTTCTACCAACAGCCCAGTTCAAACCATGGCCGACATCAAGTTCAATCCCAACACTTTCAATGGTGAGTTGATAGAAAAGCAAATTATCCAGACCTGAATAATAAAAGTATGGTTACAAATTATTAAGGCCAAAGTTTGCTTACGTGAAAAGTTCTTTCAACTAGGTTTTTGGAATTCACTATGAAATTGCTGTAGGATTTTCGTTTAACGGCAATTGAGAGATCAAAAAAAGGTACCTGTGACCTTTTGAAATCCTTTTTCCCAGAGCTCCTTTTTAGATCCTTCTGGATTTTGCCAGTGAAGATAGAAGGGTTCACCTTGCTGGAGATCTTTTGAAACTACCCACCAGAAATTCCATAGATCTCTCATATTTCATCCAATATGCGCTGATATCAACCGAAAAACTCTCTTCGTCCACTTGGAAAAATTGCTTTCTGACATTTAGCCGAATCCAATTTTCGAAAACACTTCCGCTTCTCAAAAAAAGGCTGAAAACACCTGCTCGTTTCCATTTCGCTAATACATAATGTACTTTGGTTTTTTGAAACACAGCAGCTGGGAAATTAATTCAAGGTTAGTGACTCTGGGGAACGCTTTATGGGATTAGAAATAGTTGAAAAAGATTTTTTTTTCGTTTTTTTTTTTCGCGAAATTGAGCCGCGTAATTCAAGTAGTTGGGTGAATTTGTGCTCTAGAAATACAAAAAAAAGATTAGAATTTATTTTTTTGGGAAAATTACAATGCGATAGATCAAAGGTAGCTTGAAGAGACGCCAGAGAAACTGAAAGTCTCTCTTTCTCTCGTCTCTCTTCTGGCTACTATTGATCTCGTACATCTTGAAATTTATTCATTTTTACTTTACAGATATTTTTTTTCATAGAATCAGCGTTGAATTTTCAAAAAACGCAGAACAAACTATCTTAAGTCTCGTCTCAAAATCTTCAAAAAAAATGTCCTTTTTTTTTAAAGAGACTTTAACTAATGAATAATGAACTATTATACCCTGTGTCGATGATTTCTAGAAAATTTAATAGATGGCTTTTTCAGGAACTTACTCGAGCCCGCCTACGACCACGGAAAACGGCAACGACACTGAGAACTTCAATGAGCAGATCGACGAGATTGAGCCGAAAATTGAACAGCCTGAGCCATTCACCTCGAGTCTGATGATCGCCCCGGGAGCCGACCGATCTCATCCGCTCTTCAAACAGTTCCTCAACACTGTCCGGGAGCTCGAGAAAAACATGCTCTTCAGCTCTTGACGCAGCCTCATTCAAGCCTTGAAAGGCTTCCTTTTTCGGAATATCAGATGATTTCATGGGTACCTGGAAAATGAGCTTAGAAACTTGCATCAGGTGATACTGGAGTTTGGGCCACATTTATGGTACAAAGATAGAGATTTAGCCACATGTGTGCTCCACGGATGAAATACCCAAAAATACAGTAAAAAGTCATTTTTTCTGGATTTCATGAAATTTTGTCCATGGAGCACACAAGACTCCAGAAAAAAGGCTTATTTTTCTATCGGTTTTATCACTTCCAGGTACCCCTTTTCACCTGATTTTTCACCCCTACTTCATTTTTTTTCGATTAGTTGCTACGTAGTTCAGAGTTTTCCATTAAAATGCCACAATCTATACATTTTTCCACATTTATATGTTCGTAGTTGGGCTTGATTAGACTATCCTCTCTTTCAAAATGTTCTACCCTCAGCATTGTTTTAACTCGAAGAATACGACACGGTTAACCCAAAAAACGCAGGTCAAAAGATATTTTTTTTTAACTTGAAATAAAATTCGTACTAACTCAATTTTTCCCTCAAACCTCCTATTTTCAATGATGAAGTCTTTTTTGTGTTTTATTTGTGCTTTAAGGGTTTGTTTTTTGTGTAATTTGTTTGTTTATGTCGATTTTAGTTGGTAGAACGGAACTTACACTCGAAACAGCGGATCTCACGCGCAAAAAATGAAGTGTGCACTCTAAACGTTATACCTTACGCGCAAAAGTTTTTACGGGCTATTATTGATTTAAAAAAAGTAACTTTTATGAACTTTTATAACGATTTTTCAATTTTCCTAGCGGAAAGTCCATTCATAAAAGTTCCGTTCTACCTATTTTCTTATCATTTTCTCCGAAAAACTCTAAAATCTTGAAAAAAATCTAGGAATCTTCACTTTTCTCCTGTCTTTATCATTTTACCTATCTATCTGCGATTCGATTTATTTGACGCTTGGGCCGGGTGACGTCATGACTTGGTCCGATCTCAGGGTTTTGTTAGCTTGGCCCCTTTCGAGAAACCAAAGACAAAAAAAGGCTAATTTGTGAAGATACGGGTGAAAAAGCTTGGCTCTGGCTCAAAAACATGATCGCTGAAATGAAAAATTAAAATTAAAAAAAAAAATAATCGAATTTTAGTAATCAGGTATTTCCCACTGTGTTTTTCCGAATTTCTTCCTCTTTATCATTTTTTTTTTGCTCCTCAAAACAATCCCAGGAAACAGTTTTATTGATTTTCAATGTTTGTTAGATCTCTTCTTGATAATTATTGTATTGAAAAGATTTTTTTTTGTGCGTTGTATCTTTTGAATATCAACTTCTTCTTTTTTTCTGTTTTTTTTTCCTAGTTGGGCCTTGTTTTTCTTGTTACCTTGTTCAGTGTATATTTATAATGTTTAGCTTGGATTTTTTCAATAAATTAACGTATTTCTTTTTGAGAAAGTTTATCAACCAAGTCTACGTAAGTAGAATAGTTACCCGTGTACATGGCAAAAACAATTTGAAGGAAAAATAGGAAACATGAAGGAGTGAGGCAATATACCAAAGCAAAATCTAACAGGTGGGGAAAAAAAAAATGAAAAGATGGTTTCATAATCTTTGTACATACTGATCGTCGCTTTGATTGCTGGTGAGAGTGTTTTTCGTCGAGATTGAGTTTATTGGGATGCCTTTTTCTTCGAGGACAGCCACGGCTCCCTGGAAGAAAAAGAAATCAATTTTTCTTAAAAAATTACCTGAGAAAAATCTATTGAAAACGACCTTACTAAGGTGCCTTTGGTACCTCTTTTTTTGTTTGAAAGGTCCTTTTCTAGAAGAAAAAAAGAAGAATCTGTTGGCAAGTCCTACAAGACCTCACTTAAGGACACGAAAATCCAAGAAAAAAATTTCAAATATTTGCAGAATCTTCAAAAAGAAAGTAAAAAAAAGGACTGATAGAAATCGTGAATTAAGGGCTATTTTTCTAAACTAAAATTCTCCTTCTATCTAAATCCTCTAAACTCTTTCATTGTTTGGTGTAGTATGACGGTCACGGTTAAAAATCACAAAAGAAGCTACCGTAACCCGCACTGTTGCTTTACAAAACTGCAAAAAAGGGTCTTAAAGCGAAATTTGGTCAATTTTGTATCTTTTAAAAAAACGCGACTGGCAGACGTGGATAGACCCCTTATAATCACGATGAGAACCACATATCATTTCTAGAAGAAAAATGATTAGGAAAGCCTAAGTGATCCCTGGAGAGTTCAGGGAAGAAATCCCTTCAGGGGAAAACTAGTGCTTCCCATAGGGTTCAAATTTGTGTGGCCCCTGTTTCCCCTTTAAGGCGAGAGTCCCTCCAGGGACCACTCTGGCCTTCCTAAAGAGATATAACTTGAAAGAAGTGATTTGACTGGGCTAGAAAAAAAACGACTAACCCATCATTTCGGCAAACTTCCGTTGATCTGCGACAATGGTGTAGGCGGCCGCCAGGAACAAAATGACGGAGATGACCAACATCGCCACGCAGAGATAGAATGACGTCACCAAGGAGTGGTAGTGACCGTAGGGAGTGTTGTCGTCGCCTCGGATCGCGTCGGAAATCTTAAAAAGACTCGAGTCTGGGCGGTTAGAAATGAGCGTTGAGTTTGACGATTCACATATTTTTGGATTTGAAGAGGTCAGCATAGACGTTGGTGACAGATCCCACTTTCACGTGGAAAATACCTTTTTGTATTTCTACCATTTTCTTGAAAAGAGGCCTCGAAATTTAGACACACGTGTGCTCCACGGAAAAAAATGGCCGAAAAATACAGAAAAATCGTTTTTATTGCATTTTCTGAGAAGTTTGTCCATGGAGCGCACAAGACTCCACAAAAAGGCTTATTTTTCCGGCGGTTTTATCACTTCCAGATACCCCATTTTCAACTGGTTTGTTGGTGACAGATCCTACTTTCACTTGGAATACACTGTTTTGTATTTTTACCACCTTTCCAGAGCGAAATGAAGTACCAAGAAACCGTTCATTTCGGACCGGACAACCTAATATTTCTGGATATCTGACAAGGAAGGTCAGTTGACTTTGCTGTTGAGAAATCCCGAAAATTCATTTATGCACCAGAATTCGATCCTAAGGCTCCCAACCTGCACAAAATTCTAATTTTCGAGAATTGACGGCTCAAGGCAGCAAAATAGCCTATTTTCACTGATTTCAAGGTTTCTTTTCTCGACAACTAGGAAGTCGTGCAGGATGAGAGTTTCAGGATATTTTTCTGGTACACCAATGAGCGTTGTGTTCAAAGGTTTGGAAAAGCCTTCAGAAGCCAACAAATAATCGAAGATTTTTTAATTTCAGAAGCTTTTCTCCCTAACCTAAAAGCTTCGAAGACGGGAGAACCCGAGCAAAAATAAAGAAATAATATATCCGGTCTGAAATCTTCAGATATAATTCAAAGAAAATAAATCGCCTTGGCTAAAATAAAATAAGTTGAGGTCCATGTGAAGACACGAGCCTCATAGCAAACTTCCTCCTCATTTTTTTTTCAAAAAGTCTGAAATTGAATTCCAAAAACCCAGTCTCATCTGGATAACAATGGCACTTGTAGAAGGAAGAAAAAAACATTATTAATTCAAAAAATGTTTCTTTTTGTCTCAAATTGAACTGAAACTGCGATTAAAGATTGAGAGAATGTACCACGAACCAATCCGAGGATATACGGTCCTGAAGCATCGCCACACAGGTGAGAAATCAGAATTTGATACGAACTGGCCGAGCTTCTCCGTTGAGGGATCACCACGGACTGAAAAATTTCCTATGTTCCGATTCTCAACACTATTGAATACCAAGAGCAAATCAACATTGGTGGCCCAGTTGAAACTGCTGGCCAGGACGCACAAGAACAGCATGATCTGAACCGAAATGAATTTTTTTCTAGAGCTGGAAAAGTACCCAGCAAAAAGTCATGTTGGAGTCCGACAAGTGGAGGATCGCAAAAATGAGGGTTGGAATGGAAATGAAGGCTCCGATGGCGCAGACCAGGGCGTCGGCCCGTTTCGTTTGGATGTGTTTGAAGGGTCCGACGCCTCGGGACCACATCTGAACGTCGAAAATCGTCTTTTTCTCCAAGCTAAGTTCGAAAATCATCTTGTGAGGAAACCAACATTAGAGAAAATTGTTCCAACGGCCACACCTGCAATGCCGCCGACACAGGTGATGGCGCCAAAAAAACCAAGTTCACTCTGAAAATCAATGAATTTTATCGATTTTTCTTAAATAAAAGTGAAAAAAATACACTTGGATTAGGAGACTTTCAGCCTACTTTTTATAAAATCGACATTAATTTCAACTTCAGATGGTGAAAATTCGAAAAATTCGCTTTACAGTGGAAAAAAAGTAGACTACCAAATTTATTGGAAAAAAATAACGTTTCTCCTTCATTTTTTTCATGAATTTCAAGGTGGTCCCTATAGGCAACCTTCGTGGTCCTCGAAGGGTCCCCATTAGGGACCACTTTACCAACCCTTACAGGGTCAGCAAAAGCTAGCAAAAGTGGTCCGTTTAGGGTTTTCCGTTAGTGGCCCCTATAGGGGACATGCTAGTCGATAAACCCCTATAGGGACCACTCAAGCTTGAGGGGCTAAGGGGTCAGACCCTCAACCCCTATAGAAAGCACCTTAATTTTACCCCTAGGGGGGCCACTTTTTCGACCCCGATAGAGGTTGTTTTCCCCTCTAACCCCTATAGGGACCACTCTCGAAACGCTTAGTTTCGCGTTACCATGACCGAGTTAGAGTAAGTTTATCCATAGAGCAAATTTACTGCAAAACGCGCTTTCAACGGGAATTCGAACCACGCACCGATTTTGACTAATTTTTTTCTCAATAACTAGGAATTTCTGTACGTTTTCAAGTACACCGTTGGACATGCAATAAAAAAACGGCATATTTATCTCAAACCCCATTTTTTCTACTGTTCATGTACCGTTAAATGAACCTTTCAAAGTCGTTTTGAAATAAATACCGTTTCTGCTCTGAAAAAAGTAGTACTCCCTAAACTTACTGAGCTTTCTCGCTGTTCGGGAGGTCGTCCGTGCTGTTGAGACCTTTTTTCCAAGCTTCGGCGTGCAAAATCGCCGTCGGGACCCACCAGGCCAAAGTTCCAACCATGAAGACGGTTGCCGTGTAGCCAAAGGTCGATGTGATATACGTGGCACTGGAATATTCTCTTGAATAGTGTCTAGATACAAAAATTCACTTAGTTTTGGTGGGGAAAATGGCTCAAAAATCTTCTAAGAGTCTTTCGTAACTTATAAATTTCAGAGTCGTCCCTATAGGGATAAAGTTAAGATAAAATTTATGGTCACTATAGGGATTTAGTGGCTGACCCCTTAGCCCCTGAAGCTCAAGTGGACCCTATAGGGATCTCTCAATTTCATTTATTCAGCTTTTCTCATGGAAATGCTCATTCTCTTAGAGTTCATAACAATTATCGACTAGCATGTCCCTATAGGGACCACTTTTTGCAAAGCTTTTAGTGGCCCCTGTAGAGGTTGGTAAAGTATTGCGCAACCCTCCAAGGGCTTCTAAGGTTGTCCCTACATTTCTTGAGCAATTCTAGGGATCACTTAAGAGTGCTGACTCTACTAAAGTGGTCAAAAACTTTCGATACGTGTTATCAATGTCCGAGGTTATTTTATAGTTTGTTCAGATTTTGAAAATCAATAACAATGACGTCATTGCAAAACGCTCTGTGGTTGGCTCGATTTCTGATTGGTTTATTGTGGCAATAGGGGCGGAGCTTGAGCGACGACTTGACTTTCAAAATTTTAACAGACTATATTCTTCAAAAAAAGCTTCAAAACTACAAAAAGCTTAATTTAAGTCGTCTCAAATCCCTTTTTCATCAATTTTTACTCTCTTATTTCAGTTTTTATTTTTGCTCTTGTTTCATATTTCTGCCGACCCTTCTCTACATTATTCTGACCCCTTTTTGTTAAATTGAACTCAAATTTTTCTATTTTTTTGATTTTTCATTTTTTTATCAAGTTCTAGGTGATCCATTACATGGATGAATTAACGAGAAATCGACAAACTTGGTGCAGAGATCCTTGAGGTCCTCCCAATAGTTGGTGGCGTCGACGCTGGCCGTAATTTCGCCCCGATCTCGCTCAGCTTTTCCTCGTTCCGGATCACGGATGAATGCGATGATCAGGATCAAACAGATGATTCCTGAAGAAAATTTGAACTCTCTTTTTTGATTGACCATGGCTTTTTTGTTAGTGGGAGAGGATGGAAAATCAAAAAACAGGTGGGTCCTCTACCGCTCAACGGGACGTCATGGGAACGGCAAAGATTTAGGCTCTCAAAGCGTGAATAACAAGGTTTATTAAAGGCGCAGCGGCCGCGTTGCGGTAGGTCGTTGAGACGAATCGAATTCTCACTTTTTTTCTGTGCGAGACACCCGAATATCGCTTACCAAGGAGTCCAGTGACTCGAACACCCCATTGCCAGTGTCCTGTGAGACTGTCTACTGCGGAGCCCACGATGAAACCGAGGCCACTAAAAATATAATGTGAAGATCTTTTTTGAGAGATTCAAGAAAGAAAACTAGAAAAATGTGACGTATTTTTAACAATGTTGCTTTCACGAGATGAAAAAACAATTGGTGGCTTGTTTTTCAAACTTTAATACTCATTTTCTTGCGGAAAATACCAAAAAAGCTGACTCTCTACGGATCAAACTTGATCTACCGCTTTTAACGAATTATTCCTTCTGCGAAAATTTTTAGTGGTCACTTTAGGGCTTTGACGTTTTGAAGTTCCTATAGTAGTCTGATTAGTGGTCACTTAAGTGGCCTTATTTAGAGCTCTAAGTGATACTACTACTCCTCTGGAACTACCAGCTACTAAGACAGAAAATAGTGAGTTTTACAGAGGTTATTTAGTGGCCACTTTAGTGCCCTCTTCAAAAATTCTTTCAAGAGTCACTAAAGTGGCCACTAGAGTTTTCCCAGACCCCTTGAACTCCTATGTAACTCCGGGTCAGATTCTATTCGTTAGGACGAACACAGACCTTCCAAAAGGGATCGCAAAGTAGAAGACCATCAACATTCGGCTTCTCAGAACCCCGGTGAACATGTCAGCAATAACAGTTGGAGAGATGATGGCATAGGAAGCCTCGCCGATTCCGACGACGCCTCGGAGCAACAAGAACAGCCAGAACATCTTAATTGGGCTTATTGAGCTTGAAAATCCTCCGAAAAAGATCCAAAAATCTAACTTCATTTTTTTCTCTTTCTAAAAAAATGGGAAACTGATGTTTTTGAATTCTAATTTTATTTGAACGATTCTGGAAAAACTAAAAATCTCTAGTATGAGCAATAGCTAGCAAACATGAGATTTGTTTGATTTTTTTAAATATTGAATAAAATCTTTCTACACCTTGTGACAAAGTTTGATTAAGATTCGTTGATTTTTTGCCGAGATATAGATATTCGAATATTTGTTACCGTAATCCTATGAGCTACCGTATATGATCCTTTGAGCTACCGTATCTCGAAAAACTAGCCGAGGGAGGATATTCTGTTTTTTTTTGAGCTTTTGAGTATAGTCTTTTCCGATTTCAAATGTCAAGTTCTCCCTCAAGCTCCGCCCCTTAATGGCGCAATAAAACAATCAGAGAGCGAGCCACCCAAAGAGCTTTTTCGAATGACGTCATTCTACTTGACATTCAAAATCTGAACGGACTATATCATTTTAGGTTCAGAAACCAGTCGAAAAAGTCAAAGCCGTACATTACTCGGAATGAAAGTCGAAGCACACACGGCTCCTACCCAAATCGTGATTCCAGCAACGAAAATCCATTTACGGTTGTACCTAAAAATCATATCTACTCATTTTATTCATTTTTCTCGTACCTATCGCCCAGAAAGCCACAAATCGGTGAGAAAATAATAAAAAATATCATGAAAGTCGTTTGAATCAGGCCGCCCCAGGCGTCGGAAATGTGGTAGTAGTCCTGGATATCCGTCAGAACACCTTGAGAAAACAATTTTGAACATTATTGGGATCTCCCAGGGAACCGGCTATCGTGAATCGGTCCATATAGTTGAGAAGGTTGATGATGAACAGGATGGAGACGACGACGACCGTCCAACATCCTTGGAATTCCGAAGCGCCGCTCGACGTCAACGTTGTCGACGGCGTCGGCCTCACCTTCTCGAGGTCCGACTCCATCGGCGCCACCTTGTTCTTGGCCATTACTGAAACTGTTTCAGTGCTTGTTTGGATAGGAAGTCAGTCTGAGAGATGATATTTTTTCTACGGTAAATTGGGCTGAACACTCCTTGATGTGCCAGGATTGAACTTTGAGAGTCCCAACTTTAAAAACTCTCTAGTCTTTCAGAAAGGACATCTCAAAAGGTCGAAATAAGCCCTATAATGCGCCTAATGAGGCTATTATGGAGCTTTGAGCCTTCGTTTCTCAAAAAATTGGAATTTTCGCAGGATGAAACTTCAATTTCTTCTTTTGATACATCGAGGAGTGTTCTAACAAACTTTCAAGGGATTCCAAATCCGAAAATAAAAAGTCAGAAACGAAATAATCAATCAGAGGCACGGAATAATGTCCCGGAAATACAAGAAAATGGTTCGATATATTTTTTGTTTATACAACGATCACATCAATGAAAAATTGTTCAAAAAGAGCATTTTTCAGGTTTTTTCGAGTTTCATCTTTCAAATACTTGCAGCTCTTTCAATGATAAAATTTCAGAATAATAAATTATTCGGGTCTTTCAAAAATTTCAACATCTTAAAATTGGCCATTTTCAGAAATTTTCAATGCGATTTCGTTAATTTACTTGAAAATGCTTCAAAAACGTTGTTAAAATTGAAAAAATGAGACTGTGAAAAACTTATCTCCTTAAAAGAACTGAAAATAAAATCTAAAATGAAATTGAGTCACTGATTGAGTCACTGATTGAATAATTTCCACTTTATAAAATTAGTGGCAAAAAGCTCAAAATTGGATATTGGCTGATTTTCCTTATGTTCCCCAAAATGTTCGAAAGATTGAAATAAAAACCCTAAAAAATAAAAAAAAGGCAATATCCATAAATCAATCAAACTGATTTAAAGTTTTCAAAAATTTTGACAGCTTTGAAAAAATTTTCAACAACAACTTCAATTTTCAATGGTTGTACAGAGAAGGCACAATTTTTCGAGTTGGAAGAAAACTTGGCAAATTTGAAACGTTTTCAATAGTTACAAAAACATCCTTTTTGATGCTGATTAGGGAAACAATAATCAATTTCTTCAAGTCTAAACATTTTTTGTGGAAAGCCCCAATTTTTTTTTTTTCGTATTTTCAAGCTTTTTTTTGAAAAAGTACGATACATCTCTATTTTTTATCAAAGACAACGAAATAATAGTCAGAAAACCAGGGAAAAAGACCAAAAGCTTCATAAAACGTCATAAATTCATTAGACCAAAGCTGTCACTTTTTGATTTATCATTGGGCTCCGGAAAAAATGAAAGCCAGTGATAAATAACGACCGAATAAAATGTGAAGAGAATTTATAAGTAGAAAAAAGAGGAAAATACATGGTTTATAGATATTTTTCATAAGTTATGCATGTTCACTCCTTCAGAATCACTCTAGTTTATGAATTAATTTGAGGAAGCTCAAAAAATCATTCAAAAAGCGAAGAAAATACACCTGATTCACTGAACAAACTTCAAAAAAATTGAAAATAAGATCACATTTGCAACTCTTATAATCGCATTATCATGAAAGTACAAGTTCGTGTTGTTTTTACTCTATTTTTATTGGTTTTTTAATTCAAAACAACCTATTTTCGATGTTTTTGATAAAAAGTGCAAGTTCAGACAGAAAATGAAACTGTATTTATTTAAACTTTTTCAGTATACTTTGCTCAGTGTTTTTCTTATCATTTGAAACTGATAGGGCTCCCGAATTTTCATCATTTTCCGAATAATTGATGTTAATATATCGCCCTGATTTTTTTCTGAGAATTTCAGGAAACTCTAGATCGGCAAACTCGTTTCAAAAAAAGTCAAAAGTTTTGTGTATGAAAAAAATTTTTTTCTGTTTTTTTGATAAGAAAAAAAGAGCGTGATAAGCCTTTCGAAAAAGTCACACTTTTCATCAAATGGCTTAACATGTACCTAGAAAAAAACTGTTGACCAAAGAGTGCCAAACTTAAATAATGTATTTGTTCACTGTGATAAGACAAAAAGAGTGATAAGCTATTTTTTTGTTTCAGCTGTTCGAATTTTCAAGTTAGACTTTAAAGAAAAAAATTTTTTTTCGATTCACTCGACATATAAAATAATTTTTAGCTTGCTCTGATAAAATTTTTTCGTTGATTCGACAGATTGTCAAGTAATAAATGTCCACGAGGGTCGTTAAAAAGACTAGATAACAAGAAAAAAATGGTGATTTGAGTGATTTTTGTTGATCAGGGCAGAAATCTGCTCTAAAAAAACGCGAAGTTTGATGTGAAAAAATGAGCAAAAACCCAGGAAATTTCTTTTTTTCGAAAAGGTTTCAGAGCAAATATTAAAAAAACTCCATTTTTTTATGCCATTTTTCAAAAAAAGGTTCGAAAATTCATCAGAAAAAAATGCTCTAAAAATCAAAAAAATGACTTGACAAAAATTTCGAGCTTTGAAAAATATTTCTCAAGCATTTTTTTCACAGAATTATCAAAAAAATTGAAACTTTTTTTATATTTCCCTATCAACTCCATCTAAAAAAAGAACACAGTCCACTATCTGACAGCTTAAGAGTACACACCTAATGCAAAGAACTGAAAAAGGCATAGACAATGAAATATTTTACTAAAATAAAGGATATTTTGAGCAAAAAATGAATACTCAAAAAGATGGAGAATGTAGATCCTGCTAAATATCACGCAAGTCCGCCTTTTCTCATTGGCTTCATTTACCATAACGAGGAGATTTTGCCACGACAGAAAGAGCTGAGAGAGAAAAACTGATCAGTAGTTGAAGTAAAATTTTTTGAAAAAAAAAAAAAATACAAAAAAAACAAAAAGTCACTTTAAATCAAAATTTAGCATGTTGAACTTTACTCTAAAGCTATTTAAAATTATTCAAAATTTCAATTTATTAGAAAATAGTCGTAAATTTGGTCAAAACTACAACGCAACCGCTAAATTTGACCCATTCTACGTGCGACTAGGGTATATCAAAAATGAAACGCAGCTTAAAAGTACACTGGAATTAAAGAAAAGACGTTGAGTGATAAAATTAGATAAAGAGCAAGCTAAACATTTACAAAAAACTAAAAAAAAACAATTTTTTAGAACTAAAACTCATTCATCAACTGGAAGTAAAAAAATAATTGGATGAAACTAAAGATACCACCGCAGCAGCTCAAAAGTACACCGAAATGATAGAACAAAAGGAGTCTGAAGATAATCAAGGCTTACCACTCCCAAAGACCAACCGTCATTACATGAGGCTTATCGCGGACGAAAAATCGTGGCACGCGCTGATAAATGGCGCCAATTTTGCTTTTTGGGAATCCAGGAGTTTCTTTTCGACGATTTGGCTTGAAGAATATATTTACTGAGCATAAAATTATGCGAAAAAAAAGGAAAAAGCTTGAATTTGCTAAGAAGGTTTTGGAAAAACGTCGACTTGAAACAAAAACGCTCAAAATAAAATTTTCATTCAGTAAAAAAGAGGTAGAAAGAAAAATATGGCCATTTTTCGACAGAGCAGATGAAAATATGAATCGGTGAGTACTAAAAGTGAACAAGACAAAAAGAGATATTATAAAATAAATACATTTCGTTGCAAAAAATTTTTTTTGATATTGAAAACGCTGAATTTTCCATATAAAAAAATAAATAAAGATAATGCAGTACAAATGAAGAAACCTATATCAAATAAATAGGGAAAAAAAGCAAAAAAATGATGAAAAGAAAAATAGGAAAAAAATATCTTTTTTGCGCGTACGATTGAGGCTCTAGTTAACTTTTGCGTACATGTGCTGCAAATTTAGTTTTTACGCAATTTTTTCAGAAAAAATTTTCCCCTCGACATTCGGACCAGCTTCTCGATTGTCTTCATATTCTCGTTCAGGTATATTATGCTTTTGCTGGTTTGTTTTTATACATATTTGTTAAGACTCGTTGAAATGGAAGATGACGTCGAAAAACAGAGAAAAAAAGCGATAAAAAGAAAATCGGTATGTATTTTTCACTCCTTTTTTCTTTTAATTATAAATTTTTCCTCATGCTGCAAAAAATTAAAGATTAAAAAATTATCAAAGAAAAATCTAACAATCTCAAAAAAATTGGTAATAAGGTATAGGAAAGCATGACATTCCAAAAAACCAGTCCAAAAACTCAAAAAACAGTACAAAAGAGCATCGGGAAGGCATTTCAATAGGGGGAATTTTAATAGAAAACAGTAATATTGAAAAAGGTATGCGTAATGCAAGAAGGAGAGGAAACGTTGCAAAATATGAGAAAAATGGAGAAGATTCCACTGGGAACAGGTCAGTCAGTGCGAATTGGCCGCATTTTGTGAGTGAATGGGAGGTGCGCGAAATCGATTGAATTCCTACCGAATCCGTCGATTTTTACGATTTGTACTAGAAATTTCGAGGCGAATCTGATATTTCATGTGGCGATTTGTTTTTTCATCGTCAAAATTTTTTTTCAAATCGAAAAAAATCGACGAACTCTTTGCTTTGAGAAATATTACTTTATCCGCTTTTAAATTCATGAAAAGGCATTCTTTCAAAAAAAGTTCTACACTAAAGTGAATTCGGGGGAATTTTAGCGAAAAAGTATGAATTTCATAGTTTTCTGTTACATACTCTGTTAGGGCGTCATTATCCAGTTGAAAAATCTTATATTTATTTGCTGGAAAATTTCTCTAATGATGTTGTTCAATCCATTTTTCCGCATGCCTAGATCACCCACTGATGAAATTTCCAAAATTAGTCATTTTCCATTTTAGCGACAACAAATCATCTTTTTCAATAATATTTTCCAACTTCTCAGAAATGAAAAAGCGAGAAAAAAAACCGTTTGTCAATAGATTTTTTGACGTTTTGTTGGCGCGCTTTGTTGATTTTCTATGAGCAATTCGTATACTTCTCTCGAATTCTTCGAGTATTCGCACTTTAATAAGAAGAACTGTCTTCAATGTGGCTGTAGAAGTCAATTGAAGCCAATCTAAGTGCGACCATGACAGATTTATCGAAGCACAATGTTATTTATAGTCTGTGGGATTTCACCGAACGACACTCCGCTATTCCGTTGCGTCGCGAAGCGTCTTTGCGAGCCTCGGTCTCGCTTTGAATTGGTTCTCATTTCTGATAGATGGACTGTTCCAATAGAAACACGTGTTGGTCGAGTTCTTAAACAAAATAAAAAATGAAAGGCGCGGCCGAGCACGCAGCGGAACAGCGGAATGTCGTTTAGTGAAATTCCAAGTCGTGGTACAAAAACTATATACGAAGAGTATTCAAAGGAAGAACATTAATAACGCGATGATTTTCCGCAACACCGACAACATTTCCGCGAAAAATCCGGGTGATCATTTGTCGGTAGGGCGCGATTGTCGTTAGATACAAGGCGCAGATGAATAAACATAAAGACTGGGTCATTATGGTTATTATGAAGAATAGAGGCACTCTGGAATATTTTCATATGATTTTTTAGAAGAGATGTTACTTTATTTTTGGATGCTCGGAATTTTCCTTTTTTAACTTTTCAAATCTGAAGATCGGAAGGAGATTTCTCAAAGTCGTTACCTGAAATGTTTCGATTTTTGATGATACAATCTTTCAAAGTTGTCATAATTGATTGTAGGGCTAACTTTCGTTTCAAATTTAAAAAAAATTAACATCAAAAAATATAATCTATCAAAAGAAACCGCTAAAAAGGTCCTTTAAAAATTTTTTTGGCAAAGTTATAGGTTATCGCAATCTTCACGCTAAAAGTATCTTCCTTTTTGGATTTTTTTTCGATTTTCTTAGGAAAGCTTACTTTTCGGATATCCTCCATTGAAAAATAGGTAGAATGAAGGTGATTAGGGCAGGTAGGAAGCCGCAGAAAAGAACGGCCAAAACAGTTCCAAGTTCGATAAATAGAATCTTTTTTTGGAAGTTCTTCTTATACGTTGAAGTGAAGAAAGTTTGCGCTCGAACCCTGAATATGGAAAATTTGAAAGATCTTGGAAGATTTTTCGAAAACCGTGACTGTTAGGTACATCTAGAAGGATTTTGATGATCATTAGAAAAATTGGGCAATTTTATCACTACCTACATTTTCTGGAAATAGAAAAATTATAAGTAAAGCTCACAAATGAGTAAGATAAGCGGCGAAAGAAGACGCTCCCAAAGAGATAATGGAAGATTTGGCGAAAGCCAAAAGAACGAAACGTCGATGTTTCGCGATGAAAGCCGAACTTTCTTGGAAAACCCCAGAAAGCTCAGGTCTCTCATCAATAGCCTCATTTAAGAGATCTGCCTGATCCCAAACCATCGTCTTACAAATTGTGATGGAAAACAAAATCTGATCAATCCCGAAAACAGCAATCTCAAAGTATTCCACATATTTGGCAGTATTTTCTGGAGTCAGGGAAAATAAATCGAAGCGACTAGCCATCATTCCGTTCCGGATGATCGTGAAACAGCAAAGGGTGAGGGAAATCCGAACTAGGAAACAAAGTACAATCACCATTGTCATTGTGATTTTGTAGCTGAAAGGGAAATTGATAGTGATTACAAACGGGGAAGGGATCATGAAAGTTAGGCCAGTGATTGGGAAATAAATTGAGAGGATGCAACTGAATACGACTTGAGAAACTAGGGGGATCTTGTAGAAATTCAGCATCTTGGAGGAGCATTTCTGAACGATTAAAATGGCCGATAAGGCTAGGCAGAATAATAAAAGCGGCGTAGAGGATGTTGACGTAACGAGTGTAGAAGTTCCTGCTGAAACATGGAAAGTTTTCGGAGACTGATTTCCGAAATTTTGGGTTTCTTTTTAAATTTCAACGCTTTAATTTATTCATGCCGTTTTTTGCAAAAACAAACCAAAAATGGATTTATCATTAAGTTTAGGTTGCTGGGTAATTTTGAAGCAAAAGTTTCATCTTGTCTTGCTTATTTGAATCAGTTTTGAATCATCATGATTTTACGTAGAAAGGCTTCGTTGCGGTTTTATGTGGGCTACTATTTTATAATTTTCAATGCAAAAACGCGCAAGTCGTATTGGGTCGGGCGCGTCTTGAAGCAGCCCAATCCAAAGGTGATCATGGGTTTTTTATTGGTAATATTATCACATAAGTTAAATAAAACAATATTAACTACTTGATACTTTGTTGAGTTTTTTGCGAAAGGATTGAGCCATTTCTTAAACCCTTTTTTAAAATTAAATACTTTTGGAAAAACGAAACCTCTTGTTATAAGAATACATCTTATAAAACTCTGGAGCCTCGATGGACATATTGAAGTCGACAATGAATTCATCGAGAAATCCCATTAAAAAGCTTAAAGACGAATATTTTGTTGACCGACCAGGCCTTTTTCATCGCTACTCCCTCCAGTCTAGCGCCGGCAGCGTTGCACATTTTAGTGAGAATTAATTAATCAGTAGAAAGTCTCAAATATTTTCGCCTTGAGAAAGGTCACCGATCTGAGAGCATGAGTAATAAAGATTGGAATTTATTTTGATGAGCTGGCGGGAGAACAAGAGCGAATAAACATTCTTTTGAACATTTTAAAACTTTGAAGCTTTTTGAAAATCAAAGACTGTTGCAAATTTAGTTTTGATATAAGCTTCTCAGTTTTTTTTCGTTTCCTGTAAGAAAAGTGTCTGTTGTTACGGTTTCTAGGAATAATTTAGCGAAAACCGTTTTGAGGTCGGGTGCCCCGTCAAAGTCGCTTTTTTCAAACACAAACCTCTCATTAAAATGATACAACCCGTAAAACTGCGGCGCCACGACGGGTGGCGCCCTTGCTACTCAAAAAACTTCTACAGTAACCCATGATGGTATGTACTGAAAAAGTTCTTAAAATTGTAATTGCATACGGACCTGCCTACCGTAACCTTGCTACGGTAGGAGGAATCGGTCTGAAAACTTGCGTCGTTGTTTCTAATGACAGATTATCACAGTGGGTGAAGTTTCATCGAAATCGAAAAATATTTTCCTATTGTACCCACTGTTTTCCATAATTACAGAGACAGCGTGTTAAAGTTCACGACGAATTTGTCATGAAAACTCATCGAAAAAGCTGCAGTCAATCTTGTCTTTTCAAAATAACATCCGATCCTGTTCATTCTAGTGGAAACCGAGCGATTCTAAGCGGAACCAGTTTGAATATCGTTTTTGGAAAAGCAATTTCATTGCCCTAGCAACCTTGTTAATGAACATTTTTTATGTTTTTTTAACTGCCTATTTTTTTTGTAAGAAAAAAGCCGAAGCGAAGCGAAAAACTCGAAAAAATAGCTTTATTTTAAATCCAACCCTAAAAGCTGAAACAGGAAATGATATGAAACAATTCAAATTCATCCCTAAATCCAATATTTGATTGCAATTTGAAATAAAAAAATACAATATTTTGACATTGGAGTATTTTTTTCAGTTTATTCCGTCTTAAGGTCATTCCCGAAAAGGTGATGGAATTCATCAAAAATTAGTCCGATCGTTCGCAGGAACAAACGAAGTTTTTTTGCTGTCCTGTGGGGCGATGAAAGTTCCACGACGGATCCGAATAACTGCTTGGCGATAGGGCGTAATTGACGTGAGATATAAAAGGCAGATTATCAAACAGAACGATTGGGCCATCAGAATGAGAAGAAAAAATAGTGGAATCCTGAAATATTACTAGATATTTGTGTTGAATTACAGCTGGGTAGTTGAGAAGAGTATGTATTGAAAAAAAAAGAAGAAATTTGGGTTTAAAAAAAAGACCTCAGTATGAGGAATTTGGGGAGTTTTTAGAGAAATCGAAAGCTTCTGAGGCTTTTCCGGGACTTGTTTGAGTTCTTTCGAAGCTTTTTGACTTTTTTGAAATATAATCTTTTTCCAGTCAAAAATCATCTCACCATTGAGGAATCCGCCAGGGCAGCAATGGCAAAACGAAAGAGCTCAAAACAGGAACAAACGCACAAAAAATGAACGCCATTATCGTTCCGAGTTGGATGTACATCAGCTTTCTCTGAAGAGATTTCCTATGTGGGGACGAGAAAAAAATCGTGCTTCGCATCCTGAAAATATGAAATTTCTTTCCAGAAAGATACAACTTTTGAGACTTTATGAGAAATAATTCTCAAGAAAAGTAGAGTTCTGAGCTCTATGATAATAGGGCTTTGGAAACCGAAATGAGAGATCAGCGGAAGTCTGAAGAGACGCCAGAGAAGTGGAGTCATTCCCTCGTTCTCTGGAGTCTCTTCAGAAGCTCATTTCTTTCTTTTACCTTCAAAAATTTGAAATTCGAAAACTCACAGTTTGACAAGATAAGCGGCGAAGGAAAATGAACCAAAATTAATCACAACAGACTGAAAAGCCGCTAAAAGGCTGAACCGTCGGTGAATGGCGAAATAAGTCGAACTTTCTCGAAAAACTTCCACAAGTCTTTGGTCGACATTCAAAGCGGTGTTGAGAAATTCATCCTGCTCCCAGACCATCATTTTGTACATTGGATAGAAATAAATAAACTTCTCGACGAAATAATACACGGTTTCGAAACGTTCCACGTATCTCGCAGTGTCTTCTGGACTCCATGTTGAAATCGCGAATCGGGTAGCGACCATTCCATTCCGAATAATCGTGAAAGAGCAGAGGGACAGGGAGATCCGAAGTAGATAGGCTATGAATATGGTCATTCCGATGGAATATTTGTTATCGAAGCCGAAGTTGTAGGAGACGACCATCGGGGTGGGCACCAATAAGGTCAGGCCACTGATTGGACTGCAGATTGAGATGGCACAGCTCATCAGAACTTGAGCCAGGAGCAGGAACTTGTAGATGCTCAGCATGTTGGTGGAACAGTTCAGGATGATGGATATGGTTAACGAAGCCACGATAAGAATCAAACCGGCGTAGGTCAAACTGACGTAAATTGTGTAGGTGTATCGGCTTAAATGTGACATTTAAAAAACATGCAAAAAAACTTTTGAAAGGGTCAGCTTTGCACAAAATGAAATTGCAAAAACCCACCTTTTATTATAATAATACAAGTCGTAGAGCTCTGGAGCGAACTCGGAAATATTAAAATCAGCCAAATATTCGTCGAAAAAGCCCATCAAATGATGCAAAAACGAATATTCCGACGCAAATTTTACTTAGTTCCTTGTCTTTTCTAATATCTGGTGAATGGGGACGATGTTCATCGGAGTGAAAACTAATACGAACAAAATATCAGACGCAAAAAAAACATTGATTCGTCATCTTAAGCCAAATAATTCTTGGAATAAGCAAGAGAAGGTCACGCGAAAAGTTGATAAAAAATAAAAATAACTCTATTCGTTTTTTTAAAATCTTCAAATTCCCTTCGGAAAGATTAAAAGATTAAAAAAATTGAGAAAAATTCTGTTTGTAATCCTTTTTCTAGGGTTTGGAGATCTGAAGAATTAAAAAAATTTAAAAGAAGATTAAAAAAATTAAAAAAACAGGTCCAAATAAAAAAATAAGTCAAAACTAACACTGAAAACGATTCTTCATCTCGAAACCTTTAAAAAAATTAAGCCATGCACCTTTAAAATTTTTACAAAAACCTTCGAACAGCCTCATAACCTAATCATTCTAAAACCTCAATCACTTCCAAATTTTAAGAAATGCCGTAATTCTTTCAATTTTCGTGTGACTGAACCCGTGAGAAAGTCAATTAAAATGTACTCATTAGTCAGTTTCTCAACAAAACCAAAAAAAAAGAAACGAAAAATTTGAAAAAATCTTGGTATCCGACACATTTTCCCCGTTCTTTGGCTTGTTTTCGCTTCCTCATTCATTGAATTTTATTCCCAAATTCGCAGGTTAGAGTGAAATTGAATGCTTTCTAGAACTGAGAAAAATCAAATTATTTATACGTTCACGTATAAAACTTGAGTATTTTGGTTGTGCACCGAGTTGATTCTTCCAGTTCTTTTTCTCCTGTCGAAAAGGTTGATTAAGGCTTTTCGGTAAGGTGTGATCATTGTCAGGTATAAGGTACAAATAACTAAACACAGAGATTGAGTCGATAGGCAGATAAATAGCAGGATTGCAGTGCTGAAAAATTGTCAAATCATACTTTAATTAATATTTAAAAAAAATATATATAAAACAGGCTTTTTTTATCACTTTATTTGAAAAATTGAAAAAGAATGGCTCAAGCGTCGCGGTTGAGGCTAGACATTGAGCGTTTTCAATGATTTTTGATGCTCATGCGCGCAAATCGGTTTGAGTCGGCCGCAACTTGACAACCGAGCCATTCCGCGTGCGACCACAAACATTTCTAAAATCGCTCACCTTGCCGCAATCATCCTGTACGGCATCATGGGTGAAAAAAAGACAACAGTCAGTGGAACGACGACACAGAAAAAGAAGGCGAAGATGGTCCCAAATTCAATGCAAAGCAGTTTTCGTTGAAGGTTTTTCATGGCCGTCGAAATTGAAAAATTGATTTTTCGAGTTCTGAAAAAATATTTCACTTTTATTTTTCACAATTATCTTGAAATTTTTTTTAAGGAACAAGTCTAAAAAACAATCATTTGAAATGCGGCCCATGAATGATCTGAAAGAACTTTGCATGAAAACATTTCTTCTCAAAAATTTTGTTTTAGCCATGGAGCGCACTTCAACTGCCGCATGGGGCTTTTTTTTTTCAAAGCCAGTTTTGAAAACAGTAAAGAAAACATACAAACTGAGAAGATAGGATGTCAGAATCAGTGCCGCTAGAATCGCACTCGCCGATTCCACTGGCGAAAATAAAGCCGCCCTTTTGTACATGGTGAAGTAGGCAGAAGTCTCCAGAAATATCTCAGTCAATCGAGGTTCGATCGATATTGCCCGATTAATGACGTCATCTTGCTCCCAATCCAACATCACGTAATAGAGGAAAAAAGCGAGAACGCTATCCACCGCGTAAATTATAGCCTCCAGAATCTCCAAATTCTTCAAAGTTTTCTTGGTGGACCAAGAGAATAACATGAATCTGCTGGCGAGGACGGCATTTCGGATCAGGGAAAAGGCGCAAAGTTTCAAGGAGAATCGTACAAGGTAGAATAATATGATAACCAGGGCTATCGTATACTTGTAGCTGAAGGTGAAGTTCAAAGTGAGAACGACTGGAGAGGGCGGAAGGAAGCATACTCCGCTGAGTGGGATGAAAACTGAGGCAGAGCAGGTCATTGTAACCTGCAATTTTCTTATAAAGAAAAATGGGTATTGAAAAATACTAAATAGAGTTTTTCCAACTGGAAGTTCCGGCAAAATTCGTACACTTTAGAGACTTGAAAGGACTCTCGGATATTGATAAATGCTCCCGACGTTTCTGAGCAAATCTAGGGATCACTTAAGAGTGCTGACGCTACTAAAGTGGTCACTAGAAAAGACCCGACACGTCCGTTCCGCGTTACCAATGTCCAAGCCGTAAAAGACGGTTGATAAAAAATGGATCTTGCGGCAAAGTTGCTCCACGGATAAATTTTGGAAATTTCATTCTAATTTTTTTGGCCTAGTTCGCTGGAACTTTTTCGAATCTATTGATAAGGAATTATTTCAAAAAATTTTGAAAAAAAAATTTTCTAGTGCTTTTAATTGGGCTTCTAACATTGTATAAAAAGCCCATTAATTTAAAAAAAGTTTGACATTTTTTTCTTAATTTCTGGCGAAAAAAATTTTTGGAGATAGTTACTAAAAAAATGTGCTCCTAAAAAGAATTTTTTTCGCGATTATTTTTACTATATCGAAAATCTAACTATCAAATAAAAATCAATAAATGAATAAGTAAACAGTTGAAAAAAACGAACCTGTGCTGAAAATAAAAACTTCCCGAAGTTCATCATCTTTCCCGAACTACTCAAAATAATATAAACCGTCAAAAAAGCGACAATAACAATTATGACCGCATAAGCCGCAATAATAAATCGATGATAGAAATGACGGCTGAAAAAAATTTCTGATTCATCACAAAGAGTTTCAAAGCAAACCTTTGGTAGATCTCATAGATTTCATAAAATTCCAAAGCGATTTCCGTGAGATTATACTCGAAGAGATATTCATTGAAGAAGCCCATTTTTCATCAATTATAAGGGAAAAAGGGAAAAAACTGGATTTAACAGCTAGTTGATTCCAAGTAGCAAACTATGGGATTTGCACCTGCTCGTTTTTGGTTTTTGTCCCTCTTCTCAGCAAAAAGGAAGGTGCAACTAATAATTATCATAATTTTGTCGAGTTATTGAAGTATTTGGGTGGGAGGTTCGGTTAACTGTTACTTGTTTACACTAAGTACATATAATTTTAGTTCTATAACCAGTTTTGAATTTCAACTTCAAATTTTTTAAATCGTTAAGAAACCAAATGATCGAAGTACCTGAGTCAAACCTCGAGAATTTTTTTTTTTCTGATCAAGTTTTAGTCGATTTATCGAACACTCAAATCAATATTTGTCAGGATGATCTTGAGAAAAAGGCGCTTTTTTCAGTTAGAAATAATAAAGTTACTGGGAAAATTTTTAGTGGCCTCTAGTTTTGACGTTTTTAGTGGCCACTATAGTAATCAAATTAGTGACCACTTAAGAGGTTAAAAAAAGTTTAGTGGTCACTATAGAGGTCAATGGATCATCATAACTGGTCCAATCTGTTGGTTTTAAAATTATCAGAGTTACTGGAAGGAGTACTGGATGAAAAAAACTACTGAAGTGGCCACTATAGAGGTGGGTTTAGTGGCCACTTTAGTGTCCTCTCCAAACAGTCCTTGGCGAGCCCCTATAGTGGCTACTGAAAATTTAGACATTATCTATCGAAAAGGTCTTGTTCTCTATAAGACTTTTTACTTCAACTCGATGTTTAGTTCCCCGATTTTCTTTCATTCTTCTTCCATTCAAAGCTGAAAGTTCGGATTGAATCAAAACAAATATTCGTTTCAGATGTCTTCCTGGAACTTGAGACTATGGAAAAAAAATTTTTATCGATTTATCAAGGTGAAGTTTCTCTATCCGCTGTAGGGAACGATCTCAGGTCTGTAGGGTTTCGGATGATGAGGCTGGTAGGATGGTTCAGGGTAGTGTTTGTAGCTTGGCTCGTGATGGTACGAGGGTCGGTGGTGGTGGTACTCCCTGAAAAGGAAAATTGCATTTTCCGACCCATAAGGAAGGTAACTTCACCTTGACTTTAAAATTTTCATAAAACTGGCCAGATAACTCCTTGATCTACCAAATGAAAATTCTCAACTTCTTTGTGTGGAAAAAACAAGGCTATAGTCTATTTCTCCAGCTTCGATGATTTATTCAGGTCTCGAAACTAGGATGAGTAGACTGTTACAGGAATTTTTTTTTTCAGAAAATCAAAAAGTTAACAGTTTTCAAAAAAAAGTCAAAGGAAAACTACCTTCCTTATCAGAATACAATAAAACTTGAAAAAAGGTACCTGCTCTTGCTGTAATCACGACGATAGTGGGGTTTCTTCTTGTAGTGGCGCTCCTTATGAGGGTAGCCACTGTCGTGAGTTATCATGGTGATAGTTGTCGTGGCTGTATATCATCTTTTTAAAGAAAAAAATTTTTTTAAATCGTATTTTTTTCGACCAGTAGTAATGATTTTTGAACAAAAAAAGTAGAAAATTATCTGTATGAGAAGGATTTTTTTCAATATCAAGCATTTATCAAAAAGCTTCAAGTCTCTTCGGAAAAAAATTTTGAACTAGAATCGTGAAGAAAAAAAAGACACTTTTGTTTGATTTTTCTCATCAAATTATAAATACAAATATATATGGAAAAAAATATTTTTTTATAACGGTTCTCTTTATGAAAAAAATGCGTCGCTGTGTTTGCGTACCGCGTAAATCCACATGAGCAAATTTGTTTTCCCCCAATAAATTTCTTTTGTTTGGCGCCTTTTTAATTTTTGTTTTCATCTTTTATCACGAATTCTATTGCATCAAACTTTTCATTTTTCAAAAAAAATAATTTTTGAGCGTTTAAAATTCAAAAATTGCCTTTTTGAAACTATTTTTTTGACTGCAAAAGGTCGAAAAAAATTCCTGTTCTTTTCTTTTGATAAAAAGCAGAGATGATCCTTAAAACTTACAATTTTTCAAAACAATTTTTGTTTCATTTTATAACGCACTTAACGATTTATTTTTGCATGGTGATTTTACCAGCTTCAAATTATTTAATCAACTTCGAACTCACTCGTTATAGGATGGTTGTCTATCGTAAGAATGGTGCCCGTAGGAATTGGCGTAAACGACGGCGAGCACAGTGGCCAAGAGAAGAATGAGTAACTTCATCTGGAAGAACTTTGAAAGGTGAGAAGTTTTTCAAAAATTGGAGTTTTTTTAGATAAATTTTGAAAAAAATGTGTTGCTCTACTGAACAAAAATTGCTTGGAAAGATGCTCAATCTTTGAAATTTTTTTCCGGGCAAGAAATTTTTGAGAGAGTAAGGAAAACGTAAAAATTTTTGAAGACTTCCTTTTTTGTTGAAAGTTTGAATTCCAGATTCAGTTTATTTCAGTTTAAACAAGAAAAAAAAGATATAAAGAAAAGTTTCTCGTTGAAAAGTTTTGTTTGAATTTGAATTCATGACTCTCCTTTATACGCAAAGAATGTTGTTTCTCAAAATGAACACAATTGTTTGAATTTTGAATATTGTTCTTCGTTGTCTTTTTATTCTATCAAGAAACATTTTTAGACAGAGAAAGGAAAAATAAAAAAAACGTAAAGTATGAAAAAAAGTCACTCAATAATTCAAATAAATTGAATATTCCTTTCGAAAAATATGAAAAAGTATCTAGTAGATTTCTCAGCAAAGTCATAAGAAAATCGACTGAGAAAAAGTGGTTCATTTTTTTCCCAAAAGTTGAGTTTTTTTAATTTTTTCCTGCAATGTTTTTAAAAAAACCCGAGGACCTTGACAGTTTTTTTTCAAGATCTTTGAAGTCAAGAAAAAAATATATTAAAAATTATTTCACAGGATTCATCATTAGTTGGTGCTTTCCGGATTAGAAAAATGATAATTGATGAACGGTTTTTTACCGTTTTTTTTTTACTTATGAGCGTTTTTCAGTTTTTTTTATGGAAGCTATCATAAAAAGCTTCTGGCTTTATTTTTGATTCGGCTTTTGGTTCAGTTTGAAAACCTTTGCCGATTTTTTTCAAAGACTCGAACCTACGACCTCGCGGACGTTAAAAATAAGTCTTCATCAGCTGACTAGGGAACGTTTTTTTTAAAGTGCGAGCACTTTTTTTTTGCCTTTTTTGATGAGTTTTAAAGCTCTTCATACCATTGGATTCCGAAAATTCGTTTTTTTTTTTGAAGGAATATATGTTCTATTCATTTTAAATCATGAACTTGGCCAGGTTAATGTAGGTTTCAGCGTAGTAAGAATAAGAAATGAATTAATTTTTCACTCGTTGCTTTTTTTAGAATGCCCAAAATGATTCTGTTTCATGGCCAAGAACTGATAAAGTTCGAAATGGCTTTTTTTCAATTACAACTTGTAGTTTTTGAACACGTTTAATTAATAAGGCTGAGAAATTTATGAATCCAGTTGGTGTACTTGGAGGAGGTCGAAAAACTCACAAATTCCTGGATTTTTGAGAAAAAGACGTCTAAAATGTCCTGTTCCACTAGTTACTCACACCTTTCTTTGATTTTGAAGGTTTTTCGAGCATTTTCTTAATTCAGACTCTAAAAATCTTCATTGGGGAGTTTCTGACCATTTTTAAGGGCATTTTCGAGTTTAAAACACATTTCCTTCTCTTTTAAGAAACCGAAAGGTCGTCAGATTGGGATTCCAAACAGTATTTTTAAAAAAATTTTTCGAAAAAAATTTCAGAATTTACTGTCCCTTTTAACTAGGGAACATCTATTGCGGAAATTTTTGCTCTGCAATCAGGGAGTCCTAAAGTACACCAGCAAAGTTTCAGCAAAAAGTTCAACCGGGGCGGGGGTTAAAAAAACGTTTCCTAGTGAGCTATGCCACCCCCGTGAAGACTCTATCACTTGACATATCAAAGGGAACGATTTGGTCTTAAAACTTTTATGATTCAAGTCATTTCTCCTTCAAAAACTCTTGCAAATAATTGAAAAGACTAAAGTTCACTCTCTTGTCCTTTTGTTTTCCTTCCACGAATCTGTCATGATCGGTCCTTCCACACCCCCATTTTAATAGCCTTCTTTTTTCTCGAAACCTCCCTGCAAACGGTCTTGGCCAACCGTAAAAAAGAAGTTACCTACTTACATCAGACCCAATTAGAAGCAAAGTTCGCAAAAAGTGCGAAAACAACTGACGTAACGATTTTCGGGCACGATAACAGCCTTCCGCGTGCGAGAAGAGGCCTCAACAGTCTCTGGTTTCGTGATAGTTCAAGAGATTGAGAAAAGAATTCCCAATAGTTTTTTCCCCCAACCCGAGAAATCAAACCTTCAAAGAGAAGAATAGAGCCATTTTCTCTTCAAAAATCGGTGAAGAAGACGATTTTCCACTCACAATTAACGTCAAGTGCTGACGTCGACCTTTTCATCCAGCCTTGATGACTTGCTCTCAAGTTCGATGCCTCGAAATTTGAGTGTTTGCATGCTGATTTTCCTTTTTCACATGAACTTTGGACTCTTTAGAAGGATATAAACAATGATTTAGATCTTATTCAGAAGCCATGAACCTGAGAAAAACTCTGAAAAAGTGGGCAAAAAAATATGAAAAAAAGAGACTAGAGGAGATAGTTTTTCCAAAAACCTGAAAAAAACTACAAAAATTTTTTTCAAAGCGATCTTTCGTGCTGTAATAAACAGTGTAGTTAAATTTTTTTTAGAAAATTACTTGAACCGGGAGTGTAGGACAAAAGCGCCGGTTCCAAGAGCGCCGATCAAATTGAGCGCCAGTCCGCAATGCGCCGTCGCGTGTATGCGACGTGTAGGCAGACACCGCTTTCTTTTGCGCCGAGTCCGTTTGCGCCAAATCGTTTTGCGCCGTTATTTCAAACTTTTATTTTTTCGCTCTTTTTCTAACATTGTTTATTGATTGTGTAGTACACATTCATATACAACTCGAATAATTTTCTCGCCATCTGTTAGTATGGACTTTTCTGCCACATTTTCGGACTCGGCGCAAAAGAAAGCGACGTCTGCATACACGTCGAATACACGCGACGGCGCATTGCGGACTGGCGCTCAATTTGAACGGCGCTCTTTTGTCCTACACTCTGAACCGGGCAAAAGACTCTCCAAAGTAAATTTCGAAGAAAACTGATTGAAAAGAAATTTCAATATAACGAAACTATAATCTGGGAACAAACACCGAAATGTGTAGTTTTAAGCCTCTTCATTTTTGTAGTTTCTCACGAAAGCTTCATAAATTGATATAGCTGAACGAAGTGATTCATTGTAGTTTAAATTGTTTGGATAGTCTTTCTTTTCAAAATCAATAAGTTCACCCAAAATGTTCTTAAAGATGTGGTACGAATTTTAAAAAGATTTTAAGATACTTAACATCATTTATAAACCAAGGCTACTGAAGCCTCTTCAGGGGTTGGTAATGTACTAAAACTAAAACTAAAGCTTGCAAAAGTGATCTTTTTAGAGGACATGCTAGTCGATAATTTTTGTGTACTCTATGCAAAGAAGCGTTTCCATGCGAAAAATTAAACAGATAATCGTTTTCCGGATGAAATTGAATATTTTAAAGCATGACTCAAGCGTACGAATATTCTAAAGCATGACTCAAGCGTACTGACTGCAAAACGGTTCATCGGACCTGAAACGAGATTCGCGCCGTAGCATTGGAACCATCAGATCCAACTGCTCGGCCAAAAGGCTTCTGTAGATTGGTTTTACCGCGATTTTGTGAGCCATTCTACGTGCGACCATAATTTTTTAAGTTTCAGGGAACTCTCATGAATTGAAAAATTTTAAAATCAGGCTCTAAAAACGAAAAAAGCCTAATTTTTCTTTTCCAGATCAACTTGCAAAATTTTTCAAAAATGCTGGGAGAGATGCTCTTAATCTCGCTCGAAGGAGTCAATCGGAAAAATCCCAGCTTCATCCACCATTTCCCAAGTAAGTTCAATTCCTCTGCAAGCTTGCAAAAAAACCTAATTGTACCTTTTCTCTGGATAAAAGACAAAAACCTACAGTATTACATAGCTCAACGACCATCTAACAAGAAAAACAAGACATATTAGATCATCGTGTGGCAGACCCTTTTCTGTGGAATTGATATTGTAGTCGAAGGCGTCGGATTTTATACCCCAAGTTCAACAAAAAACAAGCGCCCTGTTGAGCTTGCATACAATATGTCATGCGACAAAAATGAGATCAGGAATTCTGAGAAGTTGGAGTCACTTTATCGGGTTACGGTAGCTTTCGACCTTTCTAAGCGGAGAAAGTTTTAGTGGTCCTTTTAGGGGTTTTCTTTGGTTTTTCTGAGCTAGTCTTTTTCGTTGGTTTAGAAGCAACTTCGGCCCCAAAGTGACCCCTGTAGTGGCCTCTTATTGAATGGTTTTTTAGACTTATTCAGCTTAAGCGAGTTTAATATGGCTGTTCTTTTGTACCGAGGACTGAAAGGCGAGACTTTTCAGGAAGTGGCCACTGAAGGGGTACTTCTTGAAAAGAACCCTAAAGTGTCAAAAAAAGTTCATCGAAGTGATCGTGTTTTAGTGGTTTTTGTTGAGGGCTTTTTGAACAGCTTGTCAAAAACTTTTTAAGTAATTTTTTTACGGTTTTTTTTCTCAAAGTAGTAACTTAAGGGTCATTTTTTGGGCGTTTGAATCGATTTCCGTAAAAAGAAACAAAATTCACTTGTAAATACCTCCCTTGGCTCGTTTTTCTACAGAAAAATAGTCGATTTAGCGGTTTTTCTTCCTGTAAAACTTTCGAAAAAATCATCCAGTCCATAATTAGATACGATCAAAAAGCCTGGATTTCAGCTTTTCTCTCATAATCACTTGCTTAAATTACCTCTCCGTATAATCTCTTAGAGACCAAGGAAACCAAATACGTTTCCACCGATTTTGTAGCTTGGCTCGAAGCCAAAGCCTCACTGCAAAAGCCTTGCAACATTTTTATAGTTGAAGCCTATCCAACTTACGCATTGTAGTCTCCCAAGCTATACTGGAGCGTTGGAACAAGCCAATGTAGTTGGAGCTTTCAGAAGGGATTCATAGTTCATTCTTCTCCTTTTGTTCCTTCATCTCTCTTCTGTAGTTTTTTTTAATTAAAATTCCCCGAAGGTTTAAAAATTGTAAACAGTTTTCAATTCAAAGAACTATACGACTATTTTTCGAACAGTTTTTTGGAGTTGGAATATTATCTAACGTCGTTTTGTATTACAGCATTTGATCGGAAATGTAGAACTCAGACAAGAATTACGTTTTTAATTTAAAGAACTATGGGTGAATTTTCGGAACAAAAAATAACTTTTTCTCATGAAACTCAGCTCCAAGAATTTCGCTCAAGTTTTTGAAAAAGTTCTAGTTATAAACGAGGTTCGAAAACCCTTGCTGCGTCTTTTAAAAATGGTCCCAAAGCGATTAGGCGCTTACAGCGTTATTTTGAGCCTCGGGACCGTTTTTCCAGGGATATTGAACAGGCTTGAGCGAAATGGAAGCGGTTTTTAAAAAAATATTTTTTTATAAAAATTTTTTTAAATTTTTTTCCTGATTTCCCCCTCAAGTGCAGAGCTCACCTGTATTAATTAAATTTTTTTAAGTTGAATCTTCTGAAAGTAGGATATCGATTAGTTTTTTTCGAACAGCTTCAAACTTGAAATATTTCCGGAATTCTTCAGAAAACTGTAGAATTCAATTTTTTTATAATAGCATGTGATCGGAAATATAGAATTTAGGCGATTTCGCGTTTTCAGTTTAACGGAGTAGTAGTTGAAACAAAAACTATCGTTTTTTTAGGCAAAAAAAGTTGAAAAACGAAATATTTTTTGTACTTTTTTTCTCAGTGCATCGCCGAAACGTCCCCAAAGCTTCACAAAAAATCTCTACGACAGTTTTTTCTTCTCCTTGCACACGTCTCCAAGATCCAAAAACAGTTTCCGGGGTGGCGGCGGCGCCGATGTCGCTCAAATCGCCGTCAGAACTTCGAATCAACATCGACGCGCCGTGCTGACGTCACAACAAACGACCCGAGAGTCGGCCAAACAAAAAAAAAGGCAAGGAGCCTACGTCATCAATCAGCACTGCAGAGATACGGTTATCGCGCGAAAAATACTTCTTCAAACCTGACCATTCCAGCAGGAAAAAGGCAGAAAAAAAGGGGGAGAAGGGGCCGAATCGGGTTGGGTTGAGCGAATTGACTCGCTTTTTGATGATCTGTTGCAGACGGACTCGACTTGTTTCTTTGGGTTTTCTCGCCGGAATCGACATTTTCTTCTTCTTTTTGATCACTTCTATTTCGAATTATCGGTTTCAGTTCTTCACGAGTTCGACTAGAAATAGTGCTGGTGTCTTTTACAGTTGAATAATGTTCCTTTGAAGTTGTAGATGATCAATTTTTTAATGAGTTTTCCGTTGGCATGACGTGACGCTTCTTTTTTGACTCACTTTGGTCCTCACAAGATTCCCTTTCGATTTGTTCCTCATAATGTTCCTCACACCTAGTGGTCTTTTTCCCTCCCTGCAACATTACCATCCCGATGTTGCGAAAAAAATAAATAAATTGATTGATTGATAAGGGAAGTGCAAAATGACAAAATGAAAAACTTTGAGAATTTGATCAAACTTTGCTGAGATGTACTTCTACCTCCCCTGAATCGTGAACAAGACAAAAATTGAGCTTTTTGCCTTTTATCGGAGTGATGACCCCTCAAAATTTGCACTCAAGAAAAGGCTTTCCAAGAGCTGATATAACTCGCGACGTTGCTTTTTTATGCAACTGGCAGCGTAGTGTATTGGTTTGCATCCTTAACATCTGGAATCTGTGGTCAGGGTTCGCATCTACTTCGGAGATTTTTTTTTTGCATTGTCAGGACAACTACAGTATCTTCGAACAAAAGTTTATGTATTGACTGACTTCAACAAGATTTTGATTTAAATCAAATCGGATATATGGTGAAGTCTTTTTTTTTGCTATTTTTTTGGGGTTTTGAAACTTTTTTTTCGAATTTTTCAATAGGTTGTATGCAACTTTATTTAAAGTCGGAGATTTTGAATAAATTTTTTTTTTTTGACCTTCAACTTGAAGGCTTTCTTAAAACAATTCCAATGTCACCCGATGTATGAAAGCTTGTAAATCGTAGGAATCAAATTCATAGTTTTTCGACAACCTTTTTCTTTTATATATTCGTTTCACCGCAAGCTTGTCCCATGAGAATTGTGGGATACGGTAGCTTTCAAGACATTTCATCCCGTTTCTCTTATCTTTCCGAGAATTTGTCCAATTTTTGTTTTTTGACATTCTGTGCTTTAATTCAGGATGCCTATTTGAACGTTCATGGCCTTTCCCTCAAAACTCGAACTTTATGATTTTCAAAAATTTATTTATTGACAAGTAAATTAATTTTTTTCAGAGTGATCAAAATTTGATTTCACGTTCATTCGAAAAAAAATTTGACTAAAATAATTTTTTCTCAACCTGAATCTTTGCACTGTTATATATACAGCTGTGAGCTAGATATTCAAAAAAACACTTCTCCCGGAGATTTTAAATTTCAAGTTTTTGTTCAAAGACCAAAAATTGAGAAAATGTTCACCGAAAGTGTCCTAACTTCATGTTTCAGGCACCAAAAAGTTCAAGATTTCGTTCTTGATAATTCTAGAGAAAATTTAATCTCGAAAACCGTACAGGAAAATCTCAAATATAGGAAAAAGCTTAATTTTAAGATCACTAAATTCAAAAAATCAGATCTTTGGCTGTGGGTGTCCTATATTCACGCTTAATGTACCGAAAAAATTGAGGATTTTTAATAGGTTTCGGAAAAAATGGCGCTACAGTAAGCTGAAGCTATATGTTAGATAAAATGTCTAGAAAAGGCTATAAACTGTTTGATATTTTTTTTTTTGGTGTCGTGGAGCTTCATGAGGGTACTCAAAATGTACACAGACAATTGAGAGTCGAAAAACATTTTTTTTTCTCGAAAAAATTGAAATTTTCCATTTTAATACCCAAGATCTTCCATCTCTTGATCTTTCCATTTCATTCCTGTCTTTCGATCTTCCATGTTCTCATTTTTTCACACGAAGCGGTCAAGCTTTTCTCCGTTTTTCCCCGAGATTAGAATCTGAAGAACCTGGGCAAGCTGTACACGATACCGTTCCCCCGTGGGCGATCGTTTCATCCTTTGATTTTTTCCAGGGTTCATCTCAGAGAATAATACTCTGACATGAGGTCTTGGAAATAATTCAGCTAAACAGCACAAAATGCAGATCAATCTGTAGTTTTGGTGAAAATTACGAAATAATTTCTCTTTTTTCAAATTTAGTTTGATAAGTTCGATTTCATGTGGCCAAACTTTTTACTAGGGGGGAAATTTTTTTTACGGTTTTTGGATCTATCAATTTTTCCAAATATTCTCTCTCTAACTAGGGATTTACTCGAACTCGGGTACGCGTTTCGTGTTGAAACTTCGGTGGCTTATAGACCCGGGTAAGAGTACTTGGAAACAAGAGAGATTATCTGCTAAACCTCATAGGCTTCTGAGAAAAAGCTTTTTGAGAATGAACAGTTTAGGCTTGAAAATTATCAAAATTTTGCTTTCCTCCTTCTTTTGGCTGGGGTTTTCAAAGTTTATCACAGCCGAATCACTCAAGGCGACTGTATCAAAATATAAAATAAGGAAAAGAGCAGTATTCTGAAAATTTTCAGGCCTAATCTGCACATTTTCTACTATTTTTTTCTCAGTTTCTCTATTGGGTTTAGCAGATATTCTCTCTTTTTTTCAAATATTCCGACTTTGGTCTAAAAACAACTAAATTTTGAGCTCGATCCGCGATTACGAGTTCGCGTAGTTCCCTAGTAAGATCAGATCAATTTTGAAAGAAGACTCGTATCTCACTTCAATCTATCCAACAAACATCACCCCTTATCACTTCCCTGTTTTTGAGTCATCGTCAATTGTAGATACAATTTCATCAAATTTATGACTTTACGTGGAATTGGCCTTTTTTTGCGATTGTCACGTTTAATGATTTGTTTCAAATCCACGTAGTGTTTTGAAACTTTGAAGAAAACAGGAAGTGGAGTGAACTTTTGGAGTACAAATTCTGTGTCTGGAGCTTCTTGGAAGCTCAAGTTCCTAAGAAATTTGGATGAGTAATAAGAGATTTTCAACGTTCCAATGGATCAGGTCCTATCAGAGTGTGATCAAATTTGGCAAAAAGGGAATTTTTTTGGAGAGGATTCGAACCTTGGTTACATAAACAAGAGCTTTTGAAACAGTTATTGACAGTCTATTTTAAAAAAATGCTCAAAGAAGACCATTTGAGCTTCATAATATCCTTTCTATGCGAGGTTGATATTCCTTTAAATCGAAATTTTCGATTTTTGTGCGTTTAATATTGGCATCTTTCAATGAAATACATCTATATCTAACTCTCGCCAAGAAGACTCCTTCTGCCTCTTTTTTGAGTCAAACTAGCTATAATTAAACTATAGACTTGCTACAAACTAAAATAACATAAGAACATCAAAGATTCGTTGGTTACGGTAACAGGAATCCCCATGGTAACGAGGCATTTTTCCTTATTTGATTTAACTTTTCTTATCGTCCTAATTTTAATTATTCATTTTGGACAAGCCAATCGATGACGATTTTTCACAATTTTTCCTTCGAAAGCAGTTTTTGTAGTTGCGCCCGACTTTGAGTGACTTTCTACTAATGTTAGAAGATACCGTCGCGCGCAAATATTTTATCGCCAGTTTTGCTGAAACAATAATGGTGAACCGCTATGCAACCGCGACGCATAACGGTTTTCTTTTTTCTAAGCGTCCAGGTACCAAAAAAAGAGACTTCATTCAAACGAAGATTGAAAGAAAATTGCAAGAAAAGCTTCCCGAAGATAATCTAAAACGGAGAACTTGCTGATAAAAGTATTTTTCAAAAAATCGTTTCACCCGGATCTTCCTTTCCGACAAACATGAAACTTTTTGAACCGCCTGGATTTGCATAATTTCCCCCGTAGCGAGGACTACAGTCTATCCAGGCCGTCGTCTCGATCTTTGTTATTCGAAAACCTCTCGGCGGCACTCATCGAGAAAATCATTCATCTTTGACCCGCCGCCGTCAAAATTTGCAACAATTTGACGGTGGAATCGGCTAGCTTTTGGAACTGGATGCATTATTTTTGTTGAGCCTGTTAGGAGGGGAAACAAATTGGGGCAGGGTCAAAGTTCTTCAAAACCGGCAGCTTGTCGCAAAAATTGTAGAATCATTTTTGAGTAATCGGGTCCTGAAACGATTTTCAAATGGCTACAGTAACCATTCCAACTAAAAGTGGTGATTCCGGAAAACCTCTTCAATTTGAAGCTGTATAAAGTGACCTTTTTTGCCTGCGATTTCTAGAAAAAACGGCTGAAAATTTGGGCTGTAAACCAAAGTATCGACGGTATCGCAATCGAAGACCCTAAAAAGTCCGCTCGATCCTTTTTTGTAGTTCTTCGGCGGTCTTATAGAGTTCAAGATAGATACTCTGGTCTAAAAGAAAAAGGAGCGAAAGTTTCGAAAAAAATTATTTAGTAATTTATTCAAAATGCAGGAGTTTCAGTTAAAAACTTGAGAGAACTGCTCGAAAAATCGATTAATAGCTCATTTTATAACGAACATGCTTTTAGAGATGCTACGAGTTTGATTTTTCAGTTGTTGAAGGAAAAAAAATTTTCCAGTTTCTCTTTTAGGACTGGAATTTAATACGCACGGCCCTGTCCACTCATAGTGTTTTTAAAAAAATCATTATAATGATAAAAAAATTGTTTTTGCGTTTGTCAAAACTTCACTGCTCTTTTGCAGATTGAAAATCTGAATATTTTTCTTAAACTGGAACCGGGCTCAAAACCCTCCAATCCGAAGCCAAGCCCACATCCCACTAGGCCAGCCGTTCAAACTATTATTTTTGTAGATATTCGAAAACACTGCGTTTGTCGGATGTTGAAAAAAGCTCTGCAAAAAGAAAGTCTGTAAATTTCCCTTATTTCCATCGAATGGATCCGAACTTGAGACCCTCCAATCGAAAGCCAAGCCCACATCCCACTAGGCTAACCGTTCAAACTATGATTTTTGTAGATATTCGAAAAGTATTCACTGTGTTTGTCACTAAGGGAAGCTCTGCAAAGTGAAAGTCTGTTAACTTTCCTCCTTTCATCAAAAGGATCCGAACTCGGAACCCTTCAATCCACAACCAAGGTCTCAAACCTCTAGGCTAAAGGTGCAGTTATTTATTACTGAAGATCACTTTAAAAAAGCTCCGGAAAGAAAAGCCTGTAAGATACTCTCATTTCTCTCAACTGGAACGGAACTCGAAACCCTCAGACCCTCAGCCAAGCTCACATACCACTAGACCAGACCGCGCCTCCCACCCAAATCAGCAACTTTTCAAGGTTATCCAAAGAACACGCAACGGGTATTCCCTCGAAAGTCGACAACAACAAAAGTTCCGTGACACGCCTGGGTCCGACGACGTGAATGAAGTGTCCACCACGCGGAGAGGAGGAGTGGGCGGAGACTGTGTGACGTCGAGATTCGATAAATTCGATAACAGGTGCAAGGAGAATGGGTTGCGCTTCAAAGGTAGACTGGAGGAGGAGGAGGAGACCGTCCGTCATTTGAGGAACTTCCAAGCTTCTCGGAAGCTTTTCCTTCTTTCTGTCGTTTCAAAGCTCTTTCTTATCTTCTTTCTCTGATTGTAGCGATCCTCGATTATACTCAAATTTGAAAAATTCAACTTTTCATTGATGAACCATGGAGAATATAATATAAATGTCCATACTTTTTCGAATGAATAAACTGCTCCCTAAAGGATTATCAGATCTTTTGCAGAAGATTTTTCATTTTTCCTGATTTATGTCATGCATTTTCAACCTTTTTGAAGTGATTTTTTCCATTTTTTTTTTAGTTATGAGCCAAGTCCCTACTTTTCCACTGGGATAGATTACTCGAAAAAAATATCAAACAGCTTTTTTCTTAATAATTGTATCGTGCTTTCTTCTGAAAATGCTGGAGCGGAGCCATTTTTTCCTTTTTGAACTGTTTTTCTCTTATTTTCTGTTGGATTTTTTCGGCAAGCCTTAATATTTTTTGAACATTTTTTTCGGATTACTTTTTAAAAAATGTTACCAAAGACTGTTTTTTTCGAAATTTTTCATTAGCACCTGATTTTCTTTGCAAACTTCGAGTACATGAAACGAAAAATGTTTGCCCTCGATTTCCGAGTGTTCTCTTTTGCAGATATACTAAAGGCTGAAAGTTCGTCTAAAATAATTTTCATAAGATTATAGCTTGAAGGCAGCCTTCTTTAAAGACTTTATAGGTTGAACTCAGAAAAAAAAGGTGATCTTCACCAACAAACCTCTTTTTTTTGTTGGTACCTGACCCCGTTTCCAATTGGGGAAAAAAAAAACTCAAACGCAACATGAGCTGATTCTCAATGCGTTCGATCCCATCCGCGATAGAGAAAAAAGTTGATTGATTTCGAGATTTCCCATAAAAAAAAGCACTGTCCGTTGAAAAGGTCAGAACACAAAACACGGCCAAAAAAGCTCACAGTAGTGCGCCTTAGAGCGTGTTTTCGAATCGTGATTTTTTTCGGGTTTTTAACAAGAACTATTTTTGCAGTTTTTTCTATTTTTCATACTACTCCAGATTAGAAAAAGGTTAAAATTCTTTTTCGAATAGTTCCGAATGAAATAAGCTACAGTAGTGCGCCAGTGCGTATTTTCTACTCGCCATCCTTTTTTTATTTTTTCAATGAGAAATTTTCTCTAGTACTCTGTTTTTTTTTTCTTTTGTTCACCGCATCTACAGTAAGCTCCAAAAAGTTCCGGAATAGAGAAGCTACTGTAGTGCGCCTTAGAGCGTGTTTTGGAACCTTCCAGTTTTTAACAAGAAATAATGAACCTTTATTTAACGTTTTTGGCTCTTCCAAAAAATATTTTAACCATCACCGTACCACGAATTACAGTACGAAGTACGGTTGATGTTCTACACGTCCCGAGAGTCGACTTCCAGTGACGATGGTAATGTCCTCGCCTTGCTGTACCGAGATTCGCCCCACTGTTCTGCGTATTCTGAAGCGTCCAGCCCGAATTCTGTCCTTGAAGAGGTCTTTCTATTCAGAGATTGAAAAGAATATCAATTTCCAGGCACAAGTCGACGAAAAAATGAAGGATCCGAAGAAAATGTGCCCCACGACGTGTCTCGTCTGCGGTCTGGCTGCAACTGGCTACCATTATGATGTGTGTAGAAAGCTTTTTTCTTATTTTTTGCGTCCAGTCCGTTTTTGTTTTCGAGCTGAGGGACAGTTAAAACGTTTCATTGCCTTCATTTATCAGGAATATTCTTTGATAGGGTAAAAAAGAAGAAAATATGCTTTTGAAAACGTTCAATTTTTCGATTTTCTTTCTTTTTTTTCCGACTTCTCAAGGTTATATTTTAGAAAGTACTTCAAATTTTGAAAGAGTTCGACGCAAAATCAACTTAGAAGTCTGACAAAAAAGTTTCGCCATCAGCAGGGGCTGAACTCGCGTCACAAAATTGACAGTCCATAACACTCCAACTGCGCCAAGCAAGCCTCTGGCACTTTAGCTGACGTTATTATATGCTTATTGGCTAAAAAATCAATGATTTTTGACGAAACATCGGAATTTAAGAGCTTCATAGTCACACTAGTGCTCGCATTTTAATAAAAATTTACTAAATGTCTAGGAGAAATTTTTAAACAGGACTTTATGAGGGAATTCTTTCTCATCTTTTTCTTTTTTTCAAATAAACATTTTCTTTTTAAAAAGTTAATTTTCAAATTCTTCAGGCAGCGACGTGCAACGGCTGCAAAGCATTCTTCCGGAGAGCCGTTCTCTCCGGCAAGAAAATGGAATGCCGTGGGACCTGTTCAAGTTTCAAAGTTGTCCTCGGAAACTATTTAAAATTGTATTTTCAGACCAAAAAAAGCGTTGTCGGGCTTGCCGATTTGAGAAGTGCCTGGCCGTCGGGATGAACTCTCAAAGTTTGCATTTAGACGAAGTTTTTCAAAATGGTTTAGGATGGCTCGGAGCATCAGAAATTCAACTTTGAGCTGCGTCTGACTTTTAGCGACGTGTCACTTTTTTCATAATTTTCTTTGAAGAGATTTTTTTTTCTGATATTTCTCATCTATTCGGTTTTCTATGACTTTTTAAGTAGTTCCAAATTCGCGCCCGACTTCTAGCGACTTTCCTTCATGCTAAGAGAAGGTGTTGGGCGTAAGCAGCTCGTTGTCGAGCGCGTTGAAGCAGAAAATTCTGTGAGGCCTGTTCAAAGTATCCGCGACGCTTCGAGCCATTCCAAATGCGACCGCTCTGTTTCGAGCATGAGCATCTTTTCCATGACATCATTTTCCGTTCATCTTCAGTTCTTCAAAGCAAGGACGACTACCGACAATTCATAGACCTTCAGGTCGATGATGAGCCGAAGGTTTTTCGAAATACCTTCTAGAAACCTTCTTTTGAATTGCAGTCAAAAATCAACGAAGAAGCTCGGAAAACGATCGAATCCCTACTGCGGTTAGAGAAAAGCGTCGAAGTTTTCCGTCTCACTCACAAAAGAACCAGTGAAATTCCAACTCTAGACTCGATCCTTCAAGCAAAATGCAGCATGAGTCAAGTTTGCAAAGTGGAGGTTTCTTTTTGGATATAAAAAATTTAAAATGAAATAAATTAGGATGCGACAGAAGGAGAGGATGAGTTGAGCCTGCCTTCTACTTCAAAATCGCCAGAAATCGAACTGGAAAGTTGGAATAGGTTGGTTTTGAAGAGGAGAAAGAAGATGAAGAGTTGAGCCATTCCAAATGCGACCAGGTTTAATCAAGCCCTTAAATGATTTTAAAAGTGTCTTGTAATATGACTGAACCCCTTGATTACTTGATAATGATCCTTTAAACGTCCTGGCACGAATTTTAAGAGACTACTGTAAGGGCCAATCAATAAACCAAGACTTGCTGCTGCAAGATTATTTCACGAACGCAAACCTGTTCCTGAACACTTTTTTTTTCGAAAACACCATCTACCGTAATCCTTCCAGAGACCGCCCATTGGAATGCAGCCTCTGGGGTACGGTAGAATACGCCAAATCGTTTCAATTCTTCGCGTCGATTGAATCAAGAGACAAGGTTTTGGGAGGGTTACGATAATAAAATTGGAAGGTTCAGGTAATCCTTCTGAAATCGGCGGGATTGAAGTGCCACCTGCTGTCGGATGCTTTTGAGAAGGTTTCCCTTGGGTGAGAATTTTTTTATTTTTATTTTTAAAAAGTGTGTAGATATTTGGAATTCAATTCTTTGATTTTTTTCCATCGCTTTTTTTATCTGGGAATCTGGATTTTGAGTTGAAAAAAATTCAATTTGTAGTTCATCTTCACACGAAATCGGCAAAAATTTGAGCAAGTTCGTAGCAAAAAGACTTTTTCAGCCTCCCCCTTGTACTTGGGAACGCTAGAATGGCCTTTATAAGGGTTAAAACAGCCCCAGTAAGACAAAAAGGTACCCCTAGAAGGGGGAAGTTGAGGTGGCCCCTATAGAGGTTTAGGATCTGGGCCTTAGAGCTTGAGTGACCCCTATAGGGTTTTGCAATTTTTGTTCAGATTTAGAAATTAGAAAAAGGATCAATTCATCTTCTTCTGATATTTTCATCCGAGTTGAGTTTTTCCCATGGAAATGCCCTTTCTCAAAAATTTTATAACAGTAATTGTCTGTTCTGACCCCTATAGAGGTCCCTTTTGGCCCCTATAGAGGCCACTCAAAATTACTTTTGTGATTTTCAGTGACCCCTATGAGAACTGGTGAAGTGGTCCCTTGAGGTGAACCTTAAAGAGACCGTAAGATTGCCCCTATAGTGACCCCTCTGGAGTTTTTAAGTAGTCTAAATAAAAACTTAATAGCTTTGGAGCTTGTCGACTTTTCTTTTCAAACTAGTCATGAAAAAAAAAAGTTTTTCAGGAAGACAGCCGATGGTAATGGAATAGACGAAACTTTGAGAAGATTGGACATCACCAAAGGTCAATGTGTACTCTTGAAAGCGATCACGCTTTGTAATCCAGGTGAGGATTTTTTTTTCGAACTAACTTTTCGGTTCATTTTGATAGAAAGGTCATGAGTTTCAACCAGAAAAATAATATAAAAAATACGTCTACAGACAGTTTCAAACACAGTAAAGTTGGGATCAAAAAAAATTAAAGTCACTTGTTTTTTACGGTGTTGATCTGATCGTGTTTGTTCTGATCTGAATCAAATCAATCACTTTCGACCAACTCGCGACGTTCGCCAAATAAAAATCGTCATTTGACGTGCACTATCGTCTTGCCTTTCACTTAAAACGAAGATGGACTGCAAAATAAAGCGCGTTTGAGGGGTCCAAAGTTCGATTCTGGCTGGAAGTGGGTGGTCAAGACGCTTTCAAAGCCGATAAGAGGCTTTTGGTCAGTAGGGATAGAATTTGGGATGAAGTGTATAATTTTTTAACTTCTAGTAGAGTTCCTGACGTTCCATGTGCAATAGGGATCTTTAAAAAATTATTCGTGTTTCTAGGTCTTGGTTCTTTTTTTCTTCAAATTCATTTTACTCGGTCTCGGACTTTGGTAACGCGAACGGGACGCGAATCGGACGTGTCGGGGCATTTCTAGTGACTACTTTAGTAGCCTCAGCGCTCTTAAGAGATCCCTAGAATTACCCAGAAACGTCCGCAGCACGTCCGTTTTGCGTTACCAATGTCCGAGGTTGTGTTGATTCCATAGCTGTCCTTAGGAATTTTTGAATGGTCCTTGTAGGAATCAAAGGGAAAACAGCCCCTATAGGGGGCCGAGAAAAGGATCCCTATGGGGATAAAATCAAGGAATGAAAAATCAAAAAATCCACTAGCATGTCCCCTAGAGAGGCCACTAATTGAAACCTCTGTAAGGAGCTCTTTTGAAAGCTTTAGTGGCCACTATACGGGTTACTAAAGTGGTCCCTAGAGGTTTCCCCTAACCTTTCCCTCTGAAGTGGTCCCTACAGATTGCCCCTATAGGGACTACTCTGGAGTTTTTAAGGCCGTGTCTAGCGATTTTGATAAGACTTTAATATTTTTACGCCTTGAATTTCTGAAAATTATTTGGAATTGTCCAAAGTTTTCAAGCCCTAAACTCTACATATACGGACGTTGGAAAGAGGAAGTCTCACGGGAAAAATCGAAACTTCTCTAAAATTTACAGATTTTGCTTCGAAAACTCGCATTTAAAAAAAGCTCCGAACATTTTGCAGCCGTCGACGGTCTGAGCCAAGTAGCTCAGAACCTTCTGACGACAAGCCGAGAAAAGTACGCTTCGGCCCTTTTCGCCGAGTGTCAGTCGAGCCGGGGCACGGTCCGTGGCGCCACCCACTTCTGCGAACTGCTCGCCGTCGTCGGCACCTTGGAGCAACTCCAGAAAAAGCAACGTGACCTCTACGTAATGAACTCCTTGCAAAGGCCCGCCAGCCCGACTCGTTCTCTTATTGACGAACTCCTTTCGTAGCTTAATGCCTCAATTATTTTGTTCAGGATGAGATATTTTTAGCTCCGCCACATTGGTCATAATTTTGTATCCTTATGTAGTACATTCACCGCTAATTTGTCCTGCAAGTTCCAGACAAGGAAGAAAAGATAGAAAAGGGTCTTGAAGGTATTCTACAGTAACCCTTGCCATTTCTCGACAAGCTCGCGCTGAATGGATTACACTAGAAAATTTAAGGATAAAGAGTCAGAATCTGAATATTTACTGCATTTCATGAATTTTAAAAAAAGAGTCTAAAAAAAGCTCCTTCTATTTTTGATCTCGATACGTTTAGGCCTCTGTTTCTATAAACTTATCTCTACTTTTGTGAAAAAAATTTAAGAAAATGAAAATAAAATCTCCAAAGCCATGTATCAACATTGAAAAAAAGTGAAGAAAAAAATAACAAAAAAAATCGACAAAAAAATTTGCGAATTCGAACCCCGGTCGTAAAAGTGATAGATAAGCCCTCTAACCACTGAGCCAAAGGAACAACTTCAATTGATCCGAAACCACGCGTTTTTCGACCTCAATGTTTATGTTCGAAAGTATCACCGAAACTTTGTTTATTTTCAACGATTGCCCTGCATCAAATTGCAAAGATAAACTAACTCTAGCTCATTTCCGTTGTAACCATGAACGACGGAACGTTCACCTTGATGAATTTGCTTTCCTTGGCCCTTCCTTTCAAGGATTTCACTGGGACCGACCTCCAGAGACACTACGATAATGAGGTTTGAACTAATTTGTTGCAAAATCTTCATAAAAAGCCGTTGTTTTATGACAATGAAACAGCTGGTTCCAGAAAATATTCCTTTTGAGCGCTCAAAAATTCGAAAAATTATCTTTTTACCACCTTTTATGAGTGGATAATATACGAAAATCTATTAATCAAAACATGTTTGCTCTATTGACAATACTTCCAAAACATGAACTATCTTCGGACTTTGTTTCTGAGCATTTCTAAGGATCCCTTTAGCGGCGTGAGCCCCTTAAGTGCTCCCTACAAAGCTTAAAAACGTCCGTAGCGTTACCAAGTTTTCTTACTGAAGCTTATATCTCTTCAGCCCTTTTTCAAATTTTTTAAACGGGAAAAACTTCAGAATCTCAAAATCCTCAGAAACTCTAGAGTGGTCCTTATAGGGGTTAGGGCAAAAAAGGACCCTGCAGGATAAATAAAATTACCCTTTATAGAGCTAAAATTAAAGTGGTCCCTAGAGGGTTTTAGGGTCTGACCTCTGAGCCCCTGAAGCTAGGGACCGCAGACGAATTTTCAAAAAAATTTTTTCAGCGTTGAGCTTTGTATGGTTTGATAGCTGATTCGATTCAAAACTCAGAACCGTTTAGTTTTTCGAAAAAGATTGAGGATGACAAAAGTTGTGACGCAAAATGTGGCGCGCCGCGCACCATTTTTTTAGTACTGAAATTTTGGTATTATCCATTTTTGACATTTTTCTCGATTTTTCTTCTAGAACAAGTTTTGATACTGGTCTATTATGATGTAACAAATCATAATAGAGTGTTAAAATGATGTTAATCAGCTAGTTTGCCGAAAAAGTCGGTATTTTCCAGAAAACAAAAAACTGCCGCTTGCGGGCATGGAACTCGCGACCTCAAAAGGAAAAATCGCAGCGCACGCGCTGCGCCAAGCTGTCGGGTCTAGCAAGGGAAGCTTCCATCCGCCATACCCTTGAGCTGTTTGAATAGCACAGATTGCCTATTTCAAAAATAAAAACTTGAAGTAATTTAGCTATTTTTATCAGAATATGTTCGCAAATCTTTACTCAAACTTTCCGTGAAAAATTCACTTCGAAAAAAACTGTTTTTTTAGTGTTTTTTTGCCTCGTTTAACGATCGCTGCCTTAAAAACGGCCCCCGTAAATTTTTTTGGCAAAGACGAATTTTTTTATTTTTATTCTTTTTATTTGAAAGATTTTTTTACTAGTAAATGTATATAACCGTTCAAAAAAACTTGCGTTCGACCGCTTTCTGTGTGATAAACGCCGCTAATTTTTATTCTCTATTTTTCAAGAGCATTTTTTTGCGTATTAAACAGCTTTTTTTCAAGCACATATTCTGTGGAGAAAATATTTAAGTAAGCCCATGGTCTAAATATTGAAAAAAACAAAAAAACTCGATTATATTCGCTTATTAACGATATTTTTGAATTATGACTTTCGGCACTCCCTAAAACTTTTGGCAAAGACGAATTTTTTATTTTATTGTTTTAAAATTACCGTTACTTGAATCAAAATCATTATTTAAAAAAAGAAAAAGTGCGTTCGACCTGAAAACACATGAAAAAGCAAAAAATGACAAATTTTTTTAGTTGCATTCACGTTTTTGTACGACATTCCGCGCGAACGCATCAAAAAAAGCGTAAAATATTTTTTTAAACGAAAGAGGAAGCTTTTTCTGTACATGTGTGTCAAAATTTATTATCCAGTTCCACATATTTTGCAACTACAGCAAAGTTAAAGTTGAAAACCAAAAAAAAGCCACTTTTTCTATCGTGAAAAGGGGCGTGGCTTTGCGGTCCCTACCTGAAGCTCAAGTGGCCCCTATAGGGTCTTCTTGATGATTTTTGGTTCGAAGAAATTTAAGAAAATTATTTATTCGTCCTCTGTTGATATTTTTCATTCAAATCGAGTTTTTCGCGTGGAAATGCTTTTTCTCTTAGAGTTTAACAACAATAATCGACTGTCCCCTATAGTGACCGTTAACTGAAACTCTTTTAGGGGTTACTTTTGGAAGCCTTACTGGTTCTATTAAGGGTGGTAAAGTGGCCCCTATAGGGATAGAATGGAGCCTTCATGTGCCTCTAAGTTCACCCCTATAGGGACCACTCTGAAGTTTCGAAGTCAGTTATTTTCTGAATCCTTTTCTTGAATGGTTAAAGCTTCATTTGAAATACTTTATCAAGGTTTTCATAAATAGCTCATTTTTGAAGATGCGTCTGATCCGAGATCTGTCCAAGAATCCCAACCTGACACAGCCTCTGACAAAATTGCCGGCCAAAGTTATGCCCTACTTTGTCATAACTCATGTTCATGAATTGGTTTTGTTCTTTTTGTCATAGTTTTTGATGAAATCCATTTTTAGGATCAAGAAGAGCAAGTGATGATGCTGTCAGGGTCGTTGACGCTGGTAAAACTTTTTTTTTCTAACTTTTGACTTTTTGGACTTTTTCGAATTTCACAGGGAAATTTTCAGATTTGTGTGGAGAAGTATTTCGTTTTTCAGGAAAATCAGAATCAGAAAGAGAACTTTTACTTTCGAAATGAAAAATTTTATTTTCGCAGTTTTATTTTTACAGTCCAAGGGTCTCGTAGTTCGAAATACTGTTTCAACCAAGCTAAATCTAGGATCAACTAACCCGTTTTTTCTAATAAGAGTTGTATACAAAAGTGGAATGAGTACTCGTCTAGAATTTCGAAAAACGGATTTAAATATAAAAAATACGTTTTTTGCAATTTTCGATCATTTTGCATGATAAGCTAGCCCTTTTCATCTTCAAATTTTTGTTAAATTTCAATTTATATTATTAGATGTGGCTCGATGATCGCCTAGAATGGAACATGAGTGAATACGGCCAAATCTCCGAACTCTCAAAGAGTCGATTTGGATCCTTCGGCTCCAGACAGCTCAAAATCTGGGTTCCTAATGTCCATGTCACGGATTTGTGGGTTTTATCAACTCTTTACTTTTTTCTACTTTAAGGTCGGATATTTTATATCTTTTCAGATCATCAAAAACCGAGGCTTACTTGGCATTTGAAAAGGCAGAGCTTCTGATAACCAACAGCGGAATGGTCCGCGCCACGGTATTTTTTGACTTTTTCCGCTATTTTTTTAAAAATTTTAAGTCTGTTTGAAAAAGAAGCGCTGATTTATTTGGCCGTACATCGACATATTTAAAAAGATTTTTATCAAAACGAAAGGCCATTTTTTTAATGTTATTTTTAAGTCATTTCTGCTATTTTAACCCTTCCAGAAGGTTTTTGAACTTTTCATTGGTCTCAAAAATTTTTCTCAAGTTTTTTCTGATTTTTTCTGAGGTGGTTCTTGAATTTTCTTTCTCGAAAATTTGGAAAATATCCTGATAATTCAAAAAAACGACCTTTTTTCATGACAGCCTTATAGTTTTTTCTGTCAGTAGGTCTCCTTCAAAGACTCTAAAAGTTTCAAACATGCGATTATTCGTATTACTACTAAAGTGGTCACTTGCTTTACAAAAATTTCCTTCTCAATGACGTCATTCAGGTAAATCTAAACATCAAAACAACGTGTTCCTTTGATGTCGCCGACTACCCGGACGACACACAAAATTGCACTTTTAGTATTTATTCTCCATTGGCGGCCGATGTGTGAGTTAATGGATAGAGATGGATAAATTTGAATTTTTCGGAAAATGGATACTTTATATGAGGTGTAGAAGTTTCATTTTTCGCAATTTTTGAACTTTTCGATTTTTGAAAATCACTGGAAAAACTCCTTGATGACGAATAAAGACCGCAACAATTTTTGATTTTTGATGAAAAGCGGTCTTGAAATGGTTTATAAGTCAGATTGAGGCGCCCTTCCTCGGAAAACAAGAAGTTTCAGAGTTCAATACTTCTAGAATTTTCATCTGGCCAGTTCCCAAAAAAAATACAGCAGAAAAGTCAAATTTTGTGGGTTGAGAGTCCCGCCACCGCTCCAAATTCGACAGCATCCGTCTTTTTTCAGATTCCAATTCACGAGGTTTGGCGGTGTGGTCATCCCAAGGGCTGCTCCGGCCGTCGACGTCGCCGATTTTGTCGTTGATCGGATCGATTCGAGTAGTATGTATCTGGCCGGAGGCTACGTTGTAGTCAAAAATGTCGAAAAATGGTGAAAATTTGTTCCAAATTTATTTTTCAGAAGCAATCTGACCAGTCAGGGACCTATTTCTTATTACTTATAAGATCATAGAAACATGGAAAGAACACTTGAAAATGAGAGAGTAGAAAAGGTGCAGAGAAATTGGACTTATATACTCGATTTTGAACGATTTGAAAGGGCATGGACTTTTTTATTCAAACATTTGAAATCCAACTCCGCCCGACTTTGATAGACTTTCTCTTTTGCTGCAAGATATGACAGCGCGTAAGTAGTTTTAAGTCGGTCGCGCTAAACCAAAAAAATAGGCCTTGTAAAAAGTAATTGGATAGATATAGCTGATTCACGGCTAGCTTGGGACGCTAAGGGGGCGTGTCCTGTCTGCACTCTCCACGAGCCAGGCGCTATCTCGTGCATTATCGTGTCAGGACCCTTTTTTCGATGGCTCAAGCCAGCCGTGAATCAGCTATAAATGGACTATAAACTACACTCTGCAACACTATTTCAGTGCAAACTGCCAAAAAAAAGCTAAATTTTTTTAAAGGAGAAAACTCGCCTTCCTTCGATCCATCAACCGCTACAATATCGTTTTCAAACGCAAAAATGTCTACTATCGTCACATGGCCATGCAAATGTTCTGCATATCCGCGTAAGAATTTATCTTTTCCAGTATTTTTTCATTTTTCTTTTTTTCAGAGCTGTCAATGTAATCGCAATCTTGCCAACGATGAAAGCGGTTGTTCTTTTGTTGATGTGCCTTATGGCTCAGGTAAGTTCTACTTTATTATTTTTTCAAAAACTCTTTTGACAACAACATTGATCAATTAGATCATTTTTTCAAAAAATTATTGAAATTCCAAGGTTCTCCACGCAATCTATCTGTTTGGCCAGCTGCCTCCAGCCTACGTCTCCCTTCCAAGAATCGGTACGTTTCAAATACGTATATTAAAGTCGAATTCAAAGTAAAAGTTAATCGATAAGAAGGATGGAGAATAGGTAAAAAAAAAGATCGAACAACAATACTAATTTAAAAAATCCAACAAAAAATTAATTTTTTTTCACCTTTTTTCCGAATTACAGTACAAGTCGGTATGTTTCTGATGCTGGAGACGGTCCTTTTGATGGCCTGGCGATCTTTCTGCATCCATTTCCGACAACACTACGAAGTATCCAAAAAAAACTGGGTGGATTATATTACAATCGCCGACACACTTGTCATTTTCTCCTGCTTTGCCTTTTTAATCTTCAGCGCGTTCATTTTGTTCTAATTTTGCTTCAGTTGGTGATTCTCAGCCGTAAAATGCTACCAATAAAGGTTTTGGAACTAAAAAATCAGTTTCTAATGATTAGATCGCAAGAAGACAAGAACAGAAAAAACGGCAAAAAGAACTAGGTCCCACCGAGATTCGAACTCGGGTCGCAGGATTCAAAGTCCTGAGTGCTAACCACTACACCATGGGACCGTGTGCCTGACGGAGGCCTCGATTGCCCCTATGTTCGGCTCTTGGGATTTCAGTGTGATAGGGAATGTTGTGAAAATATGAGTTTACTGATTTTTTAAAACATTTTTGTAAAGATATTTAAATAAAAAAAAGGATAAATAAAAAAAACGTGTAAAAAAGAGGATAAATAAAAAAAACGTGTGATACTCATTTTTGAATTTTTTTCTGTTTTTCTTGTTTAAAAAATGATTTGGTCACTCAGCTCATAGTTTATTCGATATTTAAAAAAAAATCAATCTCATGTTAATTTTACAAGTTCAACTTCGCATTTAGGTGGTCTCTTTAAAATTCCATTAGGATTTATCGTTTTCACGCTCGGTAGATCTCCACTTGGCTTTATGTCGTATCGTAAAATGAAGTTGCCGAGGATCTGTAAAATGCAAAATTTTCCTTTAAATAACATAGAAAACAATTTACCAAGAATAGTTCAGCCCTGGCTAGAGATTCGCCCAAACAAGCTCGTTTGCCCATTCCAAATGGAGATACATTGTGCGCCAAATCTTCATTTTCCAAGAATCGGACCGGATCAAACTAGAAATTTTTTTAATTATATAAATTTTTAATAAGACAACAACAATTCTGCAAACTGAATTGAAAAGTACAGTTCAAGTCTCCCAAATGAAAGAAGTAGAGAAGAAATTTTTTCGAAAAACATTCGAGTTTTTTGTTTACATAAAAGAAGTTTTTCAGAAGTTTCTTATTAAAAGGTTTTGAGAAAAAAATTTAAAAAATCCAGCTTGTCTGAGTTACGGTAACACCAAACTCCGCAAACACAACGACGCAACTGCTGAATCTTCGATTTTTGGCGGTCGAATTAATTTTTTTTCACGTTTTTTTACATTTTGTTTCTATTTCTTTTTCATGTTAACTTCATCGAGATGGCTCTGCGAAGATCAATATTCACATCCGTACGCTTTGAGGTCGTTTTATTCGAATTTTCTTGCTGTTTTTTAAAGAAAAAATATCTTGTAAATAAATGAACGCCATTTTTTGCAGTTTCTTCGCATCTCAACTCATTCTTGTTTTTCAATCGTTTCAATGGATCAAATGTGAGTTTTATTTTTTTATTTTTTTCAACTTTCATTTCCTGATTTATATGAACATTAAATTGATAAAAAGTTTTTAGATTTTTTTAAAATTAACTGCAAAAAAATTTTGATAGGAGTCTCGTTCAAAACTTGATGAATTGCACAATTTTTGCTTTTTCAAATTTTATAGCAATCGATTTTTTTAAAGATTTTCCATAATTAAAATACACAGTTTCTAAAAAGAAATAAAAAAATGAAAGAACCTTTTTCAAAAGTTCTTGAAAACGGCATCATCTGTGTGAAACAAACTGAGTTGAGCGGTTATAACCGTTCCAGCTTCAACTGGCTCTCCATTCAGAACGACGCCCTGAAAAATGGGGGGTTTTTTTAAATTAATTTTTGAATTAACACACTTTCTAGCATCTTGAAATGTCATAAAATCGTATGAGAATGGCTTAAAATCTTGTGTGTACGTTTTAATTTTGCTGTAGCAGATCTTCTAGTGTTTGGTGCCTCTAATAAAGCTGCACCCGACCCAAAACGTCTTTCCTTCTCAGCCTAGGGTTCTATCTAGAATAAGAGATTTGTTGGTTGGAGCTATGAAAATTTTGAAATGCTCCGAGCCGTTCCCAAACGCGACCAAGGCAGTCAAGTCCAATTTTTTGCTTCTTCACGAACCTCGGCAGCTATCCGCCACATGTTCAGGTTGAGAATAGATGCATGTCGTTGAATTTCCTGAAAAAAGGATTTTTAAAGTTGGCAAAGAAAACTGACATGAATAGTGGCGTTGAGATAAGCGGCTTCAGATTTATCCGAAAGGGATAGTTGACGAGATCCATTTCCAGTGATTCGATTCACTTCTTCCCGTATTTTAGTTATGTGCTGAATAGAACTTTTGTTGTGGGAGAAAATAAAATTGTTTGTCTGCCAACAAGGAAGTGAGTTTTTTGAAAACATTCACGTAATCATTAACGAACTGATAAGAGGGATCAGAACTTGATACGAAATGTTTACTTCGTAAGGAAGACATAGTGGGAAGGTAAATATGGGATAAATAGAATGTAGTTGTCTTAAAAATTCAAAGTTTCGTGAAATGAAAGACAAAAAAATTCTGCAGTTGATTAAATTAATTTACTCAAAGTCGAACACTGGATAAAAGTAAGAATTGTTTTTTTTTTCTACTTAAGTTTGACCTGTCTGATCCCTGTTTTCTCTCACCAACGGTCCCAAAAATGTAAGTAGCATAATTTTCGTTTCTTTAGAGCTATACTGTAGCAAAGGCTGACCTCAAACTCCCTACAGTAATCAAGCTACAGTAACCTCACCTCAGGGTTATTAAGCAGTAGAATCATGCCCCACAACAATGTTATCGAAGTGGTTTCCTGTCCAGCCACCCAAAGATCCAATAAATTCACGTTCAACGTTTCTAAGCTGAAATGAAGACTTTGACGGTCTTGCGGTGGCGTCTTACTCAAAATAAGTTCCATTGTTGTTGGATTCTTCGTTTATTTTCTTCAAATAAGCGTCCACAAAATCTTGAGGCTCGTCGGCGATTATGTGTTCTCCTGATTTGATTTTTGCCAATCTGAATTGGAGGATTTGGAAAAGTACTTGTCGCACGGGGAATGGCTAAGAATTCGCTTTCGCAAAGTGGCTCATTTTGAACAGGACCGACTTAGAACGACTTTATCAACAAGCATTTCATCAAGCTTTCAACTTATTTACTGAAGCTTTGGTTCTAACCGCAACGCGACGGCGACGCTTTTAGCCATTCCAAACATTTTCTGCTCTGTGTCGCTAAATATTGATCAGTACTCACCTTTTATTCACCTGCTCGCTGCAAAACTCAATAATTCCAATAATTGGCTTGGTCAGAGAGTCGAATCTCCACTTGAAAAATGGCGATTTTAAAACCCATAATGGAACGGAGATGTCGAACAAGTTGAATTTCTCGAAAGACGATCCCAACATTCCTTTCAACTTTTCGAATTTTTGATCATTCTGTAAAGAAAATAATCAAAAATTCAAAAATAACAGGAACCTCTTCAAAATGAAGGGAAAACATCAAGCCGTAGATCACATTACCGAAGACCAAATCGAAAAATGAACCGATATTTTGGGTCATTACCCCATTTGAGGCATCTCTTTCTATTGCGGCGAACCTGGAAATAATTAATAGGTTCGAAGTTTTAAAATCATTCAATTTTTCCTAGGATTCGTACCAGTTTTTTTAGGATGCAATTTGAGTTGAAAATAGAACGAGAGTATAAAAAAAGTCTCGGTTTTTTTAAAAAGTTTCCAAAATCAGTCATTGGAGCACACTTTCCTGTCGAAAATAGCCCCTCATTTTTCGCTTTTAATATTAGTTTTTCAATCTTTATTTCAACATGCTCCAAAAATTTGAACTTCAAATGTGAAAAATATTTGAACAAAACTTCATTCCAATGACTGATACTCTAGCTGGATTTTTTTCACAATAAAATTTTTTTAAGCCTAGTTCTTTTTTTTCAAAATTTCAGAGTTTTCGAACTTTTCTTTTAAAACCAACCTAGTATTGAGCTCTTTCAAGATCCTCTCTTCTATAATACTCCTTCCAACTCCGAAATTCCTCAAAGTGTGAAGCGAAAATCGGCGTTGCTCCAGCCAACCTCGACCGTTCGCAAAAATCATCCCAAGTCCTTCTTAAATTTAATTTTTCTTTTTTCAATTCATACAAAATTTTACGCTCACTTCTGACTTCTAAGAATATTTCTGGAATATATCGGTCCGTGTATCTGCCGCCATTTTTGACCATTTCTTGATAAGCGATCTCGTAATCAGCGATATGCACGGTGGGCTTCGGCCCCATCCACAGAGTGAACACTGGTCCATATTCCTAAACTCCTTAGAACTGATAAAAGTGAGCTTTTGTTGTTTGTGCGTGGAAGAAGAGGCACATATGCCACCAAATGTGTAATGTTTTGCGGGCGAGGGCAACCGGCGGCCTCGTGGCCTAATGGATAAGGCGTCTGACTTCTAATCAGAAGATTGCAGGTTCGAGTCCTGCCTGGGTCATCAAAATTTTTGCCATTTTTCTTTTTAATAAAGTGAGAAGTAGTGAGGTCTAGAAGCTTCTTTTCAGTGTTAGAAGACAGCGACTTAGAGTATCAACATTTTGAATGAATTTATCAATGTTTCTACTTATTTCCTTCATGCTTTGTAATAACCTATTTTCAAACCTCTTTGAAAGTTTTGATAGCTTTAACGATTCCTCCAGTTTTAGCAACTGCAAATAGAAGTTGAGGAACATTTCCAATAAAAGGAAACGGGAAAGGGCCTGAAAATTATCAATTTCATTTTGCACATATTAAAAAAATAACCTCTAGGTAGCTTCGAGCGGACCAAACGCTGTTTATAAGACAAATAAGCGAAAAATCCACAAAGAAGTAGTAGGAAAATCATCTGAAAAGTTTCAAAAATGGTTGTTTTTCGAACTGGAAAGTGAAAAAAAACGTTCTTTTGAGGGTAACCCGCTATAACACTGATAAAAACTACGTTCGTGTTTAAATATTGCTATCATCACTAAAGATACAATGAGAAACAAGGCGATTAATCGTTATACCTTTAGTTTGCTTATCGATAAGTAATGACCATTGATCAAGTTTGGAATTAAAGTACTGATAAATAGTTGATAATTACTAAAACACAACTTTTTTTTCAAAAGTTTAGAAAACAGGACTTTGAAGTAAAGATAATTAGCAAAAAAATGAACGGACGGAGAAAAATCAAAGTAATTGATGTCAATGAAAAGAAAACCCAAGAACACAGGTCACCTCTAATTATCATCAATTAACTACACTACCGTCTTGTGACACAAAAACTAAGACACCAAACCACACTGTCTCTCAGTTCAAAAGAAAAATGGCAAAAATGTTGATGACCCAGGCAGGACTTCAACATTTTTGGAAGCTATCAAAACTTTCAAAGAGGTTTGAAAATAGGTTATTACAAAGCATGAAGGAAATAAGTAGAAACATTGATAAATTCATTCAAAATGTTGATACTCTAAGTCGCTGTCTTCTAACACTGAAAAGAAGCTTCTAGACCTCACTACTTCTCACTTTATTAAAAAGAAAAATGGCAAAAATTTTGATGACCCAGGCAGGACTCGAACCTGCAATCTTCTGATTAGAAGTCAGACGCCTTATCCATTAGGCCACGAGGCCGCCGGAGTTTTCCGCGTGCAAAACGTTAGACATTCGAAATGTATTGCGATTTTCTCTGGAATCCTCTATTTTCCATCACGCAACGCTCTTCAATTTCTGATTGCAGCTGTTGAATTGGCGGAAACGTCGATGTAATAAACTTTTTTTCAAATGTTTCTGATAATAAAAGATAGCAAAAATCTAACTAATATATGGAAGAAATGTTCCATTATAAAATTGTCAATAATTTACTCCGATTCCTTGTAAAATTAATAATGAACCTCTAAATTTCGCCATACCTCATTCTGGGTTGAAAGAAAAAAGGCTTAAAAATGGTGTATTGAACTAAAAGGGACACTTTTCAACTTTTTTTAAGCTCTATTTATGCCTTGTAAGATCAAAAACATTATCTCAAACTTCATCCTCTTTTTATGGGTTCAAAAGAAAAATGGCAAAAAACTTTGATGACCCAGGCAGGACTCGAACCTGCAATCTTCTGATTAGAAGTCAGACGCCTTATCCATTAGGCCACGAGGCCGCCGTTGGCTCCCTCCTCCCTCACGCACCAAGCCAGCTCTCTTGCGTGAATGCGTGCAATGTGGAAGGGTGCAATTTTATTCGTTGCATTCGAATGACACAAAATAGGCTGAAGTACATAGAAAATCGAAATTAAAGGCGTTTCAAAAAAAGTTTCGAGGATGAGATTGGATGGGAACACTCTGAGAACGTAGTCGTGCCGATGGACAAGCTGTAGGATGCTCGAAGTCCCTAAAATGTTGACTTTAAACTGTTTTTTAATGAAATTTTAGTATCAGGAAAGAAAAAAACCTTGAAGGAGAAGAATGACGATGCATTTTACTGACAAAAGTCGCCGCGATTTCTGGACTGATACTTTTTCGACCGAAAATGATTCTTTTCATGGCCTGACGGTATGGTTTTATGCTGGATAGAAGGGCGATACATAAATTTATGGCAGCGAATTGAACATCGACGAAAATTAGCATAAAAGGAAGCCTTGAAGATGAATTATTCGAGTTCAGAAAAGAGTTTTTTTGAAATAAATAAGGTCTTACCTAGCGGTCCAGACGACGTGTAATACCCTGACGAAGAAATAAACCACAAAAGGCAGCGAAATATTGACAACGCAGAGGATAAAGTAGAAAATTTCGAGAAAAAGCATGGCTTTTTGCATTTTGAACACGGTTTTTGATGTGGACTGGCGTCGGCGATAGATCAGGTAGATTGAACTGAAAAAGTTTCATTTTTTTTGCAAAATTCACATATTTCGGTTCGCAGACCTTTTTTTAAATGCTGCTTCATAAATTTATAAAAAAAGTTTTTAAATTTTTTTGAACGGATTGATTCAGACAGATAAATAAGGAAATTCGACCTCAGACTTTAAATTTGAACTTTGAAAAACGAAAAAAACTCTAATTTTTTTCAAAAGTTACGTACAGCAGTTTCTACTGAAGAAGTTCATTTAAAACCTAAATTTTTTTAATTTTTCGACTTGAAAAAGCTTATTTGGTTTTTTTAAAATAGACAGTTAAAAAAAGCTCAAAAATCGATCTCAATTTTTATAATTTTTTTATCGCTTTAGGTTTTTTTCACGGGCTCAACGAACTTTTACAAAGGGGTACTGGAAAAGTAGATGTTTCTGGAAAACTTTAATAAATTTTTTTGAAACGAAATTGCACTGGATAGAGTAGGAAGTCGTTTCGCAAATCTTAAAAGTTCAAGGTTTTTACTCGGAAAATATACGGCAAACTCGATTTAGTTAGTTGATCTATCATATTCTCTCTCAAATTGTATTTTGTTCTAGTCTGGCTGACCCACCTGGTTACTCAACTTATCATCGAACATTTCCGAAAAGTTCAAAATTAATTTTTTTGTCTCAATTAATTCTGTTTGTTATAAAGAGTATTTCAAGGAAACAGAAAATTTTTTTTGTTGAAGTGAAAAGCCGTTTTTTTGTCTCTATGCCGTGGATTTCTTACAGTCTTTGGAAATTTTTGCCAGTTTTCTTTTAAGTCTGTGTGCCACGGCTTGAAATTTCACGGAACGACATTCCGCTGTTCCGCTACGTGTTTTCGCGAAGCGTCTTTCGAATAAAGCTTCCAATATTCCGTTTTATTGTTATTGCTGTGGGAACACATGAAAGTAGAGTACCTTAATAAAAGAAAAAAATTCAAAGCGCGAAGGTTTGCAAAGGAGCGCAGCGGCACAGCGGAATGTCGTTCCGTGAAATTCCCAGCCGCGGTACACAAGCTATTCCTGTCAATATTATCATCATAAACTCACCATCCGATCCCAAAAAGGATTGTCACGAAACAAAGTAACAAAGATGAAAGGAAGAAAACGGCGCCGGTTATAATTGCCGGAGAAACGATGACCACATAAGCCGCTGTTTCAGAAAGCAAATCGGTCAATTCCCTTTGTCCAGGGAACAATTTTTCATAGTCCATGTCCAAATCCACAGCGATGTAGATCAAACAAGCTTCGAAGGCCAATGCCAAGGCGAGGCCGAATATTAGAACTCTCGGCATCAGGTGCAGAATTTGGGAGTTGGACAGGTTCAATGATGAAAAAGAGATGTTGGACCATAGAACCAAGTTTCTCAAGAGGGAAAAGCTGCAGATGGCCAGGGAAAGAGCGCTGAGAGTGATGATCAGGTAGACGGAGATGACCGTCGGTAGCAACGAGGTCCTGAGGCCCCTAAATATCAAGGAGTGTTTATAGTCTTGACTCGAAAGGTTGTGGTCGCACAGGGAATGGCTTTTTTAAGAAATGAAAAACGTGCCATTAAAGCGGTTGAATAGTGCGATTGAAAATACTGAGCGATTTCCAGAATTCAACAAATTTAACTGGAACTCCCTCTGGAGAAACGTTTTCCTTCATTTACGGACTCCGTTTACTTTACGACCGGGAACTTTCTAAACCCTGAACCTGTACTTTATAGGTTTTTCTGGATCCTGAGTTTTCCATGATTAAGAGCTAGAACCGCAACGCTTTGAGCCATTCCAAATGCGACCAGAACTTTTCTAATCGTGGCTTTTAACACAATCTTTTAGTACAAAAATGTCTTTGCCTTATCAAATTTTCATTTCAGTTTTTTTTTTTCATTTTTAAGACTTTTTTGAATATTAAAAAAAAGGCAACATATTTTTCTCTTTCAAAGTTGTTCACCTTAAAGGACTGAACATGGCTGGATAGGGAGGCATATAGTAAGTCATCGTTGTTGGCATCGCGATTGAGAGCATCATCACTAGAGAAATCTGGAAAATTCAAGTTTAGTGAATTTTAACATAAATTGAAAAAAAAATTTTTTTGATCCGTAATTTTTGGTTACTTTAATGTTTCCTGTTGTTCTCCTAACTCAAAAAATTTGGCTTTGAATGATGTTTCTGCAGATCTTGGACAGTGTTGCTCTGAGGAATTCTATTATCCCTTGAATTTTTTTCAATAAAAAAATTATTAATTGAGCTCAAGAGTCTCGATTCAACTTATTTGAATTTTTCGTATAAGAAAAATTAAAAGTTCAAATTCAATAATTTATTAAAAAAATTATTCGATATGAAAGAAGGGGTTTTCAACTCTCGAATTTAATTTCATTCGTTAAATTTCATTTTTTGTTTCATAAATCCAACCTGACAAATGATCAGAAACTTGTAGTGCCTCATAATACTGTTGGAATTGGTTAAGATGATAAAAAAATAGTAAAAAAAGCGAGAAAAATAGTTGAAACACTTGCAACTACCGCCATAATGCTATACGACAGCGTGATGAAGCCCCTGAAAAAAATTAGTTTTAAAATTTTTTTAAATTTCAAATCAGTTCAAATAAATAGAAAAAGAACCTCACTTTTCGTGATGCTCATTGAAGTTTTTCAACGAAGCCTTCCATCCTAATATGTTCCATCTGAAAAGAATAATTTTCAAAAATTCGAGAGAGCATTTTCGAAAATGAAAACTATACACAAACTAGAAATGCCTCCGGGAAACCACCTGGAAACCCCGATTCGAGAAAATTGAGTTGTTTTATTTGATTTCATTTGGTTATTGAAAGGCAACCAATGATCGTTTCAATTTTCAAAATTGTTTATTCTCAAGGAAAATTGCATGTTTATTCTCATATATTTGCAAAAAAAGAAGGAATGATTAAGAAAAAAAAGAGATAGAGTAAATAATCAGAGATTAAAAATAGTCAGTTTTAAAGGTCAGTAGAACGGGATTTTTGAGATAATAACGTTCGTTTCCAAAGGATCTATTTGAAATCATCCAAACATCGGAATTTTCTGAGTAATAGCTTAACTTTTAACCTTGCGACGTTAAAAGACTTTTTGAATCTTGAATCTCTTGACTGGGCTAAAAATAATAAAAAAAAGGCAATTTTTTATCATCAGTGCAGTACAAAATGCACATGATCGAAGACGTAAATAATTCTTTTTCCAAATTAAACGCAAGCAAGCAGAAATTGGGCTTTGAGATGGAAAAAAGTTTGCACTTACTAAGGAACATTTTAACGTTCGAACTACATGTAGTCTTCCAAAAAAATGTTTTTAAATTGAACTTTTTAAAAAGTTTAATTTTTTTCTTAAAAAAATATAAAATTGGAGTCATTTTTTTGAAAAAACGTTGGATTTTTCAGTTTCACCGGAACTTAAAACCGTTTTGAAACTCCCATAAATTACTGCTTAGTTGCGTTCGTTATGGCATGCTGAAAAAGTCGGTCGGTTTGGTAGGTTGTTTGAAATGACATTTTTTAAAAATTCAGTTTTTTTTTCCAATTCAAAATTGCTCGAGTGTCCAAAATGTATAGGATTTTCGATCTCGAAAATTTTCTAAGTTTCGAGAAAAATATATTGGCGACCAAAATGGCGATTTCGTAATTTCCTCAATAAAGTTCATGAACCTTTTAAACTTGACCTCGAATTGAAATATGTTAAGAGCAAAACAAAAATGCTTTTTCAAAACAGGAAAATTAAGAAAAAAAAAGAAAGATTCCGAAAAAAATTTCAATCAGCTTCAAAAATCAGAATTCAATAACAGCGTGAAAATCAACATAATTAATTAAAAATTTATCGACCGAATAATACAGAAAAACAAATCCATTTCAAAAATTTTTGCTTCTTTTCTTTGCCATAAAAAAACAGAGAAAACCAAAAATCATCAAAAAAACAGAATAGTGGTCAAATATCTGTGTTGAAGAACCGAATAAAAAGTGTTCATATCATTTTCTACCCAGTTATATGCGATTAATTCGATTTAGCGGAAAGTTGGGCATTTCTTGAGATACGGATTAAACTCCGCAGTAAAATTTGACATGAGGGATCATTTTCTTTTTGAAGCCTGGACAGCAGGCCCGTCGGGGAAAACGGCAGAGCGATTCGCCACAAGCCGTTGTTCTCTTCGGTTCGCCTCTGAAAAAATAGTTCTTTCATCATAAAGCAATGAATAAGGAAATGAGTTGAAGCTACGTTTTTCCAATGTTAAAATTGGTTTCGGAAAGCATGAGCCGAAATTTCAGTCATTTTGAACTATGAAACCCAGAAAAAGGTGGATTCTATATTGAGATTCAAGCTAAATCCAAATTTCTCATTTTTCGGAACACTTTTGAAAATAAGAAAGAGACATTTCAAGCTTAGAAAAATCCATCATTCGGGTCGGTTTTAAGTTTTCCTGTCGCATTTGGAATGGCTCAAAGCGTCGCGGTCGCATTGCTGTTTTAATAACGGTTACCGCCGCTTCGACAAAAGATTCTTGATACAATCAGGCGCAAACCGTTTTGAGTCGGGTGCTACACAGAAAACTTACTTTCGACAGCAAATTTAAGTGACTTTCAATGTTATTTTTTATAAAATTCAAAAAAATAATGAAAAAACCAACTTGCAACAGTTCAGCGGACCTAAACATGATCTTTCTTGCTGGATCTGGCCGCACATTCCACAAATGTCAGAGCAGTTCGCATTTTTCACGTTTTTCCACTCACTCCAACCTTTGCAAGCGTCCTGTAAATCGTAAAACTTAATCCGAATTTCCAAAAATGTTACGTAGCGTGTGCGTACGCGGTTCTTGGCACGAGTTCAATTCAATTGTCGCCGACTATTTCAAAAACTCGGCAACCGCTCTTTTTCAATGTTTTCTACTATTTTTTTGATGCACACATGAACATAATCGATAAATAATTGAAAAAGGAATGAAAAAAGCGAAAAACGGGCTTTTCAAAGAGTCGATGGCGGTTGAATTGAACACGTGACAAAAACCGCGAACGCACACGCTACGCGTCCCGCCCCTGCCCCGCCTCCCTCGCCTTTCAATTCGCGAAACATTGACTATAACTTTGAAGGATACCTAAAGTTTTAATACAGATTTTTTCGAGTCCTATAGAATCAGGAAAAAAAAGAAGAAATAAACCAACTTCGGCAAGAACGACGGTAGCAATCAACAAAAGGAGAAGAATGGAAAAATTCATATTTCGAATTCAAGGCAAAAGTAGAAAAGTTGGTCTATAAGTACTGCTAGAAAGGCATTCAAAGTGAATCGGCTTTTCATTTTTTATTCAATAGGTCCCTTGCCATTGTCATTTGACTCTATTCAATGATAAGAAGTTATTTTTCAAGACTGCCATTGAAATTTGAAAAAAAAATTCTCGGAGTTATTTTTTCATTATTTTTTTAGAACACCGTTATTTCAATTTCAATTCAATTCAATTTATTCAGTCTTTAGAGTGAGATGTGAAAAATCTCTGCTGAATTATGGTATAATTGAAGAGTTAGTCGTCGGCGCGGGTTACGGTCCATAATCGTTGTTCAATGAGTCCCGGCGTGACAGCTAGAGTTGGGAAATAATGTGGGCCCGTTGGTAGTACCAGCGAATAAACTGCTTCACCATGTTGGGAAAGTACAGCGCCGAGATTGTCCACAACCGACGGGCGTCGGAATATTATCCCATGAGAGAGCGGCAATGAGACCGACCAGTCGACGTGATGAAATGAGATAATAAACACCGTGACACCATGATTTAACAATCATATTTATTCTCCAAACCAACATCAAACACAGACAAATCGTTTGCTCAGAATCCTTTTCTCAAATCCCTCGCAGCAACTTCGATTCGGGAAAAGACAGAGTGAGAATCCGCATTTTGCCGGTCGAGTCGTTTCTCCTCTAGAATTAAAAAAAATTTTTTTTTGAAGCGAACGTATGATCTGAGGATGTGTTGCGAAAAGATTCGAACGCGGATCGTCTTTTTGGAGGAACGAAAGTGTAAAAACGTCTGTATAGCTGATTCACGGCCGGCTTGAGCCATCGAAAAAAGGGTCCTGACACGATAATGCACGAGATAGCGCATGGCTCGTGGAGAGCGCAGACAGGACACGCCTTCGCCCCAAGCTAGCCGTGAAATAGTTATATCCACGTATCTTTCCAGCTCGCGTTTGAATTTTCGATTCGCGCCAGAAGACCGCAGAAAAATCCTACAGCAGCCTAGCCATGGACCGTTTTAAAAAAAAGTGCAAACTTCAAATGGTTCAGTCTTGCTCTTCAGAAAGTCATTACTTCTACTTGGACTTCGGTTACGCAAACGGGAAGTTTCTCAGAATTACTAGTGATCCTTTAGTGGCGTCAGCACTCTTAAGCAATTACTTGAAATGCTCTGAAACGTCCGGTTTGCGTTACCGTGGGGTCTTCCAATAAGGGTTATGGAAACGTTTCCATTAAATGAACGTTTTTAGAGGATTTTTTCACCATTCCTGAGTGAACCACGGTATTGTTTTGCATACGGCCTATAACGCGAAACGGGCGTGTTTCGGACGTTTCTGTGCAATTCTAGGAATCACTAACGCCGCTAAAGTGGTCACTGGAAATGCCCAGAAACGTCCGGAGCACGTCTGTTATGCGTTACCAATGTCCGAATATATAATATACATATATATATATATGAGAATTTCCGCATTACTCGCAACAGGCTGGATCCAGGTCCCGGCAGACGCGCTCCTGTGGAATGGTCCCACAACCGCCGCAACTTGAGCTACACTCCGCATTTTCGACGTCGATCCAGTCCGACCAACCACGGCATCCTTCGCTTGAAACCTGCAGAAAAGGAGGTTTGGTTTTTCATTCTGCTTATTGGAAAAGCCTTCTCGGTCTTGATTTATGCCTTTTTGGGAGTGTAAAATGTTGCTCTTTTTTCCGCACTATTCCGTCCTCTGGTTAGAGAAAATCTGTTTCTTTATATATTTTTTTTTCATAATTCTGACTAGTCTGCGTCCTCTTTTCTCTCACGGTTGAGGTCATAGAAACAGATGAATGAATTTTAAAAAAAGCTCTGATGATAAGAGAAAAAAAGGTCCAGACAAGTCAAACTTCCTTTTTTCGAAATTCGTGTTCTGAATAATAAATGTGGACTTCTAATCAGGAGTAGAAGAGTTTTCGTAATTTTTGATGCATATTTTGATTTTCAGCTCTTAAATTGACTTGGAGTACTCTGAGCAAAGTTGTGGCAGTTAAAAGTTGAATATGTCGGTTATTTGAGCTTTTTATTTAGTTTATAGGGGAAGGTGGTAACAAAAAATCCCAAAAAAAATGTCATCATAGAACATTAGGTAAAGACGTTATAAGTCCGGCCCTCAAACAGTGCATAGCTTTTTTTGCAAACTTATGTCTATCTTTTAATTTTTAGTGTCTGTTTATATTATTTTAAAACCAGTTTTTTTTGGAAAAACATGAAACGAAAACTCACCGAAAACGGGAAAAGTAGCGCAGTAAACAGGAACAGTAGGAAATCTCCTGACATTTTTCTCGGATACTACACAATACGGCTCCTTTTTATATTGTAGTAGCGCATACTCAGTGGGAGAATATTTCGAAAAAAGTGCATTGTGGGAAAAAATGTATACTTTTTCTTAGCTAGAGCTCTCAAACTTCACACACTTTTACGAGAAAATGCAAATGAAAAATAATCCTTACGCTTTTGACACCTTTTATTGAACTTTTTTTGGCCAATATTCCCCTTTTCGATACCCAATTTGCTGCATAAAACTCTCAAAAAGGTAAGGCATCATATATTTAAAAAAAGGGAGATCGAAAGATCTTTGGCGTTTTACGGACACGTTTTGAAGCATGTACAGATTCTTTGTGAACCTTTCAATTCATGATCAAATACAGGACAAGATGTTCATTCAAATCAGTGAAAAAACGCAATTTATATGAGACTTGTTGTCACTGGAACACAGACATATTTTTGTGATGTCAGTATTTTCTGCTCATATCCATCGCAACAAGGTTGATACGGAGGAGGACACGGGTCGTAGCCACAGGAGATATAGCCGGTATTAGGTCCTCTGTAAAGACAACTCTGGCTTATTAACTGTTAAGGTCTACTGATGAATGTCCTCAAAACTTAAAGTTTACGCAAGTAGCGTTTATTCTCAATCAAGCCTTTGAAGAGCATTTGATCAAGTTTTCAGAAAGTTACACACCGTAAAGTAGAATGAAAAGTTATATAATCTGTGTGTCACGACTTGGAATTTCACCGAACGACAATCCGCTGTTCCGCTGCGTCTTTGCGAGCCTCGGCCTCGCTTTGAATTGGTTCTCATTTCTGATAGATGGACTTTTCCACTAGGAACACGTGTGGGACGAGTTCTTATATAAAATTAAAAATTAAAGGCACGCAGCGGAACGTCGTTCGGTGAAATTCCAAGTCGTGGTACACAGACTATAACATACACACAACAAGACGTGTCGGTGCCGAGACAACATCTTTCCCTTAGAGATGATCCACAACCACCGCACGAAAATGAGCAATCTACATTGTCATAAGCAATCCAGTCTGTCCATCCATAGCACTTGTTGGCTGCCTGAAAAATGGAAGACACCTGAAACTACATACATATGCTTCTCAGCAATCGTTCTGTTCGCTTCGTGGTCAAACTGATCTCTAACAAATTACAAAAGAGCAACTTTGTAGTTTCACTATAGTTAATTTTTTTTCCTGAAAGACGGTCACGGTATGACTTGTTGGGTACGCGACGCAGATTTGGCGGAAAAATATAATTTTCCAGTCTATATCAAAAGATAGACCTTCTGGGGGTTGATTATAACAAAGTTATCCATTCAAAACGAACCGAAAACAATACAGGATAAAATTCGGCGATAAATAAAAGTCCAAAAACGAGCTGGTAACTTGAGACGAGCTTCATAGTTGGTCGTCAAGCCAGAAATAAAGATGGAAGAGGCGTAGTTTGCCGGTAACTAGGGTCAAAACATAAATTTCGCTTTACTGAAGGCCGACCTAGTTACCAGAAGTATGTATTCAGAGTTTTTCAATTTCAAGTTCATTAGAACGATACAAAAAAAACATTGTATAGGAATGGTTCTTAAGAAAGAGTCCCAGAACTAAGTGGTGAGTAACTGGACTTCATTTTGAGCAACGAGGTTTCACTAAAAGTTAGAGAGTCCGGAACTTTAGAGCGGTCCCTATGGGGGGCGTATTTCTATCTAAGGACTTTTTACCCCACCCCCCACACTGCCAAAAAATGGATTATTGGTAAGGGCCCCTATAGAGAACTTGCTAGTCGGTTATTACTAAAAACATTTTTAAACTAAAATCATTTTCAAAAATTTTAAACTCTTATTGGGGCCCCTAGAGGGGTCACTCTTTTGCCCTCCTTTGGGTTTTATTCCCCTAACCCCTGTAGGGACCCCTCTGGCGTTTCTAAGTAGGGCTACGGGATGAAAATTTTCCTGAGCAAACTAGAAAATTCGTTACATCCAATAATTCCAGTTTTCCGCTAACAAAAATTTTTTTCTTTTTGTTAGTTGGTGAGAATGTTTACCTTATTATCAGAATATTTTGAAAGTTGCGATCTCTCTCCACGATTCAAGCTTTTTTAAACTTTCAAAGACACTCGAGAAAAGATAAGATATCTTTGAACTTTTTTTCCGCTTTTCTCGCCTCTCCGCCCACGTGTTTCAAAAAGCTCCGGTTACCTCTCAAAATATACACAAAGAGAGATTTTTTCACCTATCCTGCGTTATTTCAAGGTTTCCTAGAAAGTCTATTTCTAATCAATTCGTTAATTTTTTCAAAAAAAAATGAGTTTTTTTGGCAAATGAAATGGAACTTGTTTTTCTTAGGTGACTTCTTGAGTGTTTTTCTCGATTTTGAGAATATCATCGACTCTGGAAAATTTTTTGAATAACCAAAAATGAGCTGAATGTCTGGAGTGCCCCTTAAACGACCACTTAGAGGGACATTTTGCTGTTTTCCGTTAATTTCAAAACCAAAGTAACAAACTTCTAAATTATTTTTACTTCGTTTTCCTCGTTGAGAACAGAATTCTTTAAATAAAGAAACTGCTTTTGGGGCATTTCTCTCATGCTTCTCAACTGATCACTTCATTCTTCCTAACTCGGTTTTTTGTCTCAGTATTTTCTTTGATTAAGCTTTGAACATCGATTCAAAAAGAAACCCAGATCGAAACCTTTTTTGTTTTTCTCAGGACTGTACGAAAAGTTCTATTTTTAAAAAGTTCCCCTGCGATTACACAAACCACCAGATCTTTATCAAATGTCTGCTGGATATTTTCCCTGCCGCAAAAAATAGAATTTCTCCGTTCGCATTGAGTCACCGATCGTGGCCGATCTGATAAGAACGTTGCGTCTCTGCAAAATTTTCCTTCTTTTCGAGAATTTAGTAGCTTTTGGAAGGTTTCACAAAGGACCCGAACTTTCAAACAGCTGTGTCGTTTCGCCCGCGTCGCGGCTCAAATATCGCCTTTTTGTTCTTAAGTTTCTCCTTTGGACTCCTTCCCGAACGTTCTCTTCTCGTGTACTTTATTTCTTCAATTTGTATATTTTAGGCAAATCGTCGTGAAAATAATCTAAATTCGCAAAAATGAACCCCGAGGTTGAAAAATGTTCACGCTTTTTTTGCTCATTAATTCAGGTTCTAAAGTTTGGAAAATCTTAGAAATCTTCATTTTTTTCTTCTGTAAACGAAAAAAATTCCAACGCCCCCTCTCTAACAAAAAAACCGGAAGTAAAAAAATATTTTTTTCAATTTTTACAATTTACCACCACTGAGCACCGAAAAACCTTCAAATTTTTAAGTGTGAACTATATAAATTTATATTCCAGCGTAAACTTAGTTTAGTGCAAAGTTGCTCTATGGACAAAATTTGGTTATAGTTTTTTTTTGCTCGGGACGTTTCTGATCATCTCTAGGGATCCCTTAAGAATGCTGACGCTACTAAAGTGGTCACTAGAACTTCCGTCTCGCGTGACCAATGTCCGAGATTTCATTTTCTTCTCAATTTTTTGGGTTTTCCTTCAAATTTGAAAGCTATCGATCTTGCTAAGATTTTTGAAAAATTTATCGAATTTTTAGTAAAAAAATCTTTAATTTCGAATAATCAAGATGAGAGCCCCTGAAGTTTTCTACCTTAAAACTATGCCTATTGAAGTTTCATTCAATAGTAACTCTTTCTTAACGAATTTTCACTTCAGTCAAACATTTTTAAGGTGTTGGGAAGGTAACCAGCAGAAGGTTGGAAGGGAAATGAAAGTCAGAAGGCCTTTGGAATGTCTTTAGAAGGCAAAAATGCAAAATGCCAGCCAGAAGCATACCAGAAGCCTGCTGAAATGCTTCTGGAAGGCTTCCGGCAGGCTTTTTTTTGAGTAGAAGGTATTGGAGAGGCGTTTGACCACTTGCTGGAAAGCTTTCAAACGTCTTCAAGGAACCGAAAGCAGAAACTTCCCAACTTTTGCCTGAGACGATTTTTGAAGCTCATTTGATGCGATTTGATGTTTGAAAAATGCGGACTTGAGCACCCATTCTATCAAGAAACGGCTTCAACAGCTTGTCCTTCTCAATCAGAACCATGTTTCCTTCGTTCATATGTCTTTAAACTACGCTGCACTACACACGTTTCAAGAAATGATATATCATTTCAACGCCAGCTGATCCGGAGCAAGTGGTTTAAGAGGCCGAATTTCGAGAGTTTTTCCTCCGCCGCCCCGTCCTGTGTAATGATGTTTTTACTGCTCCGACGTGTGTATATGCCCTTAGCCAATTCTTCCCTTTTTGTGTTCCATCGAAACGGCCTTTTCGAACTCTTTATGGGACACGTGAGTACCTGGAAATGTGTCCGTCTTTCCGTTATTCCATAGCGAATTTGTAGTATAGAGTCTTTCTAGAAATCCAACTACATTTTTTTTCTGAAAAAATTCAAGTCCTGCTTAGTATTTTTATGAGACTATTATATTGAAAATCCAATTTTTTTTTGCAAATTTTGCATCTTTGAACACTTTCAAGATGTTACAGCTCCATACATTTTATAGTCAATGTTTCCCGACTTGAAAGGTGATATGGGCTGGTTGGCAAGGGCGAGGTGTTGCGTGTGCGACGCGGCTTGTTGGCGGCGAGCCAAAATTCAAATGTGGGAGACAATTTGGAGAGTTCGGCCACCGCTTTTTTATTTCCTTTTTTCTTTTTCTTATTCTGTTTTTATAATGTTTTCGATTTTTTTTTTATTTCCTCAATGTAATATTGTAAGCGAACACCTTTTCAGTCTGTTTTGCATAGAATGTTTCTCAAACGTGCTGCGAACCGTGAATCATTTTCGGAAAACTTATCGCTGGTTTTTGTTTCTTTCTCACTCCATGAAAAAAACTCCATGAAAAAAACCTTTTTTCAAGATTGTTAATAATTCGATAAAATACTTCGCAGCACTCCGCAAATCGTGCTTCTAAAGGTTTCCACTGCATTCAAGAAAAAAGAATGAATGAATTTGAGAAAAAACCATGACCTTTAGTGAAAATCGCTTCTTGTTGATGTGAAACCCTCGACTTCTGAGTTTTTGAAATTATTGAATCGTATTTTGCTTTGTCTGAAAAGTATCATCAATGAATAAATACAGTAAATTTTTCACGGCACCGAATCATAAGTAAAAAAATTCATATTTTGCGACAAATGAATGAGCAACGATCAACTTGAAGAAACTGTTGTTTGTGCGAAAAAAACACGATTATTGGTTCAAATAAAATTCACAGAAGCAAATAATTTGCGAAAAACATTATAAAAAAACAGAACAAGAAAAAAAGAAAAAAAGGAAATAAAAAAAGCGGTGGCCGAATTTTTCCAAATTGTCTCCCACATTTGAATTTTGGCTCGCCGCCAAATAGCCGCGTCGCACACGCAACACCTCGCCCTTGCCAACCAGCCCATATCACCTTTCAAGTCGGGAAACATTGACTATAGAGTAGTTTTTTCTCGGCGATCCCAGCTTTCCAATAAAACTTTTTTATTATGCTTCATAGTCCATTAACAACAGATTTTCGTTTTTTTTTATTGAAAGCGCAAAGTAGGAATTGGAAAAAACCTTTCTGGAACGAATTTTGCATGGATCAAGAACTTTTTTGGGAATTTTCATACACAACTATGCCTTCCACTCAAAATGGAATTGAGTTAGGTTTTTCAACAATTTTGACGCATTTCGTAGGAATTCGATTCTTTCTCTTGCGCCCTTCAACAAATTTATGTTTTTTTTATAAATTTTTATCACCCCTATGGCTTTAGGATTTTGTTTTGAATGAATTTCAGAGCCTACCAAATAAAACTGGTCAGGCCCATCTGAATATATCAGACAAGGTGCCGGGTGAACGAATTCTCAAATTATTTTGTTAATTTTTTGGCGCTTCTTGTAGTTATTTTCATCTCTGCCTTTTCCTAAACTTTTCTGAACCTTATATCTAAATATCAATTTTTTTTTTCTCCGATTCAAGCAACCAGAGCGAGAAAAAATAGCTTTTTAAACGATGTTACAATACTTTTGACGCATCTTGTACAAGTAATATTTCTCTTCCTGTCTCTCCTCTCAAACTGTTACAAAAAAATTGATAATTCAAAAAAAACTCCAAATCTAAACATCTGAAGCCGTCAGAATAATCTGGAAAAAATTTTCAATATTTTGGCCTTTTTTGAAGATCATCTTCATCGCTACCTGAACTGTTGAAAATTTCAACATCTCAAGATTTTTTCCTCCAAACCAAGCAATCAGAGGCCGGAGAAAAACGGCTGCTGGACGTTCCCAGATACGATTAGTCAGTGCCCTTTGACTCATCGACGCGCTCCATTTTTCTCCAACCAAAAAAAAAGGCGAGAAACGCTTGTTTTTTTCTCATTTCGTGCTGTTGTTCCGTTGGTGGCCGGGGGGTCACTCTTTTCCAGCCAAACTCTTCGGATCCAACTCATCGATTTATGAGCCGCGCCGCCCATCCCACATCACTTTGCTCTACCGCTTTTTTCCACTTATTTGAACAGCTCCCATGCCATTTGTCTTTGCTATTTTCAACTGCTGGATTATTGACTATCCTTTTGCAAGTCAGTAATTGATCATTTGTTAGTGAACGATGTAAGAGTGATGGTCAGAATGTTCAAAACTCTAATACTATTCAAAAAATGACGTGATCATCTACGCGCCGTTCTTGATCAACAACAGTTTCGTGAAATGACTTTTTCAATATATCCATGAAGACTGGATAATTTTGTGATGAACCAACGCTTTGAAAGAACCAAATATAGTCTGTTCAGATTTTCAATGTCAAGTGCAATGACGTCATTTAAAAATCTCTGAATGGCTCGCTCTCTGATTGGTTTATCGTACCATTAGGGGCGAAGCTTGAGCGACGACTTGACATTCAAAATCTGGACAGACTATATTTATTCAATATTGTTTAACTTTTGAGAAAAAATTTGATTTGTCGTGCTCTTACCAGTGAATGGTCTCAGCTCACAGTGGGACTTCTGAATGAGATTTTCTAGATGTAGTTTTTCATGCTGATTTCAAATCAGGTCTCAAAAGTTGCCCCCGATGTCTACCGGGTCTACATACTTAATGAGCTCGATCGGAGACTATGAAATTTTCGACTTTTGAGGTCCATAACTTTTTTCACATGCCTCGGTGGCAGCTTTTGAGACCGGATTTGGAATCAGCATGAAAAATTACATCTAGATCTCATTCATAAGTCCCACTGTGAGCTGACACTGGTTAGAGATAAGAAATAATTCTGAAAAAAGTTTCTTGGATTTAGTTTTGCTCCGATTTGAACAACTCCCGTGTCACTTCCAACCAGGCAATTATCAAATTAACTTCGTATATCATGGGACATTATTACGCTAAACTTTGATCTTTTACTTCTTATTCTTGATTAGTATTAAAGCAATTTTGCACCTTGCTTCATACCTATCGTCGTGAAGAAAGAATGTTTTTTCCTCTGTCTACCTGGTGGTCGGAATAATTACCCTATTTCTGACTACTTAAGGGAAGACCATTTTCATCTCCAAATCTCACTCATATTGGGTCCACTCCACGCCCCACAACCGACCTTCAATATTTGCCAATGAGCTGCGACGGCTTGGTCATGGCCGATTTGCCAGGATTACCCTTTCAACCGACCGACGCCGGGTTCACCCAATATCCCATCTTCCTCATTATCTCCTTCATTTTTGATCTCGAATGTTTCATATCAGCGCAAATATTTGCTGTCTTCATAAAGTTGCTGGAATTTTCGGGTCCACTCGACGATTTTTTTTGTTGCTTGGATTTGTTTGATCCGATTTCTTTGCAGATAGTCGAGGTTTGAACTGAACTTGAAAAATGGCTAATCGTTCGTCTCCGCCACCAGCTTTCACGGTTTGTTGGTGTTTTCAAAAATATTTAACTTTTTCTTCATTTTCAGTAGTATTATCATGCTTTGCTAGGCTTAAATCTTTGAATCCTTGGGAAAAGTTTTGACAATTTTCTCTGAGACTTTTTCTATTGCTATGAAGTTCTCTTCTTCTCTTTCTCTAACCAAAATAAATTTTTTCAGCTTCAACCTTTTAACTTTTCGAAGCTGTTCAGTAGCACAAGAGTTCATTTTTCGTTCAGGTCTTTATAAAACAATGGTAACCCTATGCTTCGTCAAGCCGAAGAAAAAAAACTTTACAACTTATAAAGTTGTTTTTAAGTGATTTGAAGGCATATAGATGATTTTTAAAATCGAGCCTCAATATTCATGAAAAATCAGGCTTATTAAAAAATTCATCAAGGTGTTGAGAAAACCTCTGACAACATTTTTTTCTCGACTTCTCCAAGACCTTTCCTAATATTTTTTTAAAAATCAACCCTGTTTTCTTTAAAATTCTTACCAAATCTCCAAGATTCTTGTTGTTTTGACAACAACCGACACTTTTCCCATCTACAATTGGCCTGTTAAGAGCCGCCGCGCAACTTTTCGAGGGCTTTTTGAGCAAACAACTAGGTCTAACATTCCATCTAAGGGCGTTCCTTTTGAGCTTTATCTAATCTTCTGTGGTTTGAGATAACTTTGTGGGTTTTTCAAAAAAATCTTGAAAACGGTTCAGGAGATTGAAAAAAATCTCTTTTAAATAAAATTTTGAGTATTTTTCTATTTCGAGCTACAAAAAGTTTAAAAAAACTCTATCTAACCGAGGTCTTTTTGAGCTTCTTATAGTTATACAAAGTTAAAGAAATTTTTTTGCGATCTTCAAAATTAGGATGGGGGTGGTTTCTTGCAGTAGAAAACTCTAGACTATTATTAATTTTATTTAAACATTCACGCTTCAAATTCTACCTTAGGGTGTCCTTTTTGAGCTGTATCTGATCTTAGGAAGATTGAAAATGTTTTGTCGGAAGGTTTCGTAATCTTAAATTTTATTGGAAAAGTACAAAAAAATTGCGCTTTTTTTTTAGTTGAATCGAACTTTCTCCCGACTATTTGCTATGAAAACTCTAATTTTTTTCCTCCTATTCCTCATTTTCCCGAACCCAAGAATCTCAAAAATGCCACTGATTCGGGTTGATTTCAATGGGAAGTGACTGTTGCGCGGAGATCCCACCCGGTTCCAAATTCAACATTTCGCAATTCAAACCCTTTTCAGCCCCTCCAAAAGCTTCCCCCTCCCAGAAACAACGACGATAACTCAAAGAAAACGAGGTTGGACCAATGGTCAGCGACATATGTTTCTGAGAGAATCGCCCACAAATTTAATGCTTTTACGCTCTCTGAACAGCTTCTGCTTCTGCTATTTTTCCAAAGGGTCACTTTGAAACTGAATATCTCGACAATTTATGACTATAGTTTCTTTGGAACAACTGTTTTTTAAGCTTTCAGAAGCATTGGAAACGTTGTGATCAGCTTTTCACTTGTGCCTTTTTTTTGTGGCTCAAATATTGTGGGCAGAGACTTTATTTTTTTTAGGATATGATTTTTACCTGATGAGTAATTGTTTTTTTCAATTTTTCTTTAAACCTCGACGCATTTATCGTTTAGAAACTTGTCATAGTAATTTTTTTCTTAAACTATATATGAAAAAAAGTTTTTCCGCCTCCAGTCCTTCATCTATAACTCCAAAAGAAAAATTCAGATTGAAAAAAAAATCTTTTTTATTTATTTTTTATTTTTTCACTTATCCTTGTAGACCAAATAGCAACCGAGATTCAGAATCGATTAAAAAAAATTCATTTTTCCCAAGAGAGCCTAAAAAAGCAGCTCCTATTTTACAGTCACTATTTTCATTAAATTAAAGAAATTTTCGATTTACCTGCATCAGCAAGGTTTGCATTTCCTTAAAAAAAGAAAAAAAATTTTTTAATGTATGTAAAAATGTTCAGCTTTTCATGCCTACTTCTTGACCTTTCCAAGACTTTCCAACGGCAAACTCTTATTTTGGTCAAAGTCCTTATTTCTATAGTCCAAACACAAAAATGGACGCCATTCTGCGAAAACAAACAGTTCAGAGAACCAACAACATGTTTGGCAAAAGAAAAAACGGAAAAATTTCGAAATCGAGACTATTTTTCACCGAAAAAAAAGACATTTGTCGCCATTGAAGAAAGATGGCGCGTGGCCGATTGCGAACGGCCCAATTCAGTTGGAATTTCGCCTAATTTTTCCATTTTTTTGGTTTCTTTGAACTTGCTGCAGTCTTTTTTGGTCTTCATGATAAATAAAGAGAAATCTCTTCAAAATATTTGCTATTTTCCGATTTTTTCTTAAGGCCTTTTTTGATCTAAATGATTCAGAAGTTCCTTGAGAAAAGATATTTCCGTCGAAAATCTTCTGAAAGAATTTTCTAGCTAAAATCACGCGAAAAATCTGCCTAGAATGTTTCCTATTTCTTGTTTTCCCATCGTTTGACGATTGACACTAAAATATGTACATGAAATATGTCCCGCAACTGATCTTTCAGCGTAAGAGGACACATTTTCAGCTTTCTCCTTTCGCGATTTGAATATTTTCACCTGCTTTTTCTTCGAAGCAGCTGTCTCAATGGTTGAAGTTTGAAAAAAATCTGAATTTTCAGCTTTTCCCTCGAATCCGGCACCATAATTTTATTTTTTTTATTTAAAGTGAGAACGTTTAGATAATTTTTTAATTTGAAAATGAAAGAAAAAGAAAAAGCAAAAAAAAATCTTTTTTTTATTGACACTGTCAATGGCGCGCACTTATGCCGGGGTTCACTTTTTTTCCTTTTTTTCCATTTTTTTATCTTTTTGCCACTTTCTTCTTTCATTTTTATCTAATCTAATAATGGTTATATATTGTTCAAAACAAACTGATTTCCCAATCGGAAATTTCGTCATCCTTACACCCCGCGCCAGCTCATCGCTTTTTTTTGTTGCACTCTGCAAAAAACAAGAACAAAAAAAGAACAGAATAGATCCCTTGGCAGTGCGTGGGTCCAGTGTCGGTTTGTTACAACCAATTTCGCTCCTCTTTTTCTCGACGTCTCCCTCCGAGCCGATGGAAATTGAAGAGCCACTGCCCTTCTCCTGTTGTTGTTGTTTTTTCGGTTTCTTTTGTCGATTTTCTTGGATTTCGTGTCAGTTTTTTTTTCCGAAAATCGATCATTTTGAGTCATAACAGAGTTTTTTTTTTTTAATTTTGAAGATTTTAACAAAGAAAGCCAAAAAATGTTTGTTTGGATTTTTCCTTTTTATTTTTTTAGCGTCATTTTTTGAGTTTCCTCGAGCTGATTTGCATAAAAATTGATCAGACTACTCTAATGTATAGCTGAAAAACGGTAGCTTTTCAACATTCGAAAAATTAAGAATTTTCTGACCCAATTTGTTGAAAATTTAAGAGCTATTGCCCTTCTTGTGTTGTTGTTTTTTGGTTTTTCCTTGATTTTCCAGAATTTAAAGTTAATTTCTCTCATAAATATAAAATTTTGAGACATCGAGAAAGTTTTTCAATGTTCTAAACACTGGAAAGATCCATTTCAAACATTGAAAACAAAGATAAATATCTTAAAAAACCAAATTTCTCCTTTTTTTTTGCAAGATAAGTCATGGAAAAGCGTTTTCAGTCTTTTTAAAAATTTCAACTTGACCGGTTGATAAATAAAATCAGCAACAAACTCGAACGAAAGACAGGTTTCTCCTAAAAATTCTCGAAACTGCCACTTTATCTCCCATATAATTTTAAAACCGGCACTCTTATCAGTCGTCTCGGTTTTCTGCTCTTTGGCCCAGCTACCTCTTTATTTTCCGTTTCGAAAATAGACGTTGATTGATAGATTTTTCCCATTGAACTGTGGTCGGAAATCGTCGAGCTGACTCACCGTTCGCGCTTTTTCAAAGATATTTTTTTCTCACCTTTCGACTTTTTTTGCTTCATTCTAGTATACAAAAAATATTTGCGGAAGTTTACAGAGGCCCTATTTTTGCATAATTTGAAAAAAAAAACAAAATATGACTCCAACTACTCTTGCCCATGAACCATTAAAAGCCCAAGTTTCAATAATTTTTCTTCAAATCGAGGAATATTGCCTTCCATGGGAACCACGTTCGAAAAACCAGAACCGAATCGAATTAGGAGGCTTCTCGTTTTTGCTCATATCTCTGCCTCTCTCGTTCCGACGCTCAAAATTGAATTGAAACTGGTCAATTTGTCTTTTTTCTTTCACTTATCTTCTTCTCCCGGCTTTTCGCCCTTTTCGGCCATTTTTTTTTCGGAGAGATCAGTGTTCGGGTGTCTACTTTTTCTGTTGGTATCTTCCATTTTTTATTTGCGTTTTGCATTTTTTGACTTTTTTTTTGCTGAGCTGCTCAAATGAACTTTGATGAATTTCTTGACCTCAAGAGTCGTTTTTTATTATTTTTTTGGTTTTATAAAACTTCTGCGATTTTAAAAAACCGAGAAAGGAGCTTTGAACAAGAAATATAGATTTAAATTCAAAAAAAGGTTTTTTTCAGCTCTCCCAGGACGACAGCACAATGGAGTCGGAGCATGTGCTGGACGAATTGAGCAAAGCAAATCATTGATGACGTCATTCCGGCGGCTCAGAAAAACTTTGGTCAGTTGAAAAAAATAGTTTAAAAAAATTTCATTTAGAAAAAAATAGTGATAATTATTAGGAATGCAACTTTTCAGTGAATTAAAAAAATAGCTAGAAAAAAAGTTTTTAACAAATCTTCAAATAACACTTTTTTTCAATCCTGAAATGCTGTAAAAACTAAGGAACTTCAGCAGCGTTGTAAAAAAAAGCCGGAAAATAGAAAGAAATGTAGGTTTCCTTTAATAAAATTGTTCAGAAAGGGATAATCAACAATATTCGAAATAATTTTATGTTATTTTCAAATTTTTGGTAAGTCTTGAAGCGATGAAAAATTGATTTTAAAAACGGTTAGAAGATTTTTGAAACATTTTTTTATGAAAATTAGTAAAAATGGAGGTTTTTTTCGATTATCAATGATATGCTTTCATGAGAAAATTCGAAAAAAGCCGTTTTTGGTCAATTTGTTCTGAAAAAAAGTCAAGTTGAAAGTTTTTTTGTTGGCAGTGATCGTTATTAACAAAATGAATGAACTTTTGCATTTTAATTTTAATTTTTAGCAACTGCTCAAAATTGAAATTTCAGGACGAGATCGCCGAAGCCACAAAGGCCCGTGTTCTCGACACTTTTTGAGCCAAAGGAGGTGGATTTTTTTATTCGAATTTCTTTTTTTGAAGGGGAGTTCTATAGATTTTTGATGCTTTTTTTCAAACACACTGAAAAATTTAAATATGTTCAATAATTGAATATATTTTTTTATGTTGATTTTGAATTTTGAATAAAGTCGAACTTCCATGACAGACCACTCCGAAACATGTGACTCCGCCGCCTTCCCCCTCAAACGAGCTAGAAACCGACGAGCAGGTCTCGGAGCCGATCCGTGAAGGTTCTGAAGATGCTCCAGTTCTTCCGGACGTCGTCAAGGAGCACGACGACGTCGACGAGGAGCTCTTCGTCAAGCAGACCGTCACGCCAAGCTTGGTGGGTTTCTGGGGGAAAACTGCCAGATTCATTTCAAATCGGAGAACTCTTATGTCTTAGGATTCGGAGAGTGGTCACTATAGGGCAACCTTTTGGGCCCTTGAAGGGTCCTCTCTAAGAACCATTTTACCAGCCCCCATAGGAGCCACTTTTTAGTGGACATGCTGGTCGATAACTGTTATAAACTATTTACGAAAAACAAAATAATTAAGTTTTTGATTGAAGTTGGAAGATCCCTATAGGGACCACTTGAGCTTTAGGGGCTGAGGACCCAGACCCTAAACCCCTATAAGGACCGCCTTAATTTCACCCCTATAGGGTCCACTTTTTCGGCCGCTGTAGGAGCTATTTGTTCCCCTAAACCCTGTAGGGACTACTTGAGCTTTAGGGACCAAGGAGCCAGACCCTAAACCCCTATAGGGACCAACTTAATTTTACCCCTATAGAGTCCACTTTTTCGGCTCCTGTAGGGCTGTTTACCCCTCTAACCCCTATAGTGACCACTCTGGAATTACTAAGTAGGACGACTTTTTGCGCCAAGCCTTTTGTTAGCCATCAGTAGGAAATTCAACAAAGAGTATTGATTATAAGAAATTTCGTAGGCAAACAATGACCGACTAAAATGAATCCAATCAATTTCTAACGGAACTCCCTTCGGTCCGCCAGTTTACAATTATTCCGAGTGGTATTGGAAAGTGGTTCTGGAGGGTAATAGCCACTTCGAATCCTCATCATCTGTATATAATTGCGGCCACGGAACGCTGGGCATCTGGATCGCTTTCACAGCCCCGCTCTTTTGCACTTTTTCGCTCCCCGGCCCCCGTTCCCACTTCTTTTCAGCCTTTTTTTCTGATCTATATCTGGAAAAGTTAGATTTTGAGCTCTTTTTTTTATTTCCTTGAGTTCAAACTCAACCGAAAGAAAGGTAAATCAATTAAAATGATACAATGAGCCCTAGTTAACTCGAGAATTCTAGCTTTTTATTCAATCTGATCATGAAAAAAATCAAGTTTTTTTCCCTTATTTTTAATATTTCAGGCGATTAGAACCGTGAATTCAGTGAGCTATAGTTAATCCAAGAGTTCTCGACCTTTCCTATTTTATATTAAAAATTTGATTTTGAGCCCTTTTTTCATTTTTCTTTTCTTTGAACCCGTAATCGGCCGAAACCTCGAAAAATTTATTTCTTTTCTGAAACTATGTAATAAAATCGTTCAAAATAAGCATTATGAAATAAAGTATGAAAGTCAATAAAAAAATAATTTTTTTTTGGGAGTACGGTGCCTGATAGTGTAGTGCACGATTTTGACAACATGCATTATATTTTACGACTTTTATTTTTATTTTACTTTTTTCTACTTTTTTTTAATGACTGATCGAAGATTCCGTTTTTTTTTTCTTCATAAAAACGTGAGTTACAGAAATTTGTCGCATTTTTGAAATTTAATTTCCTTTTTCCAATAAAGTTCGTCTGAATTTTTAACACAAAATCCAAAAAAATATTTTTCCTTTTTTTGTTTCGTGTAGAGGAGTTTGTTGTTTTTTTCAAGGAAACAACCTTTTTTTCTGAATTATTTTTCTTATTTTTTTGTCCTCGAAAAACTCGTAAGACTTTTTTTTTTTTTTGTTAGCGCCATCCCTACCCATTTCAAAAAAACCAATTATCACGGGCCATTAAGGAATCGGGATCGAAAAGAAAAAGGAAAAACATTAGAACGTCTTCCGGTTGGGAAAGAAAGGTTTCTTTTATTCTTGAGAGAAAACGAATTTTTTTCAATACCTGATCAGAACTATAAAGTGAGCCCGAAAGTTACTGTTTGATCTTTTTGGCGCGATTTTTTTTTTGATCAAACAGCAGGAATAATCCACTTACGTCAGTTTATTTTTTTTATTCTTCGTGACGTTTCCAATTGTTTCAATGGTTCAAATTTTTACTTTAAAATATAAAATGATAAAAACGCCCGTTATAAATAGCTCAACATTTCGTTTTATGTTGCCGCTTAGCGTTGGAATCGTTTCGAAAACATTTTCCATCCTTTTTTCGTTTTTCGATGATTAAAAAATGTATAGTTCGTTTTTGGAATAACTTTAGCTCGTCTAGAAAAAAACTTGAAAAAAAGAAGTTGTGATTTAAAAATTTATAGTTTTTCCCATTTTAATTGGAATGACTAGTTTTATTATTATTTTTTTGTTCGGTTAAAAAAATTCATAAATACGTTTAGATTCTACTTTCGATTGAAAAAAATTGAAATGAATAATTATTTTTTTCCTGAAGTTTTTCGTAAAGTGAGCGAATCTTAAAAGCGTTATTTTCTCTTCAGTTTCAGTTTTAATTCAATCTTCTCCAATTTAAGCTGATTCCATTTGCAGCCTTTTGTTACCAATTTTCTCATTTCCCAGAGCTATTATTCTCGTTTTTTTCTTGCTCCAATTTATGTGGAACGCTTGGAAATAGCTCGAAAAGCCATTGGGAAATGAAAAGTCGACTCATTTTAATCAAATTAAATCCTACTCGCTTTTTTGACGCTATTTTTTCTATTTCTGTACATGGAAGCTACAATTTTCTCTTAGAAGCGATCTAGAAGTTTTCAAAACAGTTTTAAAAAAAGAAAAAATTGTCTCGAAATCTACTGAAAACTTTACAAATTTGCAAGAAAGTCATACTTTGTGTTTTAAAAATTCCATTTTCCATTAATTTCAGTCCAAAAAGATCAAAAAAAGCAGCTGGATACTACTAGAATCTTCAAAAAAAAATTTTTTTTTTTTTTGCAATTTTGGGATCATCTTGGGTTGATTTTGAACGAATTTAATATCTTTCTCACTTTTTGTTGCGAAATCGCTCTATTTCCCTCGAAATTAGCTTCATTTACCATTCTGGAACGTTGGAAAACAGCTCAAAAGGCCATTAGAAATGAGGAGTCCGAGCTCCTTTTTTGACCCTCTAGGGGATATATTTTCCCTATTTTTTTCCTTGGACGACGCGTCGCCCTTGCTTGAACTGAGCGCATTCGTTTTAGAAAAAAATAACAAGAGTTATACTTTTTGGTCTGCAAGAAGTGCGTGTTTCATGCATCTCTGAACGTGTTTCTTCCACATTATTCATGCACCCGCGCGACTTGATACATATTTCGCTTCCCGAATATCTTGGCCTGACTTTTGGTTTCGTGTCGAAAAAGAAAAAAATTTTGATCCTAGAATATCTTAGCTTTTGCTTGAAGCTTTGAGTTTAGCGAAATAATGTTCTCTTCACATTTTAGTGATAAAGAAGAGGAGAACAGTGTTCTCAGATTTTTCCTGAAGCTTCGAAATTTGGAAAGTTCTCCTCATACTGGACTTTTGGTAGTTTAAGTGAAAAAAACTGAAAAAAGTAGATTCTCAACATTTCTTCCGATTCCGCTTGGAAATTTAGTAAAATAATTGTAATTTCCTGTTTTAAACATTGTTATTTTTTCAAAGCTGACGAAATTTAGAAGTATAGGATAGTCTAAATGAACACTAAATAATGACTTCACCCCTTGAGACCTTTATGAAAGCTTCCTATGGCCTTTCAGTATCCAGTCAAATAGTTTCAGAACAGACTTAAATTCTAATTTTTCCAGAGATTGATAAAAATTCAATCTTTAGATTTTTGAACAAAAATATACCAAGTTTTTTCAATTCAACCCAGTTAATTTGAAGCTTCAGATTTTTATTTATTTGTTCACAGAACCGAAAAAAATATAATTTTTATTCAATTTCTACGGGTGTTATCATTATAATATATAATTTATTTTTCTCTGAAATTTTTCTCTGTGTATCAGTGATATGAACTTGCTGAAAATTCCACGGATTCTGTTAGATATCATAACGAAAATGAGTGAAAATAAAAAAAGTTGAAAATGTGTTTCTAATAGATCTTACACAATAAAAAAATATGTAATTCAAGTTTCGGTGTTTTTTTGAAATTGTCTTGAACTTGCTTGCTTTTTCTAGTAGTAATCTTATTGATTCACCGTTATGGGGAAGCTGAAAAAAACTTTCGAGACTAGATTTTTCCAATTTTATCAAGGTCATGTTTTTTTGGTCTAGAATAAAAATCAATTTCGAATGAACTTTTTGAAAACTACTACAGACATAGTTTTTTTTTGAATCATCTTCCAATGAATAGAATGTTTTCGAAGATATTTATTAAAATTTCCAACCTGTATTAAAGTTCAAAGTACTCACCTTTCCCCTTTGCGTTCTTTGCTGTTTTTTGTTTTTCCTCGAAGCTGTTTTCACTCTAAAAGTTTATTTTCTTTCTCTCTCGCCGACTCCAAGAACATTTCGTTCCGTTCTGATGGCTTTCTTTTTATTCGCCTCGTAAAATTTCTCACTTTCCGGTGGCTTTTTCGTAAATTATTCAGTAGTTTCTCTCCAATTGTTAGGGCTAAGAGGGGGGTCCATGGTATTTTATTGGTTTCGGAGAGCCATTTTTAATCAAGTTTCTTTTTTCTTTTTGAAGATAATTGAAGATTGAGCGAATTTTTGGAGGTTCTGAGAAACTTTTTTTTTTCTTCGGCCACAGTTCATAGGATCATTGAAATTTTGACTTCGGGGAGATTTTCTCTTTAAGAAATGGCCTTTTCAAAGGCCTGGGTTCTTTTTTTTTTCTCTTTTTTCTTTCTTTTTCTCTAGTCAGAAGCTTGAGACTTCAGTAAATTATTGAAAATCTTTAAATGATATGGAAGTTTCATAAAGAACTTGACAGAAAATTGATGAAATCTTTTTCAGAAAAAAAGCAAGCAAAATCAACAGAAAATTTCAAATTTCATGCCTTTCAAAACAACGAATAAATCCAAAATATAGTATTTTTTTCTCGCTCTTTGGTTGTTTACTGGGCCCTCCAGGCGGTTTCATCAAATTCATGCATTATGCAAATCCCGGGCACTTTTGACGTTTTCCAACCGACCGAAATTTCCATTTTTCCCAGTTTATACATCGATATCGACGTTATTTCTGATTTTAAAAAGGTTTTTATAATTTTCTTTCAGACCGAAGAGATCAAGGAAGCTTCTTCGGACGAGGAAATGAGCGTCGAGGTAAAATATTTTGACTAATAGAAGAGAAAACATTCACAGTAGTATTGTACGCAGTGCACATCGTGTGCACTGCGTACAACACATTTTATTTTCCGCAGTTCCCGTGTTTCTGACTGATAAATCGACCTATTTTTCAGCTTTTTTTTGTAATCAGGCTGCAAAAAAGCAATTTCAGACCAAAGAAAACGCACCTACCTTGGAAACTACGACGGTGGAAACGAAAGCTTTTGAAACTTTCACCACTGACGAGCCTCTCAAGGATGAAAAAACTGTCGTGGTGGGTTTTTTAAAATGTATTTGGAACCAATATTTGCTAGGGATTCATTTTTTTGTAGGATTTCATTACTACTTTGAAACTTTCGGTAAATCTTTTTCTTAATCTTTTTGTTGAATCCTTAAAAAAATCGTTTGAAATGTCTTCTTCAAAATAATTGCAAACTCCGATTTCTCAGTTGTTAATGAATGACTTACTCATTAGAATCAAGCCAAATTCACCTTTTTCCAGACCGAATTCATCCCTGAAACGGGGGCCGTTCAAACGACGGTCATTGAAACTCACGTCGAGCCGGTCGAGGAACATCACGAGGGACTTTTGGTACGTTTTATGAGTTTTAAATGATAGTGGAATTTGACAAGCAAAGTTACCAAGGTGAACATCGCAGATCTGGCCCAAAATTTCGTGGGAGGTAGTCCTAAGTGAAATTACTCAAAAACAGAAAGACTTATCTGCTTAGCGCCATAGGGTACTGAGAAATAACCCGTCGAGAATTTAAGGAAAAAAAAAAGCTTCAAAACTGATTTTCGCCGGTTTTTCTGTTTCTAAAACGTCTACTCTTTCTCACTATATCCTCGTGCAAAGTCGGAATGATGGATAATAGCCGCTAGAGAGAGGCTCAAAAAAAAGGCTGCAGAAAGGCAGCTAAAAGGGAGCAAAGAGGCAACAAAAAGGCAACAACAAGAGCCCATTTGTCGAGCCTTCCATTCTTTCTACCATTTTAAAGGCTCAAGAATTGTTGGAAAAAGGCAAAGGCAGCAAAATGGTGCAAAAGGGCTGAGAAAATGGCGCAAAAAGGCAGCAAAAAAGAAAAATTTCTATGGATGTTTTTTTTCGTTGCATAGAAAAAAAAAATCAAGTTTCATAGATGTTTTTGGGGAAAGTTTAATTTTTTTTTTCAGGACCAAGCCAAAGCAATCACTGCCGACATCAAGCACGATGTCCAGGATCTGGCTCATGACATTAGCAGCAAGTTTGAGCATGAGGAGGTTTTCAGAATAATTTTTCTCGAACTAAATTCATTTTTCAGGAGCCCGTCGCCGTGAAAGTCGACCATGTCGCTGAAGAAACTCCGGGTGTTTTTGAAAAAGCTGGAGACAAAGTTGAAGAGGTGGATAATGGAGAATTTTTTGAGAAGTTTTTCAAAGTCCAGGAAATTTTGTGAGAAGTATAGTTGTTCTTAACGGAAAGAAGTTTGGTCAGACTTTGAAAAAAAACTTTTTTGAAAAAATCAAAGCAGATTTTTTCGATGTAAAAACTAAGCTTAAAGATTCAGAGCTTCGTTTTTATTTCGCAAAAATTTCTTAATTTTTCCTTTGATTTTTTTAAGCTTTCTATTTTTTTCTAATTTTATTTTAAGAGCTAGGGCCTTGTTAACCCAAATTAGACGCGCCAGAGATGTTTCTGAGAATTTTGAATTTTGATCACTAATGGGTTTGGAGGCTGCTCAAGGGATCACTAAAAATGTCCGGTTTGCGTTTCCGAAGGCCGGGCAGTTGTGCCTAGAAACCTTCCGGTCATTGAACTTCATAATTTTTGTTTTCGATTTTTGAGACGATTGTAAAGTTTTTAATATAACAGGGCCGTTTGAAAAATGACCGAGAAGTGGTTTTTTTACCCTTTTTCTAATGAAAAACCAAAATTTTTTTCCTAGGTTGTCGAAGACGTCGCCACGACGATCCAGAGGAAGGCCAGCGATGCTCAGGATAAATTTGTCGAGCTCAAAGAAAAAGCCTCGGAAAAAGTGATTCCCGGAAGATTTTCAACAGAAATGATAATTTTTGCAGCTTTCGGACCTCGGCGACAAGATCAGCGAAAAGTACGACGATGCCAAAAAGTTCGTCGAGGAGAAGGTCGATGATTTCACCGAGAAAAAGGTAGAAGAAGCTCCAAGTTTTAAAAAAATACAGAGCTTTCCTCAGACTTATATTTATTATTTTTCGAGGGCAAACCGCGGAAAAAGTAGTGTATTTTTAAAAAGTATTGATGCTCGTTACAGTAAGAATGGCCATGTATTGAAAAAGAAAAAAAACGAACAAGAACAGATTTTTCTAAAAAGTATGACGATGATTTCAGAATTTCATATAAGAAATGGTTTTTTTTCGTGTTTTTGGTTTCATACTAAATTTTTTTCTGAACGTTTTTGAAATATTAAGTTGTTCAGGTCCGTTTCATCCGTTTCAGGAAACAATTTGATCAGGAAAAAAAGTTAAATATCCGGGTTTGGCTATTTTCTAAGTTGATGCGCTTTTTTTTGCCATTTTTTAGAATTTTTCGGTACTTAAAGTTTGTTTAATCATTTTCGGATGTTAAAGAGTTACACGAGAAACAAATTCTGTCTTATAACTCTGGAATTTTAGTAAAATATTGAAGAAAATAACTTAAGGAAGAAGTGAAGCACGACGCAACGGAGAAGCTTCACGATTGGCAGGACAAGGCCGAGGAATTGGTTGGAGAAAAATTAAATTTCCACGAGAAGATTTGAATTTCAGTACAATGATGCTCATGACGCGGCTGTCGAGAAGAAGCAGGAAGTTACCGAGAAAATCCACGATTGGAATGACAAGGCCGAGGAGTTGGGCCAGGATGCCCAGAAGAAGGCCGAGGACTTGGTTAGTGGGCAAAAAATTATTGAGAACGGGTCCGAGCTTTAGGAAACCTCTATGTACACTCATAGGCGAAATCGGAAGGGTGGAAAAAGGCTTCATAGAAATGTTCATTTTAGGGTGTGAAAGGGTCATTTTTCGCTGCCTTTTTGCGCCATTTCATCGGCTCTTATGCACCATTTTTGCAGCCTCTCTCTTTTTCCACCATTCCTTGAGCACTAGAAAAAATGAAAGGCTCGATAAAGGGACTCTTTTTGTTGCCTTTCTGCGGCCTTTTTTGAGCCTCTTCCTTTTAGCGACCATTTTCCACTATTCCGACTCTGCCAGAGCTAGACCGCTATGATTTAAGAGGAGTAACAATATTCAACCTTTTCGCCGAGTTTTGGCGTCTCAAAAAACTGTAAAACTCTTTTTTTTTTTTCACGGCGAGAAAGGTCAAATTTAGATTTAACCCCGAAAAAAGGATTTTTCATGATTTTCCTTGCATCAAGCAGAGAAAACTTCTCCAGAGAAAACTTCTGCGAAATTTTCATCCATTTATCGATCTGTTACTTTTTTTAAAACTCCAGTTAGTATCTAAAAATAATGTAAATTTGTTTAATTTTTTTAAGGATATTTAATAAAAATAAAAAAAAGAAGCACGAAGTTACCCGAAAAATCCATGATTTTGATGATAAGGCCGAGAGATTGAGCCAAGATGCTTAGAAAAAGGTTGAGAACGGTAGGATAATTGCTAAGCCAATGAAAAATCAGTCGGTAACTCATAAAGTATATTGGTTCCTAAAATTGAAATTTCAGTACGATCAAGCCCATGACGCTGCCGTCGAGAAGAAACACGAGGTCACGGAAAAAATCCATGACTGGCAGGACAAGGCTGAGGAAGTCAGCCAGGAGGCCGAGAACAAGGCTGATGACTTGGTGAGAGCGGGAAGAAAATTCATTCAATTATTTGGGATCGGGAAAACTTCTTTATAACATTATAAAGTATTACAATTTCTTATAGACCTTGGAAAATAATGAATAATCTTTTCTGGAAAATTTTCTTAGATTTTCCACCATTTTCAAAGATTTCTTTAGTGGATACCTATCACAAGATAACTTAACGGCTTGGTTGTTTTATATTCACCTTTCAAGAAACTTTAATTTCCAAAAAAAAACCGAAAAAATAATAACTTTCCCAGTACGACCAAGCCCACGACGCCGTCATTGAGAAGAAAATCGAAGTGACCGAAAAACTTCATGATTGGAACGATAAGGCCCATGAGATCAGCGAGAACGCCCAGAAGAAGGCTGAGGACTTGGTTTGGACCGGAATGAATTTGGAAAGAAAGAACTTATTTCCAGTACGACGAGGCTCATGATGCGGCTGTGGAGAAGAAGCATGACTTTGACGCCAAGGCCCATGAAATCGCCGATGAGGCTGATATCAAGGCGGCTCAGGTTAGGAGAAAAAAAAGAAATTTATTTTCACCTCACATGTTGAACTTTCGTTGTAATTTGACTTAAATGTACTTTAAGATCTCCTTACTTAAGAAAAATATATTTCTCGTAATAAGCATTATTTTCAAGGTTTTGAAATTCGGAAAATAACCGAAAAATGAAGAAAAAATCTCCTTGGATATCATGTTTCCTTAAAATGAATCTTGCACCCCCCGATTTAAGAAAATAACTTTCACGCAGACTTTTATTTTCAAGTTAAAAAACATTAAATCTTGAGAAATTAACAAAAAGTAAATGGAAAATCTTCTTGAAACTGAATTTTTCCAAAAAAATCTGCTAAAGTGATCCCTTGGCCCTTCTGATTTAAAGAAAAAAAAAGAAGAAAAAAACCTTGTAATAAATTTTTTTATCTCAAGTTTTGAGCTCATCAATCGGAACCATAACAAAAATAAAGAAAATAAAACGAAACTGATTTTTTTTTCTCGAGAAACTCTGCTAACCAAGGATCTCCTTGAAAAAAAAATTCACGCAAAATATTTATTTCCGAGGTGTAAAGCTTCGAAAAAAAGTTTTTCTCCGTAGAAAAGAGTATTTTTCAAACTTCATCGTGTCAGAACTTGAATTCAAAAATTTATTACGAAACATTTTTTTCCTTTTTACTTTTTTTATATCAGGACTTTTTTTGAACTACACTGTAGCTAAGTTCGATCAAAAGTTCAACCGATCATAAGAAATTCTTCTAGTCGGGAAAAAATCAAATTTTATGAATTTTCAGCTCGAGAGGAAACTTTCCGACGCCGCGGACGAAGCCGCCTTTAAAGTGGATCATTTCGCCGTTCAGGCCAATGTGAGGAGTTCAATTACTGGAAAAAATTAAAACGAAACAAGGAGAAAACATTGCCAAAACAAATATCAAAATTTCGACTCACTATGCTTGAATCGCCCCCGACCCGAAACGATTTCCGCGCGATGCCAGAAGAAATGATTATTTTCATCCTTGTAGAAGATTTTAACGGCAACGCGTCGTCTTTTCTCAACTGTTTGGACTTTTATCAAACATTCAATGTTTTTCAACTTCTCCCAATCATCTTTTGATTAGATTGATTTGAAAATTTCTGAAATTTGAACAAAACTCTTGATGCGGTCCTGAGAATTTTTTTTTTAAATCATACATCGGCTGGATCCTACCCCAGTTTTTTGCGCGCGAAAAAAAAATTTGAAAATGAACTGAAGTAGGCCGCACTTTTCGGAGGGTATGCCGCACCCCAGGGTGGGATCCAGCCAACGTATGTTCAAAATCTCAAAATTACAGTTTTTATTTTATTCCTAAACTATCGCAAGCTATGGTACAACTGTCAGAAATAAAAACGAAATAATTTTATAGTATTTTTGGAACAGGAAAAGGTTTTTAAGAACTTCTACATTTTATTGATTCTTTTTTTTGGATTTCTTTACTTTTTCGGGTCAGTTTCAGTAGAACTTTTTTTCAAAATAATTTATTTTTACCATGACTCCGTTTTTTGACGTATCTTATACGGTTGTCGCATTGGAAAAGCTATAAAATCGCTTAGAAACGAAATTTTCCCCTGTTTTAGAGCAACTTTGAACACTTTTTGAGTTTCGATACGCGCTAGTTTTAGTGGTCACTTTGAGGTTTTAACGTTTTAGTGGGCACTATAGTGATCGAACTAGCAGCCATTTCGAAATGCGGTCTCCGTGATACTAGTAGACCACTAAAAACTATATACGCAAAATAGTAGCTTCTATAGAGGTGATTTAAGTGGCCACTTTAGTGGCCTTGTAGTTCTTGAGGAACCTCTTAGGGGGCCACTTTTTCCTAATACTCCTTTGATGACTTGGAAAAATTAAAATCTCTTTTTTTATTCTCTTTTTGCTTTAAAAAAAACTGATCTTTTCAATCAAGGAATTTTTGTAGTTGGGCAGTATTCTGGTATATTTCCAAGAGCAAAGTAATAAAATAGCTATTCACCGCTCGCTTGAGCCATCGAAAAAAAGGTCCTGACACGATAAGAAAAGAGACAGTGCCTGGTTGACGGAGAGCGCAGACAGGCCACGCCATTTTCCGTCCCAAGCTAGCCATGAATCAGCTATAACATTTTTCTGAGCTCTAGTTCAGGAGATTTTATGGTTTCCTTTGATCCAATAATGAATTATTTATTGTTTCAGAAGCAAGCCGAAGAAGCTGTTGAGGTGGTTGACGAGAGGACCGACTCGCTGAAGGAAGGGGCCAGGAAGAGGCTGGACTCCCTGAGCGAGAAGGCCGAAGCCGTCGCCGAAGGGGCCCGCAAACGGCTCGACTCGTTCAAGCAGGCCTCGTTGGACGTCGCCGAGAAGATCGCCGACAAGGCCGCTGACGCTGTAAGAAGAGAGGAAGAGGAAGCTTTGAAGAAAAAATCCGAGAAAAAGAATGGATAATTTTTAAGTTCGACCATGAGAAAAATCTGCCAAAAAGATAACTCGGACCTTGGTAGACGAGCCCCGGACGTTTCGGAGCAGTTCTAGTGATCCCTTTAGGGGCTTCAGCGTTTTCAAGTAACTGATTGAAGTTTTTGTAAGGGGGAATTTTGACTCAGTCTGATTCAAGAACTCAAAAACAGAAAAAAAAATTCTTTCAGTAAATCTTCTAATCAATTTATGACTCTCCTAATCTTCTAGGACGCCATTTTTTTCTATTTTTCCCAAATTCTCCGGTTTTCAAAGCTTCTGAAAAATATATCTCTTGCGAAAAGCTTATTTTAGGATCTAGTTTCAGAGTAAATTTCAAATAAGTTTATCAAAAAAATCTATCTTTCCTTGTGAGTTTGAGTAACGGAAAAAGTTGGAGTCATCAATTTTTTTGTTCGACTAGGTTGTCTATGAAAAGTTTTTACCTCGTCAAATTTTTTTAAACTTTAAATTCCAAGAAAAAAATCCCTACAAGTCAAGAAAAGACCCCACTAATCCTGAAAAAAACGGAGAACCATCGAAAAAAATATTTTTTTCATTTAAAATTTATGACAAAAAAAACGCCTAAATTGAGTGTTTTTCGTAGAGTTTTCACGTTTTTGTGGACTTTATCTGTGAGTGAAATGAGTTTTCAACTAAAGAATCACAGAAATCTCTGCAACGGTTGACTTACGTTTCATGCGAAACTCAAATAATAGGTCTGATATATTTTTCACTCGTCATCTTTCTGTTAACGCAAAAGAGAAAAGTGAAAAAAATATGATTTTCAAAGGGGCATAGACTAATTTCATAAGGTTCTCGAAGCGAAAAATTAATTTTTGTATCGTTTTTGGTCATGGAAGACTTTTCAGAGTTTTACCGGTTTTTTGAATAGATTATAAGCCTGAAAATGGTGAGTGGGTTGATTTTTTTAAGGTTAATGTTAAAGGAGCATAGACAAATTTTTCATAAGGGTTTCGAAGTGAATAATCGACTTTTTGTATAATTTTTGGTCATGGATGAGTCTTCAGAGGTTTACCGGTTTTTTGAATAGATTTTAAGCCTGGAAATGGTAGAAAAGTTTGATTTTTTCGAGGTTATTTTTAAAAATCATGAACAAATTTCATAAAGGTCTCGAAGCGAAAAATCGGTTTTTGTATCATTTTTGGTCATTGAAGGTTTTTCAGAGTTTTAATACTTCGAAACGACTCTTTGAAAAGCCTGAAAATTGTAGAAAAGGGATTTTTGCAGTTCCACGCGACGCAGGAGAAGGCTCAGGAGGCCCAGGCCGCCGTTTCTGAGAAGATCCACGAAACAAATGTCCGTAATTTATTCTGTCATTTAATCAGAACTGAGAAAAATCAGTATTATTTTTTTATGAACTTTTTTATTTGTAAGGTTCGAATTTTTTTCTAGATTTTTCGCGCTTTATTTGATCTCAAAACTACGAGCCAAAGCTTCAGTTTATGATGGAAAAAGAAAAAAAAAGAAAATTTTTGTAGGAAGCCGCCGCCGAGAAGTACTCGCAGGCCAAGGCGATGATCAACGAGACGACCGATTCGGCGGTCAAAAAAGCCCAGGAACTTCAGGTATACATTCAATTTTGTTGAGCGATTTTTGAGGACTTTAGAAATAGCTATCTGTTAAATCTCTTTGGGGAAAATTTTTTTTTATGAAATTTCATGAAAACTGAAAAATTTCCACAGAAAATTCAATTTTTTCATGTCCTTGAATATTTTTAAAAAAATCGCCAGATCTTGACCCATTTTCAAGCGTTTCAAGTGAGGGAAATACATGAAAAAGACGGTAATTTCAATATTAATAATGGGATAGTTTTTGAGCTCAAGTTGATTAGTTTCATTTTTTTAGCCTGGATCAAGAAATATTATTAAAAAAACTATTATAGAAATCTGTAAAGATTCAGAGAAGTCAAAGATGGAAAAGAAAAAAATAATTTTTTTAAATTAAGGCCATTTTTTTATATTGTAGTTAGAGCTAGTCAGAAAGAATCGAGTTGACGAAAATACGGGATTTTCCAAACTTTTTATCACAATTTTGAGGCAGTTCAGTGAACATTCTAATTATTTTTTGAAGGATATACTCGGAAAAAATCAAGTAATCTGAGGTTCCATGGGGAACACTATCGAAAAAAAAGAAGGTCTAGATTTGTTTATTTTTCAAATTTTCATAAGGTACACTTAAATAAGCTTTCATGTAAATACTAACTTTCTAATAAGACACATTTTGGTTAGAAAAAAAAATAACTTGCAGCACAACCTCGGCACTAGCACACACGATATTAACACATCACATGGGGTGCCTTTTTTTCTTGTTCTAATTATTTTGATTTTGTCGTAATTTTTTATTTTTGGAACATCTTGGAGCTTTCTTCCAGCGTGTTGTCGAGATTGAGAGGCTTTTAGAGTGGCTTTTTATTGATTTATTGATTTTTCAATTTTTCGAAAGACGAGGAGTTTGTGTGGTGCGGTTTTAACTAGGATAGAAAAATAATTTTTTTTTTTTTTTGAAAATATTCGATAATTTGAAATTATTTTGAGGGAGGATTGGCCATTTTTTTCTTTTTGAGGTCTGAAATTTTTTTCAGTCATTCGAAAGACATTGAAACGCATTTAGAGTAGTTAGAGTTTCTTGAAAAAATTCTCTTGCAAGAACAGAAAGCTGTAGAAATCTAGTTTGAATGAAAAAAGTTATTTGCTAGGGAAAAAAACTCGAAAAAAGGACTTTTTTGGTTGATTTATACTAAATTTTGCAAAAAATACGGAAGGAAATTCGAAAAATACAATATAAACCATAATAAATAGACTGCGAACCTCCTTGACACCACAAATTTTCTGCCGAAAATCAGAAATTGCTCCCTTTTGTGGAGGGAACCGCGCCATGCTCATTTGTTTGTTCTTGCGATTTGTTGGGCGTGTAACGGTTTTATTGAGTTTATTGGTGTCCCTTTGGGGTCGTGACGATTTTTCCGTGTCGTACTGCTGAGTATTCCTGGACTCTTTTAACAATTATCGTGGAACCCGGTCTTCAAAGTGGTAGTGGTGGTGATTGGCAGAAGTCGATGGAGGAAATCGCGGGCGCGATGGTCAGCGACGCGAAGCACGCGCTGAACGAACGCGCCGCCGCGTTGCACGAGAAGAAACGCGAGTTCTTCTACGCGACGCCCGAGTCGCAGCCGCCGCCGCAGCCAGTCGTCCTGCCCGTCATGGAGAACGTCGTCGCCGTCGACGCGACTGAGGTGAGCGCTGCCTCCGCGAATGATTGCCTGCGAACTCTCTGTTCCTCGGAATGCTGGATTGGACTTGGTTGGCAGAGAATCTCTTGGTTTTTGGAAATGATTTTCCTAACAAGGGGTCATTTTACTTGGGATTTTCCTGAAAATTGGGAAAGTTGGGACATTCCTGAAAATTGGCCAGAACGCTCCTTGAAAATCCAGAAGACGATTCCGAAAGTTTCCACCCGCTAAAAGTCCTCGTTTTCGAGAAACGGAACTTTGAAATTCCATTGAAACAGGCTGTTTAGGCTCTTGTTTCTCGAAAATCAGAACGTTTTGCCGGTTGAGAGTTTAAGGATCTTCATCCAGGACATCAAGAAGTGTTCTGGCCATTTTTCAGGAATTCCTTAACCAAAAATTAAAATGACCTTCCTCAATTTTTCGATTAGGATAGCTTTTGATTTTTTTCACACGTTTTTTTCAGAGGAGATTTTTTTATAAGTTCAACTTTAATCGAATTAGTAAAATGAAAGCCTATTAGGCCTTAAAATTTTTCATTTTTTTGGTTCATTAGAGAGCATTTTTTTAAGTTGGAAAGGCTAGACTTTCAGTTAGTTTTTTTAGATTCAAGGAAGAATTGGAAAGATCTTTTTTTCTCGATGGGTTTTTTTGAGAAGTTCTTATTTTTTTGATTTTTCTTAAAAAAAATTTTTTTCAACAGACAAGTTCACTTTTTTTAATGCAAATTTTTCCTTTTTCCTATCTCAACCACTTAGAAATTCAAGATTTGCTCAAGACACGGCGCACTAACCGCATGTCGGAAACGCTTTTGGTATTGCATCCAGAAACTAACTTTTCTTTTTTTTAAGGTCTTTAATGAAAGTGAAAGGTTATTAAAAAGCGTTCAGAAATGGCTCAAAAGTTGAATCATGGTTCGTAGGAAGGTCTGCTAGTTTCAAAATGGTCTTGTTTTTTGAAAAAAAGGGATCAGGGAATCGAAATTTGAAAAATCTTGAGTGTGACAACGTAACTGGGGATATGGATAGGCGGCATATTTTTCATAAATTTTCCAAAAATTGAATTAATTTCGGTCTGAAACGAAAAAAAAATACAGTTCTCCGGTATGATATTCCTCTGGGTTCATAATAACGTAATTTTCAAGCTTCGATTTTGTTTTGGATATAAGGTGGATTGGTTTGACTAACATTCATAACTTTAACCTTTTCTCAACGTTATAGTCCGTCCACCGTGACTCGACAGTTTTCGCGTGTCTGCGTCTCTCTGTTCCCTCACCGGCGAGGCCACAGAAACGAGAAAATAGCGTGTCAACAAAAAAGGGCCGTCGAGAGACGAGGAGGGCGCAGAGAAGTCGCGAAAAACGGACTCTTATTAGATGTTTCCTACTAAGAATTTAAATAAAAAAACCTCGGGAATCTTTTTTTTCAACTTAACCGAGCATTCTAAAATCCTGATTTTCACTTGAAAAAATAGGATTTTTAGAACGAATTTTAACACCCATAACATCTCCCTAACGTTAACTTTTCCTACTAAAGATTAAAAAATGGTTGTCCTGCACAGTACGCCTCGCGGCTGGCCGAAGATCTGACGTCATCGGCTGTGACCGAAGCGGCGACAACGACGATGACGTCAGTGACTTCAGTGACGTCACCTCCATCTACCAACCCCTTGCACAGCCTTTACGAGGTGATAATCCCCCGAAAAATGCCGAACTCCTACGCTTCTCCTTCTTCTTCTTCTTTTTGTCTTTTTTTCAATTTTTGGTTTTTCTTTGTCTTCATTTCGTTTTGCTTTCACACCATTCTCACACTAACACGTGGTTCGAAAAAAAAAATCGGCTTGAAAAAAATTTTTTTTGTCTATAAAAATATGGGTAGGGATTAGAAATTTAGGGACTGTTGGACCTTTTTTCAAATTAGTGAGGTTTTTGAAGCTTTTAATAGAACCTCATCTCTAAGAAAATGTAACTGAATGACGGAAAAAGGAATTGATTTCAAACGATTTTGATCTTAAGTTGATTTTAAACGATTCTGAGAGGAAAATAAGTGAATTTAATAGTTCGTTCTTAGTTTTTCCAGCTTTTTCATCAATTTTCGACCCTTCTAAATATAAAAAGGGGACTTTTTGAAGTTATAACAGTAAGAAAAGCATAGAACAACATTTATAACTTTTTTTAATCATTAATTTTTTCATCTGGGCAGTTTTTTTTTATTCAAATTCTCTTTCATTTTTTGTTCAAAAGCACACTTTTTCAATTTTCTCAAAGGAATGAAGTCCAAGTAACAATTTTTTTTCTTCCTTCTGGCCTGAGCGTTCCATCCCCTCACTAACAACTCATCCAACTCGGTTGTCGAATTTTCAAGATTTTTGTCGTTAATTTGAATTGGTTTAGGTCCTTATATCTTCAGTTTCGAATAGAGTTTCATTAGATTTTTATTTAGAAATTTTTCGGGTTGGAATTTCAGATATTATGAAAAAAATTGATGAATTTTTGCAGTCTCATCCGGTATCGACGACCGATGCCGCCATTGCTGCCGCCGCTGAAAATGCTGCCGCGAAAGTCGAGGAGGTACGAAAAGTGTTCAAAAAAATACTCTGGAGGTGAAGGAAAATGAATAGGGAAGGAGTAAAATGAAAAAAATAATTTTTGGGCAAAATTTTTCGAGAAGGCTGCGAAAATTCGCTTAAAAAAATAAAAAAATCGTTTTTTTCCTCTTTTTGAAGTATAGAAGGATGATTCTTTAAATAAAAAAAGGGTAAAAAAACAAGTTTAAAAAAAGGTAAAACCTCTAGGAAAAAAATCATAGGTGTTTTTGAAAAAGTCGATAAAATCACTATGAAGCTGTAGAATCTAGAAAAAAAGAAATTAGAGTT